TTTGTCTCGCTATTCAAGTATGCCGAAACAAAGTCCACTTGCCATAGGACAAGATCGAGCTTTGCTGCAACAGCAGCCGACATCCGTACAGATTCGAGACGGGTCACCGCAGCCCAAGTGTCGTTATAGTCGAGTCCATACTGTTGAGTATAGCCCTTCCCAACGAGCCTCGCCTTGTCCCTGATCTAGTTACCATCGCCATCCCATTTCATACCATAGACCCATTTACAATCCATCACGTTCACACCCACCGGTCTGTCGACTAGGTCCCACGTATGCTTCGTCATATGCATTTGGTATTCCACATCTATGGCTGCCTTCCATCGCTCTTCATCGACACGCAGTGCATCTTGATGATTTCGTGGGATGTATGGGTCAGGTGGATTACCAGAAGCCATTGAAGCGCGTGGCTGTTTGCTGTTGGTTGCCCAGTCGTTTCCGCTTGCATGGGCTTCAGCCTCTCGTTGCTTTGACATCAGAGATTCGGCAGCATCAGCACTGGGACGCATTAAGCGCGTTGATCGGCGAAGAGTTGGTTCTGTGGGAGCATCTGGCATAGGCTCGGTTGGCTCGGTTGGCTCGGTTGGCATAGGCATCTCGGTATGAGTAGAAGTGGTGAGTGCAGGTTCGTCCTCCGTCTCCCCCACACTCACACTTCGGTGCGCTGGTCCTTCATCGAAGATGACATCACGAGACACGAACACACGTCCCGATTGATCAAGTACGCGGTAGTTGGACCCTGAGTATCCCAGAAAGGTGCATTTCTTTGATCGATCATCGAGTTTGCTTCCACCGTCTACCAAAACCCCACCAGCTATAGGTTTCTTTGCCCAGCAAGTGGATCCGAATACTCGTAAAAATCCCACGTCCTGTCGTCGCTTCGAGAAACCCTCTGCTGGTACCACTCCAGGATGGCGACTCGAAGGAACAAGGTTTCGCGTGAAGATTGACATAGAGGCGGCCTCAGCCCAGTAGCGGTCGGCGAGGCCAGAGTCACTTAGTAGAGCTCTTGTATCCTCCATGGTGGTGCGTAGGGCACGTTCAGCTAATCCATTCTGGGCTGATGAGTGGGGTGCAGTTAATTCCAGGATGATCCTATGCTCCTCGCAATATTGTTTCCACTTTACCCCTGCAAAAGCACGATCAGCACGTACACGCTTAAGCTTTCGGCCAGTCTGGGTCTCAGCCATGCGCCTGTATCTGTCAAAAGCAGCCACGGTAGTGTCGTCTGCTTTGTCCGCCAGGAATTCCCCCGCCTTGAACGATGTACCACTATCGACGAATATCATCATATAAGTCTTTCCACTCGGTGATGCCGTTCGAGACGGTCCCCACAAATCTGTCGCAACAAGCTCCAGTGGGTCGACGTTGGGATTGGTAGGCTCATCGAAGGGACGGCGAGCATGTCTCGCTAGAATACAGTCCTCGCAGCATCCCTGGATAGGCTCTGAGGTAATTTCCAAGCCATCCACCAGCTTTTTCGATGCTATCTCCTCGATTTTTGCAGGGCTCATATGGACAAAACGACGGTGCCAAGTACTCAGCGAAGTGGGAGATGAGCGGGATGCCATAGCTTGGGGGCTGGGTGCAGCATCCAGCACATACATGCCGTCCGAGCCTCGCCCAGCAAAGATCTCTTTACCAGACTTATCCTGGACAACTGCACGGCTATCAGAGAACACAGTTGACAACCCAGCCTTGTCTAAGGCGCTTACGGAGATGAGATTTGTGGCGAGTGAAGGTGAATGCAAGGCATTTTTGAAGGTGAGCTTGACATCTCTTCCATTTAGTCTAAAGACCTTTGTTGCTGTACTCTGGCCCAGGATCTCGAACGTTCCCTTTCCCTCAACTGCAGATGAGCCAGTACGGAAGGCTACTGGCATGTACTCTGTGAAGTCGTCATGATTCCTGAAGAAGTAGTCGCTCGCGCCAGAATCCATGAAGGTTAGAGTGATGGCTGGGGTACGGCCTTCGAACGTAGTCGTGACAAAGGCTGTTGTAGCAGGGTCGGCCTCGCATGTAAAGTGTCCTACATTCTCGATGTTGGCCTTGCTAGTGTCTATACTCTTGACAGAAGGTATCTCATCATCTCCAGCAACGTCTTCATCATCAGAGTCATCGGCGTCAGTGAGAGGGGGCATTTCGAGGTCTGTCTCTTCTTCAACCTTCGACATCAATATGGTGCTGCTCTCTGTTTCATCCCAGCGCCAGGAGGAATGGGTACCATTCCACTCGTATATTCTCTCGCCAGTGCTGCCATCCTCAATTACAATGCCGTCATCATCATGATCGACTTCCACTGTAGTAGCACTTGCAGCAAGTACAAAGTGCCTTGTAGTATCGGCCGTGGTGTTCGAGATTGCCTGGTTTGCACGGCGAGGTCGGCCGAAGTTGGCAGGGAATTGTCCCTCTTTTCCCCCTCCTGGCCAATAACAATTCTCGGTGGTGTGCCTAGTCTTATCACGGGCCTTGCAATCTGGATTGCGACATCTGCGTACCACGACAGAGGTTCCGGCTCCAGCCGCAAGTGCTTGGGAGTTGGCAGGACCTTTACCCGCAGCACGAAGCGTGGCGGCATGGGTTTGGAGATGAGAAAACACATCAGAGGATGTTGGCATGCCGTATAAACTTGGGAGGATAGGCATCCAGTGATCAGTCGGGATTATCGAGCGAATAATTATTCCCTTAAACTCCTGATCACTCAATGCTGTGGTTCGGAGGTCATTCACAGCTCGTCGTTTCGTGCGTAAGTCGGCGACGTGAATATTGATGTCACTGTTCCCGTCAAACTTCGCCGCATTCAGCGATGCCTCAGCCTCGGAAAGGGCCATATCCGTTTTCTTTGCGTGTTCCGCAGCAACGGAGTCCCAGCATTCCTTTGCCGTTCCGTCAGTCTTGACCCCTAGACCAATGGGGTCGAGAACATTGAGGACGATGTTCGAGTGGGCGAGCTGATCACGAAAGACCCACTCGTCATATGAGGGAGAGGATGAGTATATGGGAGTAGGGTCTGGTGGGAGGGGTGTGGTAGTAGCCGTGGCTGTGGTAGTGGTGGTGGGGATGGCAGGACAGACAGTAGTTCCTGCAATGTATCCCCATAGGCCTTTTCCCTTCAGTAACTCAGTAAGTTGGAGTTTCCATGAGGCGTAGTTCTTCCCGTTGAAATGGCTACTCGTGTCAGGGAGGATAGTGACTCCCGACATCGACGACATCGTTTAGGGGTGTGGTGTAAAGTGGTGAGGGTAGTGGTATGGTATAAATTCAAGTGGTAAGTTGAGTCGAAAATTCCGTTGCGTATTCTTCTTGACTGAGTAGTTATAGGCAATGGGGCCTCATAACCTATTGACAGAAGAATATATGTGAGTATCTCAGTCGGGCACAACGTGGGTGAAGCGACTGTATTGAGTCTACTGTACCTATTGACAGAAGAATATATGTGAGTATCTACGAACGAGTGTAAGTATCATAGTCATAAGCACAGTAGGGATATACATACCTCAGTCGGGCACAACGTGGGTGAAGCGACTGAGGCATACAGATAGGAACGGCTGGACTATATAGGTGATCGGGAAACGACAGGGGGTGTAAGTATATATAAGGCAAATAGAGCGAGTGATCAAAAAGTAAGATAAGATGAAACGTACGGATATCCTCCAACACGAGGGGCTGAGATACCCATGGTCGATCATAACTGGGAATAAATTTTCGAATCTGCGCTTTGAACGGTGATTGGCTAACATATCCCGCCCAAAGCTCTCAAGGCCCATCATGATGTGGTTAGCGCTTTTATTATAAGCAGAAGGCGCTACCACCTATCCGTGATAAAGATTCAATACTGGTCCGAATTGCCGTGACAGCAGCGAAGTTCTATGTATGTTATAATTATTGTTTCGATGTCAGCTCTTGCGCTTTCATCTGTTCCTACACGCAAGCTTTTGTTCATATTCGTGTGAAAGCTGCCGCTGGCAGAAAATGATGCCTCGGACCCGGGCGAGTTGCTGATTGCTCGGCGGTACGAGCAGAGGGCAGAGATATCCGTTACGGACAGTAAGAACATTAACTGATGGTGTTGTGGGGCGATTGTGTGTGGTACAACCCGATATGCGGATAAAAGTAAATCATAAGGCATGAGTATGACAGAGTGTAATGGAAGCAACACAATGTAGGTAGCAAGAGAGGTCTCGATAATGAAAAATAAAAGCTGACGGCATGCAAAGAAAGCGAGGGCGATGAAAGTACGATAGCAATGCGATAACTAGCTTTTGAAAGTGCAAAAAGAAAACAACATAGAAGACGACAGGGTATAGGCGATAAGGTAACTGAGAAAGACACCTGGTGCTTCCTCAATGATGAGTAATTGTTGCTTTTCTAGACAACAGAGGCGCGGCCTTCAAAGAAATCCCGGCGCGGGCGATAGACTCGCGAAGGAATCCACACAGGATGTGGCAATGAAACTGGAGTGGTTGCGACAAAATTCGCCGTAGTCGTGGTATCCGGAGTAGTGGAGTCAGCTGCGAGATTCTCATCATCTCTTTGAGATCCAAAGCACCACCATACGAGGGTGAACCCCAAAAGCAACAACAGGAACAGAACTGCTTCCACGGTGAGTAAAGAGATTTGGAAAATACAGAATACGACGTGCTGAGAACAACGATTATGGCTATCAAGACCGAATGACTGAGATGATGACCGTCATCGTCTTTGGTGTCGGGAATACTAGCAAGAAAGAGGGCGCTCATGGCTGAAGCCGAGGTTAGTACGAGTGACGCGATATACAGGCAAGGATAGACTTGCCTTTGGACTCGGCAGTGGTGATAGCGTAGTGACAGGGTGTTAGCGGATGGTATCGCAAGTGATATGGTCCAATAACTTGGAGAGGTGTATATACGGACTTTTATGGCCTTGGCAGTGCTGTGTGATTGCCCAACAGCATAAAAAGCGGTTTCTAAGTCGGGGGCCAGGGATGACCCTGCTCGGGTGCAACGTAGTACCCCTACCCCTCCCTGGGACCACCCATTGTAACGATTCCAACCACAGCAGAAACTCTGGCCAACACATACACCGACAGAATAGTCGAGTGAACTTCCCACGAGCTGCTGTGAAGGTGGACCGTTCAGGCCGCGCAAATCGAGTCATGAATCATGAAGCGACCCAGGAAGTCGGTTGAAACCTTCCGGGGAATGACAGCTTTTGGTTGTTGCCTACAGACAGGAAGGAAGGGGGAAAAAGGCGTGAAGTCTGCATAGATGCTACGATATAAAGTTTGGCTGCCATAAGCTTTGAGGATTTGGCGCTAACAGATGATTCCACATGTCCAGCGGCGCTTGCCCAGGACATCAGATGATTTATTGAGTCATCGGACCAGGTTAATGAGATGCATTGCCTTCAAGACCACACACAAAGCTTTGATCACCAGCCAAGGAGTTGAGTTGGTCGTTAACTGTCGTTAGACGGTCCGTTCGATCAGGATGTGTCCCGAAATAGAAGCAACACGTCTTTGCTGACAAAGCAAAATGTTTTTGAGCCCGAACCACGTAGTGCTCGGGCTGCCATTATGTCTTTTGCCGTATATCGTACTCAGAATCTTCGCCGCGAGACTGCAGTCATCGAATAAGAAGCGGCGTACTGCGATATTGCATGGACTAGGACGCCCAAACAGCCAAATAGTCGGCTTTTTCCATCCATATTGGTAGGTGGTCTCACGCCGCTTGCGGCTTGCATTGCAGTGTAGAATCTGATTCTACTTAGATCAGCAATGCAGGTGGTGGAGGAGAGCGTGTCCTCTGGACGGCAATCGCGTCTATACAGCGATTGGAACCAGATATTGTGAGCGTAGTATACAGCGGTGACACGGACAGCACCAAAGAGCTTATTCTCGACAAAGTCAAGGTCTGACAGCCATTACTTGATAGAACACAATTTCTTATTCTTTCTTAGTCCAGGTTCGCAATAATTTTGGACCCATCTACTGTTCATTTCGTTTTTCTTGCTTCTCGCAAGTTAGTGGAGGATTCATCTTGGCCCCGGTTCACTCTGTTGGGCCAGAGTATCGGGTCTATGTATCTCGCTTGGGAGGCCATGTCTCTCCTAATCCCAGATTTATACATTGGTATGCTTTTTCCACACGCTGCGCCGCTACCTTGAGATCTCATGCTATTGTTCCAGATACTATGGGATATGCATTTACGTTCCATGTTGTTTCATTGCTTGGAAGTATTCCCGTTGGTGCTTACATTCACTATCCGACAATAAGCACCGACATGCTGGCTCGCGTCAAAACGCGAACCAGGGGCCACACCAACTCAGGTGCAATATCTTCGTCCTCTATTTTAAGTCGAGGAAAGCTGTTGTAAGATGCCATTCCAACCACGTTCATAGCCCACCCTTACCTTGCGTTATAGATATTATCGGGTGTTCATGTATTACTATGCGCTATCTCTGCAGGTTGCATCGTTTATCATGGTCAATTCTTCTTGGACGAAAAATCATGTAGATGGTATCTTGAATCATTCGGATGCATTGCTTGATGCTGCGCACACGTTCTCACCCTTGTTATTCGTCCGTTTGTTGCTGCCGTTTCGCTTTCGGGCGACAGAAGCCCGAATTGTCTATCCACCTTGCGACACACGCGAAATGGCCCGGTTCACATTACAGGGTCGACAGAAAATTGTCCTCAGCGTTGCGCAATTCCGGTTCGTTTCTTTGTTCGCATCTCTAATATTAGTTCTGAACCGCATCAGCAGACCCGAAAAAGATCATTCCACACAACTTCACGCCTTTCACGAGCTGTTGGAAACCCATCCGGATTATAAGAGTGATGGTGCGCTCCCGGTCAAACTTGTTCTCGTCGGTGGTAGTCGTAATGCGGACGATGCTGCCCGCGTTGACAATCTTCGTGAACTAGCCAAGAGGTTGACGATTGAGGTATAGACGCTTTTCCTGGACGTTCAATCACCGATTGACCCTGAAATAGAACCAAGTCGAGTTCGTCGTGAATGCGTCTTACCCCGTTATGCTTGGTTGGTTAGCCAAGGCCAGCATCGGTTTGAGTACTATGGTTGATGAACACTTTGGTATCAACGTGGTGGAGTTCATGGTGTGTGTTCCTATTATTCAATCATGTCAGGCGGGATGAACGCATGCTTCAGGCTGCGGGTGTGATCCCAATTGCTCATGCTTCTGGGGGACCTCTAAGAGACATCATTGTTCCGTTCAATGGCTTACCAACTGGTCGGTGTCTTTGTACCTCGGTTTGGCTTATAGCGCTTATCATTGTATGTAGGATACCATGCAGAGACGCCAACAGATTTTGCAGATGCAATTCACACTGCATTGACCCTTCCCGCCGAAGAAGAGTTCGCATTACGACTGCGGGCCAGAACATGGGCTGTACAACGGTTTTCAGAGGAAGAATTTGAAAAGGAATGGAATGAAAGCGGGTGGAAGCATCATCTGTCACCGGCGCAGTGAGCCGTTGTCTATCTGGTTCATACCATGGCCTAACGCGGAGAGGATTTTGTGAGTACATGAGGAAAATGTCCGCATTTGTCGGGGTTGTCCAATTATCATTACGTTTCAAAATCGATCTTTTTAACAATTTCTGTGCCGATGCCAATGATCTCGTCAAGACTGGCATATCCGCTCAAGCCAAGGGTAGTATCTAAATCTGCCATGGTGTGCCTGATTACTTGCTCCACACCAGCTTGTCCTGCGAGAATAGCTCCATATAGGAAAGGACGGCCAACTGATTCATGATCAGTTACGCTAACGGACTCAAGAGAGGGAAAACTTACGGAGCACACCCTGTGCCCCAAGTGCCATCGCTTTGATGATATCGCTTCCGGTGCGTATGCCAGAATCAAAGAGAACCGTGAGCTTTCCCGCTTTCTGAGCCAGTTTGATCTTGTCTGAATCCATGATCTCTGCTAGTGCGTACAGGGATGGAATGGCACCGTCCACCTGTCGTCCACCTTCAACAAGGATGTGAGGATTGACGCTGCTACTAGTACTAGGACAAAGGGGGGAACTGACCATGATTTGACACAACTATACCGTTGATTCCAAATTCAAGGGCTTTCTCCGCGTCCTATTGACTCTATCAGTTATAACTCACCTCAAATCGATGGACATACGCTGCGTCTTTGTATACCCTTCAGAACGATAGGCCCATCCCAGTTGTCTCTAATAAGCTTGAGGTCGTCCCACGAATGGAACTGCCCCGAACAGACTTCGGCCAGCCAGGCGGCGCCCAGTTTGCTCTCCTCCAAAGCTGGGGGGTCTCTTTCACTGAGGAGCTTGTCCTTTGCACGAGAATCGTAAGGAAACTCGGGGTGATGGTCAAGGATAGGCTGGAGTCCGAACTTGGCCATGAACACTGGATCGGAGCGCCCACATTCCATCCCTACGCCATGGATGAGAGGCATGTACGAGATGTCTAAATCGTGCGGTCTCCATCCGAGAGCCATCGTGTCCAGGGTGATCACAAGCGCAGAAAATCCGTTTTCCCTCGCTCTTTTGAGCAGAGAGACGGTTACATCTCGGGATTTAGGCCTAGACATCTGTAAGAAAAAGCAGCGAAATAAAAGTATGAACAAACCAGTAAAGCTGGTACCATCGGTGTCCATTGCCGTTCTCCCGAGCAACTTCGTCCATGCTCCTGGAGGATACTGTGCTTAAAATGAAAGGAATGCCAAGGTTTTGGGCGGCCCGAGCGGAGGCAAGCTCTCCTTCTGCTGAAAAAATTCCTTGCACGCCAATTGGGGCAATAAGCAAGGGAGATGGGTGTCGTACTCCCAGTATAGTCGTCTAAATATAACACATTCAATGCCAGAAGAGCGGAGACTCACAAGATGCATTATCTCACCTCCAGGTTTCGCACCGTTGTATTGACGAGCATACGGGGTATGATTCTGTACCTCTGGAAGGCCGCCAGATTGGCCCTGTACGTAGATCCTGTTCCTGCGTTTCCTCCCCCATACATAAATGCGCCTGCAACGAATTAGTAGGCCGTCTGGATGCAATTCTAGGGTCCTACCTGGGTAATCCTTCAACTTCTCCTTTGCCTTCTCCTCGATATCCTCAATAGAGACAGTTCCTAGAGGTTCTGGCCCTTTCCTACCCCAGTATACTTCGGGCATGTATTGATTCCATTGTATCTGAGGCTTCGGTCCACTCTGAAGAACTATATCAGTTTGTTCGACCATAGCGATAGTCGATATGCAGAAACAACAGAAGGCTTATATAGCATTATTCGTAGTGGGGCGACTTCATCATCATATGAGCAGAGTGAGAAGACCCGGCAGAGATTTCTCACATAAAGCCGGTTTGCCAGGCTACCGGTAGAATTTATGACGTTGGATGATCACACGGTCAGCCTTATCAGCAGTGGGAATAAAAATGGAATGATGAACACGTATCTGGCTGTGAATGAATTGCAGGTATAATTTACACTTGAGCAGAGTGAAGGAGCTATGCAGATGCTAATCAAGAAAGAAAGGAAAAAAGACTGCACGAGGACGATAGAAAGAATACAGTTGAAAGTTCCACATAGAATGTTAATCCGAATCGGCCTCCGTATCGGAACCGTCTATACTGGCATCTGTATCAAGCCACAAGTCGCTTTCGCCGTCGTCTGACGGAGTCAACGGCCCGGATGAGGTGGGCTTGCGACCTGTGGCGGCCAAAAACGGATCATCACTTGAGTCGTATTCCGGCGAAAACCTGGTTGTCTCCACTCCGTTCATATGTACGTGCCCACGGTGTCGATGTCGAGAAGGTGTCGCTGCGAGATCATCGTCACTGACTTTGTGCGTTACTTGATCGTCGACCCGTCGTTGTCTACCTGTCGAGCGTACTTCATGCAAGTGAGCAGTACGGGCCCACCGTCTGGCGCTTCGGGGTGCAGAACGACCGCTATTAAAGGACGTGCTCAACACGAGACCACCGCCACCCGAAGTGGCGCGTTTAAGCATCGGCCGAGATAGACTGGTGGGACTTGCCGGACGTAGCTGTGAAGAATTCAGATGCCGGTTCATGGGTGTGCGAAGAGAAATAGGTGTATGAGAGCGAGGTGTAGGTGAGCTAGCGTTCGATGGACGTCGTTCTTTTGTGGTGTATAATGACGATTTGGCGGAAGGTTCAGCTGAAGATGTTGGGAATTCAATCTTTGCATCTAATGTCCAACGTCAGGTTGATTGTTTGCCAGAAACAGTTTCTAGACTGACCATTGTCTGCAAAGCTGCCAGGTCGGGGAGACATTTCGATTTGTGCGGGAGTGCTGCTACTCCTTCTGATGAACCAATCGCCGCTAAAGCTTAGATGTCGACGGCCCCATTCTCTCATGCTTCGTCTGAACATCAGCGGGCCATGTTCCGCTATAGATTCAGATCTGGATCCACGAGTGAGTCCCATGAAAACTAGGACGGCGAGTAAAAGGCAGAGTTGAGCTATGCCTAGACGCTTTTCAAGAATAATCTGAGAGAAAGAATCAGCAAGAATATCAATAAGAGAGAATTCTTCCCACCTCGTTGGAAAGGTAGTCAACTCTATTTGCCAGTTCCCTATAATCCATTTCGATTCGAAGTCGTTGTTTATCCCATTCACGAAGGCTTTTCTGATACATTTGAGCTTGAGCTTTGCCCTAAATGAGCAGTGAGTTTGAGGTCGTGGATATTCAAAGGAAATGATCTTACGAGACCGTCTAGGCGTCCAACATCTTCACCCAGCCTTCTTAGCATCTCTCTTACTCCAGTGGTCTGTTCCTCGATGTAGCGAACATATAAGGTATGGTTTCCTTCCAACGCCGTAAGACGATTCATGATGGTACGATATATAGATTCACCCCCAGTAGTGGGAGGTATCGGAGGTGGAACAGGCTGGTTAATTGAACCAGAAGCCGCGATGATTGTGGCGGATGGAGAGGAAGAGGCGGCCGACGAAGATGAATGTCCGCTGGTGTTCGAGGACGAGTTCACATCAACAGAAGACCGCTCTGAGACCGGGACAGAATCGCTGAGCGGTGTACTTGCTGGGTGATGAACAGTCGAAGAAGAAAGTTGGGCAATATGCAGGTCTGTAGAATACGTGTCACCTTCGTGGGAGGATTCGTGGTGCCCCGAGAACGAGTCATTCTCTGTCGCCGGTGCTGTAAATTGTGTGCTGGTAAATTGTGTTGTGGATTCGGAAGTAGCAGGACCGAATGTCAGAGAGGAGTGAGGGCTTTCCGGGATGGAACCAAGGTCAATGGTCTGTTGAGCAATATTCGTTGTTGAAATCTGGACAGGCTCGGGTTCGTCAACAACCGAAGCGGAAAGAGACCGAATTTCCTCATGTTTGGCGCGATATTCCGCTTCCCATACGTCCCACTTCCATTGTTCAAGATGAGTAAGTCCGTAAACTCGGAGCAAGGAGATGGGGCAGTAGTACTCGTTGCCGTAGTGGGAGTGAAACTCTATCCGTATGTACCTGTAAAAGTCGTGAAGCGACGTAGGTGGATGAAAGGACTGGTGAAGGTCAGACCAAGTAACGATAAACAGCGACCCCTGACCTGTACACCCCGAACATTCTTGGCTCTGTAAGTCCCTGCTATGGTCCAGCCTTCTTCGCGTACTGTGTATGTCTTTGCCACACTGACAGTAAAGTCCTTAAAGACCCCACTGAAGAATTCAAAGTTGGCCAACTGTACTGTGTCGATTCGAATGTCATCGCATAATTCCACGACCATGAACTGCTTGTCTTTAGACATACATGGGCTCAGCATGTACCTATCACGTTTGGACGATAATATAGAAGACATCGACCTTGCTGAACGATGAGCGACGTGGACCCGTGCAGAGCAATCGAGGGCCGCATAATTGAATCTGTCTGTTAACGGAACTTGGAAATGAGGTGATATCGACTCGTCCGTAGAATCATGCGAAGACGACGATGATACGGTCTGACCATCGCTACCAGTGGTGTCAGATTGCCCAGTAAAATGAATATTTGCCGCGCCGGAGATATTGCCTGACTGATTCCCGTCATTCTCTTTCCCCGCCTTCTTCTGTAGCTCGGCCTGCTTCTCCTTCCACTCCTCAAAGGAAAGTAAAGCATCTGTATCCGTGGGCTCGAGGGGAATGAGACAGCATACAGGTGGGGACTCGCGAGCTACGGCCGCGGAAATGGCGCGAAAAGGATCGTTGAAGGACGTCGGCGACGCTGTGAAGACCGGCGACGCCAGCGCCAAGATTATCAAAGCCTTCGGAAGATTGACCATCGCCATTGGCAGCGCCCAGAGGCAGGAAAATCTACGTCCACGTCAACGTCGACAGTGTCTTGGGAAACGCCTATTTTTATCCGCCTACATTATTTTAGATTTTGTTGTTCCTATTTGTCCAACAGGAACCAGAAATTCCTTTCTTGGTCTATTACTTCCACCACCGCCGAGCGCGATGAACACAGATGATCTTGTATTTAACCAGCATGGACTGCCGGAACATGCATCTAGAGCTCCAAGGCGACCATTTCAACTCAATCTCGCTCTTCAAGCGTCAACGCAGCAATCAAGAGGTCATCGCTATCCTCAAAAGGCACAATCATCTGTCTTTGCACCGGCTGTACGACACGCGAGACCACCCACAAATGTGTTTCCTATCCATCCAGCACACCCTATGCCCAAAGAGAATCAGCGGGTACTTCGCGTCTCTGGACACAACAATGAATTACCAAATGTGCTCGAGGAGCACGAGGAGCGCTGCATAGGTATGGCACGGCTTTTACCTGACACGCTGTTGATTGAAAGTCTCAGAAGATGATAAGGAAAACCCTCTGAATGCTCCTCCAGTATTCAAGATGTTTCCTCAGTCTTCAAAGCGATCTTTCGCGGATTCACATGCTGGCCAATTGACGACTCCCGCACGGCAGAGCGGGTCAAGATCTTCTGAGCTCCCGCAAACTCCAATATCAGCGAGATTTGAATCCCATTCGCCGCATTCTTCCGTTCAACCTGAGGTTTCCTATCATGGGGACGAAGCGAATTGGGAAGAAAACATGATGATCAGAAAGTTGAGAGAGGCTTCAGCTGTGAAATCTCAACTGGCTGATGAGGTACGAGACATCTGGCACCATTCTGGACGCATATACTCATCATTTTTTCCCCCACCAAAACGCAGAGAAAGATCACTCTGAGTCTCAAAGGAGAGCTTGCAGCAGCTCAGAATACCGGTGTCGCTTTGAAGCAGAAGCTCACTACACTTGAATCAGGAAACGAGCGTCAGGTGGCACAAATACAGAACCTCACTGAGCAGATATCTCAGGCGAAATTAGAACTCGGCCAGGCCGCAGAGGAGCAGGAGCGTACCGTCAGCTTGATGCAGGACAAGGTTAACGAGGTCGAACGCTTGCGCTCTGAACTCTTGCACGCTGGTGAAAAGTACGCAGCCTGTGAAGAACGCGCAGGAAAAATCAAGGACGCGGCAAAGAAGGGGATGGACCATCTCAGCCGAGGGCATACATATTTCTCCTTTTCTTTTGTCTGTATACTGATATATGCTTTTATACAGATATGAATCACTGAAGATTATGTTCGATGAACTCAAGTTACGTTTCGATGTCTCTCAGGACAATCTTCAGCGCACGAAGGATGAAATTGAGTTATTGAAGTCCACTTCTGGACGGCAAATAAAACGTGCGCTATCTGTCTTTCATACCTTTTCACGGAACTAAACTCAAATCAGTCGTTGAATCCCACCTGGATGAAAATGGCCGTTACCTTTATAAATCTGCTGAAACTCGGGACCTGGTCTCTGAGTTGCAGCAAGACCGCAACAGTTGTGAGTTTCTGAGGCACCACATCCGAACATCACTAATCCCGACCGCAGCTCAACAAGTCAACGATATCTTGCGCGAAAAGCTCCATTCATTGAGCGCACAATTAGTGGAATCGAAGCAGAAGATCGCTGAGCTGGAACTGCGACAATTTGAGGAAGGAGCGCGTTGGAGTCGACGTGGTGAAACATGGCAAAGCCTTGGTGAGCTTTGCCTTATTCGGGTTTTCTCCGAATTTATGCATGTTACAGAATGTAAAATGGAGGAACTTGCCGACAAACTAGCAAAGCGAGAAGGCGAAGTCTTTGAAGGACTGATAGAAAGTGCAAATTTATCGACTGCTCTAAACAACGCCATCGAGAAGCATGACTTGTTTCTTTACGGTTGGATCCGTTTTTAATATCGGAGTAGGGCCAATGTTTTGCAAGTTACGCTAGGAGCAAAAGAGCAAGAACTTGCTGCTCTGAAGAAAGAGTGAGTGCTTTCTGGACTTTCCGCTGGCAGCTCGTTTATCATTCTTCATTCAGACTCTCCAACGTAGAATCTGTCAAAATCAAGGAATTGGACGCTGCTTTGAAAGAGTCTGTATCGCGAACTAAATGTTCTTAAGCTAATGCTTTCTATTTAGCATCTCAGTCAAACTCGCTGCTAGCAGCGATGCAATGGTACACAAGCAAGAGACTCAACTGTCTGTCTTGAACGATCGAATACGCACATTAATGACGAAGGAAACGGCGCTGATTGAATCGTCAGCGTTTACAAACGTAATGTTCAGCTCACCTTCTTATCCTTGTTTACAGAAACGACAATTCGCGGAGGATGATATCTAAGCTGGAGATGGCGGTCCAAGAAGCCAAATTTGGGTCTTCCGCGGAGTCTACTAAACACAGACAGGTTCAGGATAGAAACGTCCTTCTTGAGGCTGAGATCGGGAAACTCAAAACAGAGATTATCGATAGAGAGACCAAGTGGGTCATATTGGCATCGCCAGCGCTTTACCTCTGACTAGATGACATACTAGTTTGAAAAACCACAATGTCGCCTTCAACGTGCGTTCCGATTCTGTCTATGTGGCACCACAGTCATCCCTCCGGTTAGGTATTACAAGAGCGCTTTGATAACCAGACGATAACTCTCAAACTCGCCAAGGAGCATTGTGGCGATTTACAAGTACGTTTCTTTTTCTCACAAACGGTGAAGCAACTGACAGCATTCACCAGGAGCGCGTAATGGCATTGACGGTACGATTCATAGTTATCTCTTTGACTATGTTTTCATGACTATCCATCTAAGGCAAAACTCGAAGTGGTGACTGCTTCTGCACGATTAGATCTTGCACATCTTCAGGAGCAAAAAACATTGCTCGAATCATCAATTCAGGATCAGAAGATATTGGTCGAGAAGATGCTCAGGGACCAGAAAGCATTGCTTGAGAAGACACTCCACGATCATAGCAGTCATCTTGAGCGATCACTACAAGAGCAGAGAACATCTCACGAGCGCAAATTGCAGGACCAGAAAAACGTCTGGGAGAAAATTGTCACCGATCAACAAGTGCTCTTCAACAAGAATCTTGAAGACCAAAAAGCGGCCTGCGAGACTACTATCAAGCATCTACAAGATCAGAAGCTATCCGTGGACAGGTCCCTTGCACGACATCAGACGGACATACAGGCCCAGCAAGAAGCAGTAACCACCCTGAAGATCGACATAGCCAGACTCAAGGAGAGGTGCGAACAACAAATCAAGTCCGAAGCTCAGAAACTGCAAGCCGCGAATACGGAACGTCTCGAGGCATTGAGACTTGCGAAGCAGAGGCAAGATACACTGGACAGCCTGGCTAGCGAGTACGAATCGGCGAAGAAGGATGCTCAGAAAGCTCAGTCTGAACTGGAGAGCGGCATTCGAGATGCAAGAATGTCGACAAAGCAGACACGAGAGTTGCAAGAAGAACTAGGACGCCTTCGCGATAGGGAAGCGACTATGCCGAAGCGATATGAAGCTGGACAACTGGTAGCAGTCCATAACGTCATTTTTAACCTTCACTAATTGTTGTTAGAGCGACGTCGAGAAGTCCTTTGTACAGTCTGTTATTCAAATGTATAGGGCAACCTGCGAGCAAGACATAGTCAACAAAGAAAATGACTTGCGATCGGTGATAGTCGACTTCGTAATATTATGCTGATACTAATGATTGACGACAGCGAGACAATATGATTGTGTCGTTGCAGTCCAAGATTGCTTCCGTGGAGTCGACCCTTGCCAAATGCTTGAAGAAATCTGGTGCGACGTCCATGATAGACCTGAACGCGTGGATGTCGAGTCCATTGACACAGCAGCCAGAGGTATTTCCGTTTCGTATGTCTCTCCAGCCCTTTCCAACCTTCTCAGGACGGGGTTCTTCCACACCCAGCCGCACGAACCTCCGTCTCGGCATCTCCCAAACCATTTGCTGCTCTCGCCGCTGAAGACGATGATGATATCTCTGAAGAAGAAACACAGCCATCTACTTTGGGTAAACGAGACCGACCCCACTCACCTATGACGAAATTCGACGATAATCAACGCCCTGCTCGGAGATCGGTTCGTCTTTTTACATCCCCAGAGCTTTTATATTTGACGCATATCGCGTGGGATATAGAAATCAGCCGCGCCCCGTAAAATACAGGCAGGCGACAAGAAGGTCTGTATTGTACATTCTTTGGACCGACGAAGAGCGGACTAATAGGTAAATTTTAGACTAACGAGCCGACATCTAAGGTTAAGCCGCGAAAACGACGTTGATGAACTACTGGAATTCCTGTTTCTTGGTTACACACTCTGCACTCTCTGATTGACCACTGGGACTCTTTCTTGCATTCTTCTTGTTTCTCAATCCTGGATCGCGTTGCCTTGGTTTCATACTGCCCCTTGTACACGCACAATGAATTGCTAATCACGAAAGGTTGTAGTAGCAGTACACAGCTTCTCGCTTCAGTGTAAATATTCAACATTAGATGGCCGTCGTTAGAGGAGGCCAAACCCGTACTCTATAGGAGACGCATACTAAGAGGCAAAATGTGTTCAACCATTGTGAATTGAAGATTCCTCAAATTTGCTATATAACCCATGGCAAATTACCTTCATTCATCGTCTCCAATGGTAGCGGGTAGAATCCGCGATGTGCCAAACGACGACAAATGTTACCTTTCCTGATAACTTTTTTTTGGCGCCATCGTTGCCGTTTCGTCGCGTCGTATCTCTCTGCAATCCGAAAATGTTGTTTTTCTGCATATAAAGAATGTTTGCGTCCCTTTGATATGGATAGAAATTGCTGAAGGTGACACGATACATGATACTTACCCGCTTCCATCCCCGACTCTTACCCATATTGCAATAGCGTAATTGAAGCCCAAGCTGATCGATGATCATCTGAACCGTGATAGCCAGCAACAGGTGACCTAGACATTCACGCCGATAGCCGGTGTCCTGAAGTCTTGATTTCATTCTACCGTTGCTACCACCAATCCACGAAAAGACATCAAAACGCCTCGCTTCTTCCTATTAACTCACTGACTGCAAGACAAAACAAAACTCAGTAAGTTCGCCTGCTGCTGTAGAGCTTCGTCGACTATGCACTGTCCGTTTATCCCTGTCAAGGAGCTTCAGTCATGAAAATGTACGGATTTCATATGTCATGTTCCTCCTGCTCACCACACTTCAGAGAGGTGTTGGCTTCGGAAACTCTCAAAACGATGGAATTCTCGTTGATTCGGCTTGTCCTTCGCCACAAGCGCCGCAATACGCAGGGGGCCTCCGCTGGAGATTTCCACAGGGGTTAACCTTATGCGGCGGGAGAATCACTAATTCTATGATAAAATGCTTTACATTGTCCATATCGAACAAACCTGTCCGGCTGCCGCAATGTTCTACCGTCCAAAACACTTTGGCAAGAGCCTATTCATTGACATGCTCAAATGTTATCACGGAGTAGCATTTGCAGACTCCCATGAAAAAACATTTGAGGTTTTTGGTTTCATGTGCTCAATTGACTTCGACGCTGATATTCAGACGAGGACTGCGCATCGGGAACAAAGATATTCAGAAGGCGGTTTGCTCTGAGATTCAATCTATCACCTTTCACCGATGATTCTGTGGTCCAATCATTTTATGACGATCTTCTCGTTGGACTTCGACAGTTCTGGTGGTTGCATCCAAGTTCCTGATGATCTCCTGCATTATCGTACAGAGGAGCCTCTCAATATTCGGCATGAGGATATGCATGTCGTCTTCCAAATGACGATCGATTTGGTCTCAGACTACTTGTTGGAGGACGGGATGAAAGCTGTTAATAGTGTAATGTTTATCCTAATTCCCCTTCGAGACAGGTTTACGTTCTTGTCGACTTGGAAGATGACTATGGAATAAAGTACTTCATCCAGCACCATGCCGCCGATGGCATCCCCTGGCGAAACATTCCACTTTGTCTAACGATGGAACACTTCTGAAGTTTGCTTAAGCCATATCTACAGGAAGGTGTTATTGGCCGTGCTTTTATGACGGGACTCACCCCTCTAGCAACTACCGACGGAATCATCCTGTCGAACATTTCTTTCCACCCCTTCTTTTCTGTGCTTTGCGGGCTGAGCAAAGCATATGTCGCTGTCCCCATGAACAAGATGGGTATTGACAACGACACTGGGCTAAACCCACTGACGAAGTCAGGTGATGTCGGTTTTCAAAACTGGCACCTGTTTGGCTGCTATACAAGTACGCGTAGCCCAAGGTCTAAAACCTACGCTGATTTTTCAAGGAGGAACTCCAACATAATCGCATGGTCACTTTTGAAGATGTCAAAATTTTGGTTATGGCTTGATTGAAGCGGTTGCTTCCCGTAGAAACAACATCATTCATCAGCTGGTAGGAGCGAATGGCATTCAAGATGACGGTTTCCACCGATAGAGTATCCGGATACTTATTTTGGTTACGTGTCACCAGTGTCAAATCCGCTAGTACCAAAATTATTTCGAATCTCTCTTTCTTAATTTGCTTTCTAGTTTGACCTCGACAAAACCCTTCTCGAGCTCCTTGTATATTATAGAGTACTCTCTTCTGACCTTCACGAGCCGACAAAGTTTCTCAGAACATCCAATCAATCACCAAAAAGGTCATCGCCGGAAGCATTCGGTAGTCGAACACTTTGTCAAGCATGCGGTTGTGCCTCAGTTACTCAGCTCCTTGAATAGCGCTGATATTCAGGATTTGGCAGCGAAGAAAAATTCGCGTTTAATAGGGTACGCTGTTGTTGTCATCGCTGGTGGTCGTCAAGTTTTGGTGACGAGACTGAGGAGATACGGCAATGGTTGGGAAGCTGGGGCGACTGCCACCGCGGAACCCATACAAAGGCAACCCTGAGGTTCTAGTAATCCTCGTAGTATTATAACTTTGTAGACTTGTACATGCTAGAGAGAAGCCCAGTACGATCTAAACAAATTTGCGTATGAGTAGCATCATATCCTTAGTATGTGCTTAGACCCTGATCTTCGTTAGATCAACCTGTCACTGTGTAATCTTCTAGAACCGTCCTACTCTGTCATCGCCTATAACGAAATTCGACGCTAAGTAATTGTCTTCATTGTTCGAAGATCGGTTCGTCGCAGTTTTACTTCCTCAAGACTTCTATGCGTGAACAAAGCAAGATCGGTCAAGTTTACAGTATAAGATAGCAAATTACCGCTATCATTTCCAACGATAATACCGGTATTGTCATGCTTGACGCCGCTTTACAGTGACAACAAAATGAAATTGAACTTCAAGATGATGGGATCTGTGCGTAGCGATATGATAGGACCAAGTCGAGTCTCTTAGTTTCACTTAACCCCCCCAGTCCTTGCTGAGGCACAGCACGCATGAGGTCGATATTTCGTGCGTTTTGCACATATTGAGTCTTGCTGGCGTTTGTGATATCAATTTTATCAGCGAAAACCGTGTCGGCAAATCGGTGGCTGTGGTCGGAGAAACGTTGTTCCAAACTGAGCGGTGCAATCGGTACGAGTCGGTACGTTACTAATAAGTAGCCAATACGTATAATGAATGAATGTCAGATGTATACATGAAATTGAAAGGGTATTGTTATTCAAGACTGATCAAATTGGATTTTCCAATAAGATTTCCGACAAGCCATTTATAGCATCGCTACGGAATGTGTCTTGCGTGATGGTCAAAGGGGTGAGACCGTCGTTGAACGTGAGTAGATTGGGCGAACTGTTAGTCCATTGGGGCCATTGAATACCGGTGCTTCCGTTGGGATTCAAAGTAGCGGCGAAACGAACAAGGTAGTCTACCATGTCTCCGCCGAAGTAAACATTGAGGATATCACTGGCGTGGAATGACCCCAAGATTGGAACGAGCTTGAGGCGCTTATTCACTACAAAGAATCATGAAATGTGGGTTGAAAAGCTTAATATACTACTTACAAAAGGCCCATATATTTTGCTTTCCGGAAAGGTTTTGTAAGAAGAACCTGCGAGGCGCTTGGAATACCGCATCTCCCTGGAAGGATGCGATCCTCTTGAATTGGGGCGTTAGGATGTTCAATATTCCGGTATCATACGGAGACCCTTCGAGAGGATCCTCAGGATAGAGCTCCAGCAACGTGGCAAGTTCCTGATCTGTAATATTCGGGAAAGTCACAGTGCTCAAATATGTTGCGACCTCGGCATCTGTCCTGTGAGACATGAGCTAAGTCACAGCACCAGAAAATGGTCGATTCACTCACGTGACATTGAGCGTTGACAAGGAAAACAACGTTCCCTCATCATCACAGTCGCCTAGTTGAATCTATTATAAGCAACGACTTCTTGAAGTTATCAACTTGACACACATACCGCTCACTAAGGGAACATTAGCAATTTTGCCTTGTTGTACGAGCCGCTGTGGATTATCGGAGAAGAGTACGCCGTCTGCACGAGGTAGCCACGCCAAAACCAATGACTGACAGAGGTTTAATGTGAATCATAGAAACATTTACAAGACCACCCACCTGGTAGTCAAATATGAAGGGCGAATTGTCGATTGCCGCTTTCAGAGTTGCGTATGAGACCGTCCTCAAACAACTGAGGGTATCGGCAGAGTCAGAGCAGCCCGTCTGAACCACGACATCATCGTAATCTGAAGTAAAATATAATCAGAAATGGGGAATTTCTGAGGCATCTTCCAGGTTCAAGCATACATTTCTGGCCGCCCTCAAGATCTCCAACGGGGATCGGAGACCCTGATTGCATGAAGGCTGCACGAAAAAGACCTTGCGTGTCACCGTCGTAGGCAATCATATGCATTGCAGCCGAAATGGCTCCAGCAGATTCGCCCCATCTATCCAAATGAGTTGTAACTTGTCAATTTAAAGCTGCGAGAGAATTCTCATTGGACGCACATTGTCACTTTCGTAGGATCGCCACCAAAAGCAGTTATATACTTCTGAATCCATCTCAGAGCCTCTCTTTCTGAAGAAAGTGAGTATCAGATAGTCAATTTATACAGCGAAGGTCAGGAACATACGATCATGGAGTCCGAGGTTTCCAACAGCAGCTTCTTGGACTTCCTTACTTGCAAGAAAACCGAAGCCTTGAACAAATTCATGAACGAAATTCTGGCAGAATAAGGAGAAACAACGCACCAGAAACTCGATAATTCATCGAAACATATATTACTGGTTGATTCAGTGCGATTGACCGAGCAACAATGCTGGTGCCGTCGTACCTGTAAAGAGAACTTGCGGTCAAGCAATACGGATGGGTCTAATGATAGAAGCCACAAACATAGCCGTGCCACCAACCTCAAAGCCACCTTTAGGTAGATTCTATCAGAAGAATCTGAGCAATATATAGCAGTGAATATTTTTACCTCCAAAAATCCACTGATGAGGCGTTTCTTGAGCTGATGGCACCAGATCATGACATATTACGCACCGCGAGAACAGGAAGTCCAGAAGTTGAAGTGGCGGTCGCTGGCGTCAAAACATTGATAGTCAGACCTAAGAAATATTAACGTCGCATATGTGAGAAATAAGGCGCGTAATCACAATCCTCATCATCAGGAAGAATAGCATTGAAGATGGAGTTGACGATGTAATCCACAACTTCCGCTGATAGCCCTGTTAGGTCCGGCAGCTTCACGGCCTGTTGCGGACAAGATGGTCCAAAAGCGGTGGCATCATACGACCCATTGTACGCTGGAAGAGTTTCCGGTAGCCTGAAACGAAGATCTCCAGTGCTAGGATGGGAGGACTAAGTACCTCCCGAACTGGTGCTCAGGAATAACTCACGGAGGTTGCGCGAATGGGATGCCCAGGAACTGCGAGACAGACCCAGATGTTGTCCCGGTGAACGTTGCAGAGTCGAGAGTCACAGTAGGAGCAGCGCGGCCCGAAATAACTGCGGAAGCGACAATACAGGCGTGAAAACCAACAAAAATCAGAAGCTGCGAAAACATGTCAATCGCACAGCGGCCTGGGATGAACGACGTACAGAAATACTAGCAAGGTATCTTTATAGCTCACTCAAAGAAGGGCCAAATATCGTCGTGGGCCTGACAAGTCATGAGAACTCATCACGAGAAGTTGATTTCTTTTAGCTCACGAAAAATCAATTAGTGATTTTGATGCCAGAGGGAGAGATTTAATAGCTTATACTTCGCGGTGCTACGAAAGTCGCCGAAGCTGGATGTGGACTGTGAAATTCCGCGCGGCCGTGGGGGTCGAAAATGGTGAACTCGCATCCGAGCATCCAAGAGCGCCCTCGTAAGAGTCATCAGAAATCAGAGGCAGGGACCGGATACGATTTATAACCGGGTACTATGGATAGCAACTCGAGGGGAACCTGCAAAGACCTCATGGCCGTTTTCCTAAAAGAACCGATGGAAACGTAAAGGCGCACATGAACGTGATTCTTTTACATGGTGAATTGCGCCGGCACCGACACAAAGAACGATAGTCGGACAACATTGTTTGGCCTGAGTTAAGTGCAAAAGCCAGTGTTTCAAGTACATAAGCCCTCTTCATCTTCATTGCTTGGAGGAGTAAAATTGTCCTGCATTGTTTAGAGAGTTAAGAAGCTGACAAAGACTACTACTAAGGTCTTGGAATTGCCCACAAAGCTGGCGACGGAACCGGAGGTTGAATTTTCTTTATGCCGTGTTGGCCAATAAAGCAGGGCAATTTGGTGTTGCCAAGATATCTCCGTATACGCTCGCTATCCAGAGAACGACACCGTTGGTCCATCCAAAGCCAGCCTGTGCAGGTGGATCGTGAGCTAGTGAGTTCAAGTCATATGATTCAGGCTACATCACCTGTACTGTGTATTCCCCTCCACGGCCGGCAGAATCAATGTCCAGGCTCGAGAATTTCTCAAACATCTGCGAATTTTCAATACAATTTGCAGAAGCACGACATTGCTTGACAACCTACATTACCGGTATTGTTGACGCTCTGCGTCACATTGAGCTCAGCATCAGAAAGACGGGGTAAAATACCCGGTATTTCGCCGCCTGTCGCATGCCTGCAACCGGCTCAGCAAATCTCATGACATGGGAGGAAGATCAACACACCAACTGCAAAATGCGCTAGCAAAATACCTATTTGCGAGCTCTCTCTGGAGGGTCTGGGACCAACCTTCATAGATCGTAGTGTTCCCACCGTTCAGAACCGTTCCATTCAAAGTGTTGATGTCGGCCTGATGGCCCAAATTAGTTGCATTTACGCCTGATAGAAGCGTTTGGCTGGGAAGCTGAGATTCCGAGATACCAAGTTGGTCGGCGGGTAAAAGATTAAACGAGGACTGATTAGAAGACAGCGCGAAAAGCGTAACATCGGCGATGTGGGAGGGTAGAGCACGAAGGGCTTGGAGGATGATGTATTGATGAGGCGCCCATGTGTTAGGAAAATCCCTTGCTCAGGAGTTAGTTACACATACAAATCCGATCCAATGGCCAGCACACACCATTGAAGGCTGGTATCCAAAAATGTACTTGGAAATGTGCCGTTGTAACGTTTAAGGACCAGATTGAGGGGAGCGAAATATTTGAAAGCATCCTCTGCGCTCCTCAGAATTTCCACGGGAGTGATACCAGACCACACTGGATAATACGAGGCAGCAGAAAACACGTGATTTTGCGTTCCGGATGCAATATTAAAATCATAGAAGCCCATCTAAGATTTATCAATTTCTTCGAACATGATGATCATTATCGAAGTACTTGCCTTCGTCGAGTTCCATGACAAGTCAAGGATCCCTTCACGGACAGAAGTGGCTTTGTCATGATGTTTCATAGCCGCAGTTTCGTTGTCCGAGTATAGTTGCTCCATGATTATATGATTTCTATCTATATTGAGGGCTTGAATCTCGCGTCGAACGTCGATGAGATCATGACGTACATAAGATACTGTTCAAATCAACAGGTATCGTGTTTCGAACATTTAACTGCTTCAGATCCGAATTTCCTGCGGCTGGATTGCTGAACCAACGGGAGGTATAATCCCATCCTATTGTCAAAGTCAGTATTATGTTGAGGGGTCAATAAAAAGACCCAGGAACCTGTTTCGGCACCACTGGCAAGCTCAGCATACAGAGAGGAGCGCTGACTTTCATTTAATGGTGGCGAAACATCGGGTCCATTAGCGGTCAAGTAATCTTGAAGTATGTTTGAATCAGACCCTCTTTCAGGAGTATTTCAAACGTACCAGTGAGGTAGGACTCGGGCCTTGGTGCAGTGTTGTTGACAGCATACCGAGCCATCTCGTGTACTTTATTAGTTGATGGGCTCGTCACATTGACCGTGCGGTTCTCTTGCCACCAATCTAGTTCTTTCTGTAGAACACGGACTGAAATTATATAAATGTGGATGGCGAGACTATACCTCAGCAAGTGGCAACGCTCTGGTTAATATACTTGTATCATTCGTCACAGTGATGTAGCGGAACAGCATCTACGATTTCTCCGTGACTCAACGAACATCTACAACTTATCGACTTACCTGGATAAATAAAGGCGGCTGGGACCTGTTCAGGTCTGGACAATGGACATTACGTGAGCCAGTGATGGAAGATCGCTAATTCGCTCCTTACAATAGATTCGTCCACCATTCGGAATGAATCCGATGGTGTCTAGCTCGTCCATGAAATTTTGCAGTGTATCATTGACTATGTCGTATAATTGCGACTCAAGGAGACCTTCGACAATCCAAAAACTGTCCCAGTAATATTGTTCACGGAATCGGCCGCCTGTGTGGTGACGTCAGTCCTCTTCTCTACAATCACAAGACGGTGAACGACCTGGCACGACGAAGGTATGATTCAAGGGAATCAGAGAGCTCTCGCAGGCTGTTCCTGAACACAGGACGGAAGAATTGGTCGTGCGAATCAGCTGAGTCCAGTACCCATGAACAGTTTGCGCCCAAGCTCTCAGTAGGGAATCAGATACGTTTGCCAAGAACGGGGGATCCTCGTTGAAATTGTCCAAAGTCAGCGCCTCCAATTCCAGACCTTCCCCACGGAAGTCGGCATCGACAAAATCCACAATTTGGCCCTCAGTGACGTTGCCGCTCGTTAGGTTTTCGAAGTCAAATAGTACATCCTCAGCCGGTTTGTTCGTGGGCTCCAAAGGATGTCGGCAATTTCAATCAACGACTCTTTTGGGTGCGCACCTTGTCTACAAAGGTCTTGGGATCGGAATACAGCGCGGCTACATTCACTGTTTGTAATAACTAAACAAGACGCCTTCAGCCTAATTTAGCTGCATTCCGCATGGAAGCAACCCACTGGACCAGCGCAAAAGATTTCAGATGGACACCAGGCCTGCGTGGGAGGATCCGGGACCTGCGAAGGCAGAGGAGAATCAAGCGCCGCAGATGGGCTTGGGACAGCCGTAGAGACAGTTGTCTCAGACGACGACTGTGCCAAAATTCCCTGAAAGCATATCGACGCTACAATCACCTTTAACGCTGCCATCAAGATGGGGACGGGGTGCTCGTAACCGTTTGTCACCTCTTAAATACTAGTAGTACCGAGCCACATAATTTCCGTACAGGATGTTCCGGGATGATCAGTATTTCAATTGACAGCGAATCATCAAGTGACCACTTCGTCCAGGAAGTTTCAAAGCAAGCCTGTGCACTTTTTATCACATGGCCATTTTCAGACCGAACGAAAGCAGACAGATGTGGAACCGTGTTTATTGGAAAAACGTCGCTTTGTAGGCGCTCGTAGAGTTGGAAAGGGAGAATCGATGACATACCTCCGAATTCGAAAAGAGGGTGAATCAGAAAAAAGAAGCCAGATGGCAGGGTCATGAGGTTATCACCTAAAGGTGCTGTACTTGGCACACTTGGATCAAATGGAGAACTATAAGTACTCATCGTAGCCGGGCTGTCGAACAAACGCGTTCGCGATAGGAATGTGGGAGTAATCTTGTGCAATTGCGGCAGAGGTAAGGGAAATGTGAAATATCATTATGTTTCGTGGATTGCATTCAAATGGCGAACTCACGACATGTACAATCTCCCATGTAATACTCCTCCGCGACTGACCAGCGCGAGCAAAATTCGTTAAGACTAGCAGTCTCTCACGGCACACCACTCAGTAGACAAGAATGCCCAGTACTACACAACGCACCTCCCGAGGTTGCTTAGTCAACAAATAACTTCTCACTGTGAAGACCTTCGCCGTATGCCATACTCTCGAAGATGACTTGACGCCATACGCTGATCACCAGTTCGATGGCCTCTTCTTCCAGCACCTAAAAAAGTCAAGGGAGTTACAATTACAATCAACCGCCCTACTAAACACTTACTGGTTCAAGACCTTCAACTAATTTTTGCGGACCTTTATGATCCTTTAGATGCTCCAAAACGAACATGATTAGATCTTCCTCTTCCATCTCACCAAGATATTTAACCATAAGACGTTTAACAAGAGGCTCCAGCTTCCTATCAATCATTATCTGTCATACAAGTGAGCAGCGGCCGATAATCTTGAACAAGGGAAAAGACGCACATCGGACAGACCATCCCAGCGTACCTTGGCCTTGAACAAAGTCTCCTTATCATGCGGTACGGACTCCTTGATCTTCTCCAACCTTGCCCTGGTCTGCTCACTGCTCTCTGCGACACTGAAATCAAGCTTCACAAGGGGAACTTTCCTCTTCTTCACTTCATCATCATCTTCCTCCTCTTGAACGAACACAGTTGCCTTCTCCTTATTTCCGGGCTCTTTCGTAGGTGCAGGGGCCAGCGACACGTTAAGCTTCACCGGGGCGCCATCATCCAGTAGTAGCCCTGCTTTCCTTTGTTCCTCAGCCAACGCCTGCATCTCATCCATTTGGCGGGCTAAAAAGTCTTCCGACTCTCGTCGAAGATTCTCAGCCTCTTGTTCTTCAAATCGACGTGACTTGTCATCGGCAGCTTCTTCTGCTTCCAGGCGACGTGCCCGACCTTGTCGCCACCGCACCCTGGTAGTAATGAGTACCTGAGCACTGGTTTGACAGTGATCACATACCTATCAACGTAGAACAGCTCGTCACTCTCGTCATCATCCCAAACATCTAGCCGTGCTCGCATTTCAATTCTATCCCGTCCTTCTGCATCTCCAGTAGCTCTCTCTCGCTGAATAGCGCGTTCCAGAGCAAGTATTCTCGTTCGCTCTCGAGGCTCATACCGCCGTTCCCGCTTTGAACCAGTCTTAGCAAGAGAAATGAAAAAGAAGCAGAGGACTCACGTCTCTGAACGAAATCTCTTCTTCGCGTTTCCGCGCTTCCCTCCTCTCAAACTCCAGCTCCTCATCAGTCTTAGTCGCCTTACCGGGCGCAGCCCGCAAGTCATCTAAATATCTATCCTCTCCTGCTTTGACAAACCCCACCGGTTTACTGTAGCCTTGTGCACCTTTGCCGAAACCTTGCTGCTTCGGTGGCGTTGACGTCGTGGGCTGTGGCTTTCCCCATTCTCGCATTTTCGGTCCGCTCGGCGCCCCCGATGGTCCAGAAGCAGCCTCTCGCAACTTTTCCCGCTCACGCTTCGCAGCCCTCTCACGAAATTGTGCAATCTCCGAGATAACCAAGCCTCGCTGTGTTTCTGGTAGATCGGCCTCTTGGAGATCGTGTAGATGGGGTGGAATCACGTATTTTTCACGGTCTATCAGGCCATTGTTGGCAGCATCTTCTGACGTCTTATTGATCTCGTCGACGAGCTCGTCAATTTTAGCTTTAGATTCTTTTCGCCTCGCCTCGTCAGTCTGGGTGGTTGTTAGTACATTCCTGAGAGTCGACGGAGACGACATACGTCCGTTGCCATTCGCTGTGATTGATAAGCATCCAAAAAGCCGCGCGTTTTTTCGTCAGCTTTCACCTATATGATACTCGACGTAGGCGAGAATGACTGGCAGGCAATGGATAGACGCACCAGGAGCTTCTTGTTCGCACAACCATCTTCCAGCGCCGGCAATTCTACGTTGTTGAGCAGTTCTAGGGCCCGTAAAGCGCCATCAGGTTCTTCGAACTCTGCGAAGCCAAAACCTTGAGGCTTGTTCGCAGGTGTGATTAGGCGCTTGAAAGATTTGATAGGACCGCAAGCCTGCCACGAACAGGTTATCGAGGATATCCGCCAAAGAAGAATGCCAGCACGTACAGAAAGCAGCTGGTTCAAAAAACCATCCTGTATGCCTCCCGATATTGACCCGACGAACAGCGTCGTGAATTTTTGATTCGGTGGGACAAAATGCATTTGCTGTTGCTGCTGTGCGAGAGCAGACATTGAGGGACCCTGGCCATACGACGGCAAAGGTGGACGCAGACCAAGTCCCAATCGATTTGGCATGGGTTGCATTTTAGCGTAGACTGTCTCGACAGCCGATTCAACTTCTGTGACGAACCAAAGGGAAGGAAGACCAGACCTTGATGGGTTCCGACTTCAACAAAGAAGTAGAGTACTGCAAACGGTGAATATATGCAGAATATACAAGATTTTCCACTCACATACGCCGAGAAATATGTCTGCCGAACCCTGATTGAAGAAGATGTGACGGTCGAGAGCGGAGAAGATAAATAATAACTGAAATAAACAAACTGACATAAAAACTCAAATATCCTAAAAAAGGAATTAGCTGCCTTCTCCTGCACCATCGACAGAATGGTCTTGTTTTTCACATCTTCAGGTAATTGATCCTTTCTTCTGAGTCTCTCCAAGTTTAATAGTATATTTTAGTTACGCATCCTCCAGTGACTATCTATATGGGCAAGGATAAAGTAGAAAGTGAGTAATAAATCTTTGTCGTTCAGACTTGACACAGATATCCTCCACAGATGAAGAACTGATAAAGTATGCCTGGCCACAGGATGTGTGGTTCCACGTCGACAAGCTGTCCTCAGCTCATGTGTATCTTCGGATGCCTGAATCAATGCAATGGGAATCAATACCTGAAGGATTACTCGCGGACTGCAGCCAATTAGTCAAGGCTAATTCTATCGAAGGTTCGTCCATGTATTCTTCGCGCAAATTATACCGACACCTTTACAGGGAATAAGAAGGACAACCTAACTATCATCTACACTCCCGCGGATAATCTTAAGGTGCGTTCATTCAGCTCTCGCCTAACCATCGAACTTCCTTGTAGATGAAGGACGATAGAAAACGGGAGACATGGCTGTTGGTCAAGTGTCCTTTCACAACGACAAACGGGTCAAGCGAGGTAGCTTGTTGACCCCTTCGCGTATATCTTTTGATCTCACACTTGATTGCACAGTCCACATCGCTAAACGCGAAAATCCAATAGTCAACAGACTCAATAAAACAAAAATTGAGAAGGAAGTCAACCACGAACAGGAAAGAGTTGATAGAATAAAGCAGGAGACTGCACAACGTAGGGCCGCAGCCGCCGAAAAGGTAACACATTCCCCTTCTTTCGATTCTACTAATCTGAACAAGATTACCACAGAAGAAGGCAGATCAGGAGCTGGCCCGTGCTCGAGAAGCAGAAAAGGCCGCTCGATCTTATGACTCCCTTTTCAACGTACCAGAAGACGAAGATTCAACAGAGCCAAGAAAGACCGGACGAGAGTTGGAAGAAGATTTCATGTGATGTACTAATGTACTTAAATAACAGGTACTAGGATGTATCCAATAGATTTCAAAAAGATGACAAGTTGTATTCTACAGTTATTAATAATCAAGATTCCCGCATCATTCAATATCCTGGCTTTCCCGAGTCAACAGTGACGGGTAACGCGACATACTGCTCCCTAGCCTGGCGACGAAGACGGAATCGTCGAATATGAAAGAATGCGAGCCCGCAGAACAACACGACACTGACTCCTCCAATAAGATGCTTCTTAGAAACTGGCCATTTACATCCACCTTTGGAACGGGAAGGAGTAGAGCTGCTAACAACGCCATCCAGAGCCCAGCTGCACATGGTGTCAATTTGGAAGTGAGTTCGAGCGCTATGCGGCCACACGTACGTTACAGAAGGTGGCTCTCCATGAACTTTAAACAGCGGGCTAGTAGCAATAACATCTTGGACGTCGCTAGGGGATACCCATAAACGTCGACACCGCCAACGATACAACGACACTCACTTGACATGCGTCGCCTGCAGGTAATAGACATCACTATAAACTCAATCACATCAGTTACCAGGCAGGGCGATGTGTTCGGGCCTTGCGCACCTCTGCGCAACATCATCGTCCATCGTCCACTGCACAGATCCAAGCGTGGTCTCGACGCTAGTCGCCACCTGCCAAGAATCGAGCGTCAAGTCGTTTTGAAGCTGGAAAGTAATCAACTCCGGATCGCCTGCTTCTACAATCCAGGAGACATTCGCTGGCCTCCCAGCCTTGAGAACAGCCTTGGATTCATGGCATCCGCCAGGGCCCGGTTTCAGGAGCTGGAGTCCTTCGACGGTTACGCTGGCAGCTAATACAAGTGCGCTATCGGGCAGCAGGTCAATCTATTTGGAGGGGAATAGCTTGGAAGCTCACGTACGCGGCTTTCAGAGGCAACATGGTGGTAAGCAGGGAAGCTGACAGCCATCGCAGTCTCTGTTATCATGATGCACAGCCCTTGCCTGGACTCGCGTCTCGGCCAGAGACCTCAGAAGAAGTCAAATATATACAGTTCTTGCTGGGAGAGGTTACTCTCTGAAATACGGAGCTGCGCTAGTCCCAGCCGCATATTGTTGTGGCCAGGGGCTCAAATATTTATTTAAGAAGAGCTCGGGATTGAAGATATAGATCAGGGGCAATATCCAGGTTCGGCATCTGGAATACCCGGGGCAACTGGTCGCTGAAATTCGACCATTTTCTTGTGACTCGGTGAAGTTTTTGGCACAGTATTGCACATCAATACATGTTTATTTAATGATCGCCATCGAGTCGTAGATTCCTAATAGTACAGAACAGATATACCAGCTGCATATTCTCACTTCTTAGCCTCAAACTTCACTAGGTATCTCTTCGGAAGGCAGCTTTCTTCGCTCCGCCTTTCATAGACTTTCAGCCTTTCTCCATCCCGAATCAGTGTCAACCTGCTCGTCATTCCATTCTTCACGACAAGCTCTTGAATGATCTTCAAGACCTTCACTAACTTCTTCAAACTGGGCTGCACAATCCTCGCTTGCTGACTCAGAGCATTGAGCTCATTCTTTTCAACAGCATGAAAATATCCCCGATCGTGAATGCCAAGGAAGTGAAGAGACGTCTGTGAAAGGAAGAGCTGGGGATACTGCTCGTACCAGTCAAATTGAGGGCGTCTGCGTTCCGAGACAGTAGTGAGTTCAACTATAGCGTTTTGAGGAACGTAGGAACCACCCGATTTGACTGTCAGTGATCGCGACGGGGTGACTGGTATAATGGAAGTCGTGGGTGGTCCTATGTTAACTGCCGAAAGCAAGTTCGAGAGTTCGTCAACGGTCGCTGACGAACTCGAACTTGACGTGACAGGGGCGCGCGCGCCTGGTTTTACGGATATGCAGGCGTCAACTTCGAACCGGACCACCATTTTGAAGCCCCCAAGGTCCTGAAAATCCGGTTAGCATATGTGAGAGGGGACTATGTGGACCATACATAAGTAATAATGCGGTGATGGCCACTACTAGATTCACATCCAATCGCAGGGCTGGTAGTATGGTCTTCGAAGCCATATCCGTACGAGTATCCGGAAGCTTGTTCCTTATACCTCTTATCCCATCTATTCAATAATACAGTCTTCTTCCCGGCGAGCTGCATATCGATCCTGAATTCTTTCATGCTCCTCTCATTATTTCCTCCCCCGATCCATCTAAGGAGTTTGCGAAGGCAGTTGCGATCAGTAACAAAATCGGCGGAAGACCAATCGAAAGGCAATTCCTTCTTATCTTCCGCTACGGTCTCGACAGCAACCATGAGCGGAAGAAGGATAGCAGAAGGCATCTGAAAGCCATTTTGGTCAGAAAAGAAGAAACCTCTGTCAGCGGGGATTCTGTAAGGGACAGCCTTGTTCTGCCACTCTGGTGGTGAGCCTATAATTGAGATCGTGAGCGATACTATCTCCATGCGTTGTGCTGATCTCACCAGGTACAACTATTGCCGGCGACGGGTCTGATTCAGATTCAGAATTCTTGATCCAGTTGTAGGAGCCAATGTACTCGACGTCTTTAATACCGACCACGGTATCGGATATGTTGAGAGTGGGGATGGTCAACATATCGATACATTTGGTGTCTAAACCTTCGAAAATGTCCTTATCTGGGGGAAGAGGCGCAGAAGGAGCACTGTCAGGCGGATTTGAAGACATATGCCTGGCAGCGCTATGTCTGGATGAGAGCGCGGGGGAAGAGTGTCCTCTGGCTCGATGATACATCGTAGAACAAGGCGGTAAGCTGGTTTGATGAAGGGAAAGCGACTTTTAAGTAAACGATGAGTCACATGCGAGGCAAGTTAGAGTTTGGGTAGACGCCCAGATAATAAAAATATGTTCGTTACACTCAACCAAGAAGGCAGTGAACTTTTTGAGTCAGAAAAAGTTAGTCAGAAGACAGAGCCTCCAGGTGAGAGATGCAGAGAGAACTAATTCCCCGAATCGACCTTCCGGATTTTATTCTGCAGCAGAAACTGATTTATGAGTCACTTCTGGGAAGGAAGGAAGTTTGTCTCATTAGTCGACGTTGTTCCTCGAGGGGATAGCGGGTAATTATGAAAAGGCCTGTTTAAAAGCTGCACCTGTTTTAGAAAGGTTTTTGATGCCGAAAACTTCCCGGCTTGTAAATACCCAGCCAAATAGAGGACACATTTCGACGTGTTTTTGAGGGTATTTTTTGGGTCCAAATACGGAATGAAATACCACTTTCTAGACGTATCTTAAGGTTTTTCCGAACGTCCGTTGTGCAACCCAGAAAATACTTATCCTAAAGAAAAACACGTCGAAACATGTCCTGTGCTTCGCTACGTGTTTACAAGCCGGGTTAATGGCATTAAAAACCTTTCTAAAAGCAGATGCAGCTTTTAAACAGGTCTTTTCTCCATCGTAACAGTAAAGCAGTGTGAACGAGGCTGAGTGAGCCGGCCGGTGGGTTCCGTATTAGGTAATCACCCTGGAACCTTCTTTTCCTCCATTAGGGGTCCTGTCATTTACCACATCATTCACTGCAGAGCCGCGCTGTATGTTGCCCATGAACCTCAGCCATGCACGAACACACGAACGGAACATCACTTGTTGGCTCGGTGTTTGAACGGAAACCTTCTTTTGCTCTACGTAGGCCACCCCAGCTGCCATCATCGGGAAAGACAGGGTTTCCAGCCGCACAACATCGCTCGAAAAGTGCTTTTGCACGGCAACGAGATGAAGAACGCAAGACGGGGAATACTAGACTACGTGGTGTCCCTCCAGTTGTTCCAATTCCCAGAGTTCAACCGTTTACACCTAAAGATTTGGTGACCCATGGACGTCAAGAAGAATCTGTGGCTGATTGGCGGGCAGAAATCAGCCGACAGAATGAACTGCAGGTGCAGAGCATGAACGCAGAGGAAAGAGAGCGCGAGCGGAACGAGATATATGAAAGATTTGGGGCAGACATCGGTGACATTTTGCGGAGAGCGAGGGAGGCACGCGAAAGACAGGCGGAGAGAGACTCTGAAGAAATGAAGCGTAAACAGCCTGAAGGCGAATCCGTTACCGGTAAGAGGTCTGCAATATCACATTGCTACAGTTTCTTACTGGAATTTAGCCGGTGGCAATGGCGAATTGCAGGAGTCAGGTAATCAATTGCATCTTTGCAAAATTCGACACCATTTAACAACATGTACAGACCTGTTTACCAACTCAAGGCGAAATTTAGAAAAAGGTTTTCCTGAAGGTATGCTTCTTATCTAGTTGCCCATGTTTTACTGACCGCGTTCTCAGTTCCAATAACATCTGAAAAGCCTGTCAGTCGTTCAGGTATACCACTTGCACTAATCTTTTCTTTGACCCCGACATCTGATTTGCATCATTTTCAATAGTTTCCCCTCCGTTGGCATCATTTCCTCCTCCCTCTCTCTCTGCGAGTGCGACGCGTCCATCAACGCCCAACAGAGCTCTGCGGAAGATAAGGTTTGCCGAATTGTCGCCAACCGACGTACATGTCTATGAGTCAGCACCACCTTCTCCTCGCAAGAAGACCATGCTAGCTTTGCCCCCGCCACCCCTTGCAGGAACAGATGAGGATATTGTTTCTTTAGGAACGTATCCTACTTCCGGCATGACATCTGCAGAGGATCCTGAAGAAGGCAGTCCAGAGTATATTCGTCGGAAATATTTCCCCTCTGCTCCGTTCTTCAATCCCGATCTAGCGTGGATGAAGCCATCCACATCGGATGACCAGTTGGACGAATCTTCACCACTTGACAAACTACGGTTTGATCTCTCGGGCAATCCGATTCCATCGTCTATCAGTTTAGCTCTTCCTACGCATTTGGGTTTGCATCACCATGCTGAGGGATCGCACGCTGGATATACTCTTGATGATATATTCTTTCTGACGAGGTCCAGTGTTGCTGCTCAGAGGGCGGCCATGCTGGGCGTTTTGAATGGCGTAGTACGATGGTTAAGGGATTGTATCAGAGGCCGAAATTCATCGACAGATGATCTAGTGCTGAATGACCTATCTGCCAAGTCTGCTACGCTCCTCAAGCGTATCTTGTTTGCCGGTCTGGAGGTCTTACCTGAGCAGGGAAGTGTTGGAGCACGAGGTATTGCAGTTGTCTGGCAATGTCTTGTTGGCTGGGAGGCTCAAGAGATTGATGACCTACAGGTTGACTTGAATGACGTAGAAGCTGCCTTTGGGGAGGTCGAACTCAACACATCAGTCGATGTCTCTACCGCCACCACCATTACTCCGCCTCCGTCTATATCTACCTTAATCGATGCTCTACCTCTTCCTGAGATGCTCTCGCAGTTAGCTCCCTTACTCTCATCTCCGCCCGATTTCAACTCTGTTGAATCCTCCCCTACTCCTAATCAACTCCAGCTCCTCGCTATCGTTCACCGGATTTCCAAGCATTCCAGCATTGCGGCCGAAAAGATTGTCCAGACGTCCAACCTTGTTGCCAGTATTGTCAATGTCTTCCTGCTCTCCCCTAGCGCACCACATCCTTCCGCTATCCACTGCCTCATCACTCTCGTTAGTGCTTCGCGACAGAACGCCAAAGCGCTTTGTGATCCGGCGGATGCGATGCTCAAGTTCGTCGCAAGCACCATACCTTCCATTGATGGAACCATGCAATATCCTGCCGAGTTGGCCCATGAGCTCTTGGTGTCCACCATCCGGTTGTACACCTGTCTGGGACGGTACGGGATGTATTCTCATACCGCGACAGACGCACAAGAGCTGTGGATGCGTCTTGCTGTCTATGTGGCGAATACAGGGGGGAATTTAGCACAGCCATGGGCTGAATTGATAGGGACGTGGATAATTTGCGCGACAGATCCTCACAGAACATCTCCAAGTCATGACATATTGTGGAGTCAGGTTGTTGCGTGGGGATGGGCCGAGGACATGTTGGCATTGAAGGCCTGTGACCGATTACTGGGAGATAAGGGCTCGCTGAGGCAGGTAATGGATACACAAGGTGCTATCTGGAGATGTATCAGTGCATGGCTGGAGGGCTCCCGAATCAATAGTACTCGGGGCGGCCAAGCGGAACGGGAAGCGGCTTTAGCTGTCTTACAATCCGGTTTTGAAAGCGAGGCAGGCCTGGCCAGACAGATCACCTTGGCCGCCGTAGAGGGCCTCAAGGCTGATCTACAGGATCTGAAATCAACAGAAGCTCAGTCACCGTGGCTACCGACTTTGTTGAGCGCAGGGAGGTGCGCCAGTACGCTGACAGCTGTGATACGGTTATGGTTGGCGTGCATACCTTCATCGAACGGCCCATCAGAGTCGCCACCATTTCATCTCCCTTTCTCTAGGATATCGCAGCTATGCGCCCTGTTGGTTTCGCATCCGGTCTGGAGTTACCTTTCCAAATCTGAACGCCGTGGATTAGCCGGTGCATATACGAGAGTGATGTGTCGGCCTCTTGCATCTCTCCTCTACTATTATCTCCGCTTGTCGAGAAAGCTTCCCGGAAGTTCAGATGATCTGTGGATGGCACAAGCTTTTGCTATCATCCTTAGATTTTCTCCTGGGGATGAAGACTATGCACTTGCGATCATGGACAACCTTCTCGGGATGATTACGGGTGGTTGGGCCAAGCAGCGGCAGCTCAAGATCCCGGACATCATTTGGGAACGGGGCGGGATGGATGCAATCAGACCCATATTACATCACGTTATTCAGTCGAGAGACGATGTCCAGATTGCGCCCACAAGTCCTACGCCCAGATCCATCTTGCTCTCAACGTCTCAGAGACTGCTGACCTCCGTGCTCATCACAACAGATTGGGATCCCGTTGGACTTCCGTTAAAGGGAGATTGGGCTTTGACGCCGATTGACCATGTTCTGCGTTCTGGGCACGAGTTATCTGTATTCCAGCGTAAAGGCGCGTTCCCTTCATCCTGGGACACATCGGAGACGGAGATAGTGCGTGCATCTCTTCTTCTGGCACAGCTTGGACGAGAGGCTGTGCTGAGATTTGCTTGCGGCCTAGCAGACGTCACGTTATCTGTACCGGAAGCTGTTTTCGGATGTATGAAAGTCTTCATGCTGGAGCACGAACAGGATCATAATAAGGGTCTAGATGAGGTATTCCGTGATCCAGCTGTGGGGTATCTGATGAATGAGTTGGTTTCTCCATATACAGTGGGCATGCAACCGAAAGTCAAGTCGACTCGACAAGACGATTTGGAGGCGGTCGCTGCAAGATTCCTTGGGGCTGGTACACCCTTTTACCAGTATTACACAGATTTTGTGGCACTGTATGATTCGATTTCTTTTGCCCATCCGTTATTCGCTCGACTTCTTCTACCTCCAACGTCGATGAATTACGCTGTGGATTATCGGAAACATCTCTGGCTGGATTATGGGCATCTCATCAAGAGCATTCATGTACTTCTCAATGAAGTCATTTCCCAGGATATTCGAGAGTATCTCTATCCCGTTGAGCACAGTTCTGAGATGATAGGTGCTTATGTTCGTGCACTTGTGACGATAGGCCCTTCGATGGACGGATTTGTCCGCTTCATCGCGGTTCATCACGTCGCGTGTAATATCTGGTCGGACTTGGTGGTGTCACCCGGAGAGGACGCGTCGGCGAAGAAGCTATTTGGGCTTCTCATTGCGCAGGGAAGTAAAGACATCCTGACCGATATCCTAACATACAAGCAGGTGTCCGATGGGCCTGTTTTGTTGGCTCCACATTGTTTCGGATGTGGGGACGAAGTGAAGGGAAAACGAGCGGAATATATATTGCGTTGGACAGACCAGGCTGTTTTAGAGAAGATGTTAGCATTATTTTAGTTTGCTGTAGTTCTTCATAATACTTAATATAATGCGTATATACTTATCTTGCGATCGGCCCGGGTGCTATTTCGAATTCACCCCATCTTTTGCTTACTCAGTTGAAACCAATCCTCGTAGCTTATCGCAGCAACCATGCTTTCCAAGGTGACCTACAAGCAATTGCCCACCCACAATGGGTCGAGAACCAAACCATGCCACCGAAAAACGAAGGGAGTCTGCGTGATCTTCCTAGTGATCTTCGTCTTGGGTGTCGGTCTGCATCGTGCTGGATTTACACACTCGTTTTTGGGTACCAGAAAGTGTGCTAGTTATAGCTTATCTACCACGGGAGGCTTGCCTACGCACTACACTTTGCCCTCTGGAGACAAGATTCCTTCGGTCGCTCTTGGTGGGTTCCACATTAGTTTCCGAGTACGAGGAGATTCACCGCGTTCACCTAGGTCTGTGGAAAGCGGGAAAGAACCAAGTCGGAAATGCTGTACAGGTAAATGTTCTACAGGAAATGGAAGATGAATAATATCCCCTTAAGCTTCATGCTTAAGGCCGCGGTGGAATCTGGATACCAGCATCTCGACGGTGCTTGGATCTACGGGGTGAGTGTGGGGCTGGCTTTATACTCAGACTGCTGTATTCTCACTGTGTCTCAGAACGAAGCGGAGGTGGGCGCCGCGCTGAAACGAACAAATATTCCTCGTGAAGATATCTGGTTGACTTCCAAGGTCATTAAACTAAAAAATTATTTCCATGGCGCACGCGTTTTCATTTGGCTTGTTTTTTTTTTTAAGCTGTGGAACTCTTTCCATGACCCCGAAGATGTCGAAAGTGCTCTCGATGCGTCATTGTCTCGACTCGGGACGGATTACTTGGACCTCTATCTTATTCATTGGTCTGTAAACCCTCACATTCGTTAAAATATGCTTTGTTCAAAGAATCCTGCTTTTAGGCCTCTTGCGCTTAACAGAGATGGGTCTGTATATAATCAAGCGCTCACCGACGATCCGTATCCTACTTGGAAGAAGCTTGAAGAACTAGTTGATAAGGGTAAAATCAGGAATATCGGTGTCAGCAAGTGCGTTTTTACATGCGTATTTTTGGTTCTTCAATTGGGGCGGTCAGAATCACCAGAATCGAACGATTATTCTGGGGACAATTCTGGAGATGAGGGATTATGGACGTCATTTTGGACAATTCAAAAGGCAGCATCTCCGGGAAGGCACACCATAAATTATAATGGTGATTCTCCCAGCTCGATTCTGGTGCGATTCTGCAGCATCGACCCATAGTCGACTCCAGAATTGTTTTTCAGAATCGCGATTCTGACCGTCCCTAAATGTGCTCATTTCTGTTTGCAGTTTCAACATCCGCAGGTAAACCTCACTGTCCTGTCCTGTCTTTGAATCTTCGTCACGGCTCATTGTCCCTTCTTCTTCTTTCCAGGATCCAAAATTTGACCGCTAACCCATTGAAATATCCACCCGCGGTTAACCAGGTCGAGATCAATTTCTGGTTCCCACAAGCCGAGTTGCTAGCCGTAAGCATTACCCACTTTTCCCCCGGTCTCACGCTCACCGGAACACCAGTGGTCTAAAGAGTACGGACTCTTGTTAGAAGCGTATTCCCCTCTTGGAGGCGATGGACGTGTCGGAGAGACACTCTCTGTTCCTGTGGTCAAGGAAATCGCCGCTGAACTCGGCATCACTCCCGCTCAAGTCATCAATTCATGGCATGTCCAGCGCGGGGTATGTGTCACCACCACCATCATCATCACACAGAAGCGATCGCTCACATATATCTCCAGACCGTCGTCCTTCCGAAGAGCGTAACCCCATGTAGAGTGGAAGAAAATTTACATAGTTCGTTGTCCCATCTACGATGGCTGAAACTTTGGCTAACTTGAGAATTGGACAGTCACGAAGCTTCCCGATGAACTCTTTGAGAAGCTGGAGACAGCCGCGATATCGCACGAACCGAAGAGAGGAGTGAATCCGAGCAAAAGCTGGGGTATTGATTTTGACATCTTCGATTGAGAATGGAAATGCGCTCTATGGGAATCAAACTCTACAGTTGTCTAGATTGAAGATCATGATGTCCTGTGCACCAATCTTGACCAAATCGTCCATGATATCTGCAAATTTCCTCTTCTCGACCATGCTACTGACTGCGACCCAGTTCTCCTCCTCCAGGGGACTTATAGTGGGTGCCCTTCGCCCGGGAGTGATGATCGTCGCTGCAGGGAGCTTATCACGTGAGATGTTGTATTGACAGACGACGTATCTGCTGGCTGCGACGACGCCGGCGATACGGCTCGTAATTTGCTTGAGCAAAGGCTCGAGACCAGGATGTTTGGGAACGCTGGACTTGATGAGAACGGCTTCTGTCTCTAGAACCGTCGCTATCGCGTGCAAACCAGCTGCACGCATGGTATCACCGGATTCTACAAGATCGACTGCGGCAACATATAAGTATAGAACAGAACATACATGGGGGTGGTGGTGATAGGTTACGCACCAATCCCATCTGCCAGTCCCAACGCACAGGCCGCCTCCACACTCCCACCTACATACTCGATCTTCGTCCTTCCCTCGCCATGCAAGCCCAGCTCCTCATCCACCTTGGAGAAATACTCCCCAGATAAGACTTCAAAGCTCGTGACGACACGTTTGCCCGCAAGGTCCTTTATGGTTTTGATTGGTCCGGCCTCAGGGACCTGGACCTGGAGGGAACATTTCCCAAAGCCTAGCCGTAGGGCCTCGGTGACATGCTGCTGCATCTGGGATTCGAGGATCACATCATGGCCTGTTATTCCTAGATCGACGTTGCCTTTACCGACGAAAGATGGTATGTCGGATGCGGGGAGGAACACACTGATTAATTGGTTTTCGGTTAGGGTGGGTTGGTGCGTGAGGGGTCTGTCTTACAGGGCAATGGGATGATTCTGCACGAGGCATACATCCAGTCTATTGTGCCTCCGGAATTGTATGTCGGCACCTAGGGGAGAAATGGGTCGTACGTAGATGAACTGGTTCGTCGTCGGAAGAATGTGACTCACCTGCCAATATTGATAGACACTTTTCGTACAGCCTACCTAATAGATAAAAACGCTTTAAGTATATATTCTTTCTGATATTTCCTACACTCACTGACCCTTCTTCGGGATGGCGAATAACAGGCGCCCATCAACGGTTTCGACGACATCTGTACAATGTGAGTCATGAATAAGCATTCTTTTCCGGCGCCCAAGAAAGACAGACGACAGACTCATATCGAGTTTAGTACGAGTTCGAAAGCTGGGAATCTAGGGTACTAGGGTGTATGAACAGGACTTAAATTGGGGGGGGGGGGGTCCAGAAATTTTGAGATCGAGGACAAATGAAAAGTGGAAAAAGTGCGTGGCTGTGCTGATGATCGGCAGTTTCTCTCAGGCTGTTCCTTGTCATCCACCACCGCATCCGAATGGGTTAGTTTTAGTTTGTCCACCATCACTTCAACTAAGCATTCAAACTTGTATGAATAGAACCCTTTTATAATTTTTCTGCGAGGAAGCGGTTTTTTATTGCATGACCAACTGGATTTATAGCGGTTACTAGCATCTATTTCGCTCGACTGGAGCGTTCATTTTCTCGAAAGAAGTACGATTCTTCTGGCGATAACGGACCTAGGAACGACTATACTCCATCGGGCTGGTATACCGCTCATCGGACAAGGTGCACAAACGACAGACTGGTTGTTTGTTGACAATAAATTGGCCCGAGACCATCGTGCGATAGTGATCAGCCCAGGGAAAACTTAAAGGGGGGGGGCGGGGGGGTTGTTCTCCCGTGAAGGAGGCGTCTTCTTCGCCTTACTGAGCCTAGCTCACGCGATGTTAAGTCCTTTTAAAAAAGTTTCCAGAAAGATAGTAATGATTAACATTGTATTGTATACATTCACGGATGTACGGTACGGTTTCAAGTCGGACATTACCGATTTCTTTCTTCTCCCCCTTCTTCTTCTCCTGGAGCCGGGCACAATAATATCGGGTTCAGGAACGACGACGGAGCTCGGAACGACTTTACCGATATATTCGAACGCCTTCGAATGATGATAATCGACAAGCGCTTGTTATGAACCATACTAACCGAACGGCATATTTACAAAGGGTCTGGCAGCTACGCACCAAGCTATCTTAGTCCAGCGTATCAGATCCCCGCTGGGAAAAATATATAATATCGAGGTGATGGACCGAGTGATTTACAGTGTTACCATGACTATTTTCGTATTCCTACCTGATATCCAGGTGATGTACTTGGGTAATCCTCAACATCTGTTCGGCATAGTACTATATACGCCTCGGTGCCTTTCCTCGCCTTTCAATTGTGTATGAGACAGAAATTTTCCGGAACCGTCGTGGCTTCTGCTACGAAAAGAGAAAAATAGGGGCTACCGGCAATTGCCGACGTCCAGCGAGACATTCTTCACAAGAGCTTTCGCCGTGTGGCCCAAAGGTCGCCGCAGACATTCAGGACGACCGCCCGTCATGGATCCTCTGCTGGCATTGTCGCTCAAGGGAAGGCTCTCAGAATTCGCGGCAACCCCGCTGGAACCCATCAAACAGTCCCTGCAAGACCACGTCGAGTTCGCTGTTTTTTTCTAGACAAGCTTTCTTGCAATTCAATGGCATTTTTATTATATTCACAGCTTCGTACCATCACGGGTTCCCCTGCAACGGAGACTTCAAATGCTGGCGGTGGCGTCGTGGTCGGTCCTTTTTGTCTTGATGACCTGCCTGTTTCTCTACCTTTGGTGCGCCACTTGTCTACAGAGAGAAGCGTTCGCTAGGCTAACTTTATCTTCATCTTCGATTCTCTTCAAGCTCTTTTCCCCCATTATGGCCTTTCCTCGCCCTCTATCACATCTGGGTTCATCACATTGACAAAGCGTCCATTTACGGGGCAAGGCCAAAGAAATGGTTTCGTCATTTTGTCTGGTGGAGATATTTTGCCGACTATTACCCTATATCGTGCGCGCTGGCGTTTCATTCTCAACGCATCAAATTCACTGATGTCGATGTGTTGAAAGGCTGATGAAGGTGATTGGGTTTCAATGTGAAATAGCGATACGCTCAACTCTTGTACTTGTATAGGAAGCTGATCTTCCTGCGGACCGAACCTATATCTTTGGGTACCATCCTCATGGTAAGCTGGCATGTCATGCTGTGTGCTGTGTTCTTCATCTCAGTCGGCCGAAATCACATAGGAATCATTGGAATGTATGTCTTCATTCACCCCCCTGTACATAACATGACGCATTTTTCATCCAGGGGTGCGATGGCTACCTTTGCAACGGAAGGCATGTTTTCCCATCCGCTCCGTCTCAAGTACCGTTAACCCATTAATGCTTCCCTGCAGCAACCGGGTTTTCGAAGGCTTTTCCAGGAATAACTCCCCACCTCCTGACGCTCACCAGCAACTTCAAGCTTCCGTTTTACCGGGACCTGATTATGTGGCTCGGTATAGCTAGCGTATGCAAGAGATCATGCAGCAATATTCTTGCAGGCGGTCCCGGACAATCTATAACCATCGTCGTCGGAGGCGCCGCCGAAAGTCTGAGTGCACATCCAGGCACCGTCGACCTCACTCTCAGGAAACGGTATTCTTAAAAAGAGATGTTTTTGCATATGCACTCTGTAATCTGATTTCTCTCTAGACTTGGTTTCATCAAAGTTGCTATTCAGCAAGGGTGCGTGCGTCTTGTGTATCTGGGGGCCAGACTGTGTAAAACGACAACAGGGCGAATCTCGTGCCAGTCTTCTCCTTCGGTGAAAACGACGTAGGCATCATTCAAATTTACATTTTCAGAACATGATAGTCATCTCAGTTGTGTATCAGATCTACCAACAGATGCCGAATGAAAAGGGGACGACAGTATACCTTCTCCAGAAGAAGTTTCAGTCGATCTTTGGATTCACTTTCCCACTCTTCCATGGACGTGGACTGTTGAATTGTCAGGGGTTCATTACCTCGAGCTTATACTAACTTTTTAACACCCCTATAGATAACCTAGGTCTGATGCCCTACAGACGGCGAATCGTCGTCGTCAGTGAGTTATGGGTATTTCTCCATTGTGGGCATTGCCTTAGCCCTTTCCCTTCTCTAGTCGGTCGACCTATTCACGTCAAGCAGATAGATAAACCTGATATAGAGGAGATTAGGCGCATTCAGTCTCTATATATTGATGAGCTGACACGGTATGACTTGCGTAGACTCGTTATGGGAAGCTTACCTGAATATATCCTATGGACCTCAGAATCTGGGATACGTACAAGGACGACTTTGCGAAAGCACGAAAACGAGAACTGAACATTATCGAATGAAACTCCGCTGCTCAATAATCTATGCTCAAATTTTGTGGATGTACATTTATGGATTTCTAACGTTTATCGCGGAGCTGTATCATCACGTGTAACTGTTTATAGATTCGTTCCCCCCAGTCTCAGTAATGCCACCGGGAACGTGTAATGTGCGTGGCTCTGTCTTGACTTTACGATTTGTATACTGACCCAGGTTGTTTGTTGCCTAGGCTAAAGGACACTCTTACCTTAGACTGTTTTATCGTCCTAGAATACATGCCCTTCAAAAGCCACGACTGTCGACGCTGCTTTTTGAACTTGTCTTTGCGACCCTGGCTTTACGAACACGCTCTGATGTGTATTTTAATGGTAGTATACGGGCATCGCACCGCATCTGGTGGCCCATCTGGTCACTCTGTGCATATAGACTCTGGAAAGAGTCGGTGGAAAAGTGAGAAGCCAATGGCAGAGCGGGCGTTCCGTAGTGCTCCGCCAGACCCATCCGATTCATGGCCCAGACTGCACCGGGATAATGCAGAAAGAAATACCAGGCGCTCGCTTGTGAACCGATGGTCCGTATGGCTTCGCGTTTTCTGCGCCTCTCTTTACGTACCACTTATTGACTACGCTCCCTCGTCGTTCGCTGTCCAACGGGATCAGAATTCCGGGAACAACCGGTTCCATCGTGAATCTCCGAGAGGAGATCTTTTACCACGGCCATCATCTTCCATGCAGACAGACACACGACACACGCGTACCTGCATACTTTAATGCTAATCGTTGACGCTTTCCAGAACACGCCAGGCAGGCCGGGCCGACGTTGTCCTATGACGAGGGGGGTATATAGGGAATGAAATGCCAAGAGGACCCCGGGGAATGCAGCATTGAATTCTGGACCGGAGTGAGAGAAAAACGCTTTCAATGCTTCCAGTACCCGATCGAATTCCAACGTTGTTGGGTATTCTTATTCTAATTCACAGCCCGCTCAGAACCGGGAGACAAGGAGAATGCCGAGCGCAGCCTCGCTGTAACAATGAAGCCGCCAAATTTCCGACGTTGGCAAACAAAAAAAAAAAATTGAATCCATTCCCTTTGTGTGACAGATGGTGCGGTTTCTCGACATTCATTTCTCTCGGGGGCTTGAGTGATGTATGCATCGTTCACCGAGGGATTCAGGCCAACAGGTAGGTCCTCATGACCCTTATTGACTAATGATTGTATGCTCGTTGATTCTTCGAGATGGGTTCAAGAGATTGGCCGAAGATCGTGACCATTCTCGACCGTCCGCATGAAAAGATCAGTTGGAAGGTTTGATGCCCATATTGGGATCAGCACGGGGATTGCCGGAATGGTCACTTTTATCTCGATTTCGGCTCGCCGGATTAGGCAATCGGTATGTTGCTTCTGTGCTCACAAGTATACGAACTAGCTTGTCCGGATCTCTCCTGGGTTACAGCGCACTGGGGGATCTGTCAGAATCCCAGGCGGCCCGAATATAGTTTCTTTTTGGGCTGTGTCCACCTTTTTTTTTTTTTACTATCATATTGTCCCCGAATATGAGCCTGTTTCCACGTTTGCTTGCTATCCATGTTCCAGTAGCATTGCTGCAGAAAACTCTCTCTCGGATCGTCACTTTTCAACGTTCATCTCCTTGTGGTTAGCCTTTCTCATTGGCGGCGGTGGTTAGGAACACATCTAAAGGTGTGGATTTGTGCTTGCTCTTCATCTTTCTGATTCCTCAGGCTCCAAGTAATACCCTACCTACCTACCTACCTATCCCAGGTTCGCAATGGCAGCTACAGATTGGGAATTTCCCTTCGTCCTCGAGTGCCCCGTTCCAAAAGGAAGGAAGCCGACGTCTATTCCAGATACGACACAGTTTTCTCGAATCACTGAATGTCTTTTCGGAGTCACCTGTGCAACGCCTGAAGAACCTTATCGGTGGGGTTTCTACAACGAGGTCTCGACTTATCCATGAGTCTCTTGATATCAACATGCTCACCTCCCCCCTTGTCCTGTTAGCTCTACCTCTTGGATCTCAACGTACCCCCCCACCGCCAAGGTCAAGTGCCAGAGAAAGTGCTAGCCCGGGTTGCTCGTGATGTCAAGTCGAGGTCGGATATCAGCATGGAATCTGAGGTATCTACCCGTTTCTCACAGTCCCCCTTGGCATGATGCATACTGGAGACAATTTCAATTTTATTTTTAGATCGCAACGATGGTCTTTGTGAGGCTCAAGACAACCATTCCTGTTCCAGTTGTTTACGGCTACTGCCCGACCCGCCATAACGCCATCGGGCAAGCATTTTCTATCATTTCTTTCGTAAGTTTCGTGATTTCGCCCATGCGCCCCCCCCCCCCCCCCCCCCCGGTTGTGGGCGCTTATAACTTGATCTATCAGACCGAAGGATCAGACATGAACGGAGCGCCTTGGGAGGACTTGCACCTGGACCTCAAGCTGAACGCCATCCGTGACTACGCTCGCATAGTGCTCCAACTCTCCCAACTAAAATTCGACCGCATCGGTTCCATCTACTTCAAGCACGACGCTGCCCCGCCCGACTGTTTCAGGCTCGGACCCGTGGCGTGGTGCAAACACGAGTCCGCAGCCCGCAAACGAAATTGCTCATATGATCGTGGCCCGTGGAAGGTATCTGGTCCGTGGCTCAGGGCAGCCCTCACGGAGGAGATCGAATTCATGGAGCGCCTGCCAGAGCTCGCCAAAACGTCATACGGCTATCGGAACGACATCAATATGAAGTGGCGGTTGGCGCAGAGTGTGCTCCCCCAATTTCGGGACCGTATACGTGATGTGATCGAGGACGAACTGGATGGCTGTGCAGCGGGACCATTCGTTCTGGCCCACATGGACTTCAATCCATGGTATGGGGGCCTTTCAATCAAGCTATTTTGAGCCTGACATCCCCCTCCCCCCCCTCCTGCGTTTAATAGGAACATGATAATAGCGCCCGACGGTCCTAATGCAGGGCGCATCCTCGCTATCATTGATTGGGAGATGGCTATGACTGTGCCGCTCTGGACGCTTGTCTGCCATCCTTTGTGGTTCGAGAGCAAGGGCTGCCAGCGAAAGCGAGACCCACAGGAAACACGCTTGTTCAAGGACACGTACGTCCGCGAGCTGCAGAGGTACACCACGGAATCTTTGGTCCTTCGCGTCGTCCAAAATCCGAGATTAGAGCTGAAAAGGCGGTTCGCTGAGATGGCTGTCGCGTCCTGGGACAAGGCCGAATGTATAAAGGCATGGATGGATAAGCATCCGAAGCAGGAGCGATAACAGGATGAAAGGGCTGTCATCTTTTTTTTTTTTTGCTTCCGCTCTCGGTATCTTCTAGTTCGTGTTGTTGCTCTGTAATTTAGTTATGCCTTGCTTTGAAAGAGAGAGAGACACTCTCGACATGTTTACCATATGGACCACTACGGCTATCGAAATCCATAATTCATAATTGAGCAAAACTATCGAGAGCTATCTTGGCTTACTAGAACCCGAGATCTCTGGTGTACCGTGTCCGCACCATTTGCTCGACCTCGTTTATCCACCTCTTTCCCACGGACGCAGGGTACTGCTGCCCTGTAGGGCTGACTTCAAGAGGAATACCCTGCGCGCGGCTCAAAAACCTAAACAAAAACTCCTCGACACGTTGCAGAGGCATCAACTGCCCTGACTCGTCTCGCCAGTAACCCCCGCCCGTACGATCAAGGATCCTATGAATGGCTTGCAGATGCTCCATATATTGCATGGAGTCTAGTAGGATCTCGAGACACCTCGTGACGTTAGACCCACTGAGGAACCCCAATACTAAAAGATCACCGACGAACGCGGCTAGGGAGGTCCCAGCGATCGAGAACAGCACCGGTTCAGGATTGCGCGTCGCGAACGCCCTCGGAAACTCCTAAAAGGTGATGGAGATCAACAATTAAGGATGTAAGGCTCCCAGTGGGGAGGAACACAACGCACTCTCAACCAGCAGCTCTCAAATGAGGCCATAGCCTGCTCCACTACTTCAAGGCGGAACGCCTCTGCAACCAGAGGGCCAAACATGGCGCCTAGATTCCGACGTATCTCAACAGTGAACGGCGCGACAGACTGAGGCGTCTCCCTCCCTTTCGCATGGTCGAATTTCCCAAGTGCCGCTCGGTGGACGCACTTCTCCGCTAGGAGGGGGATATCTTGTTCGACCATGAAATCGGGGGAGGCTGCTATCGCCGCGGCGTGGGTGTGCAGGAGTCGTGGGCTACGCGACGATGCGAGGGTGGTGGCGCCTTCGAAGAAGCGCTCTTCCCATCGAGCCTTGAGCGTCGGGCTATTGGCGCTACGGATCATATTCTCGATCTCCTTGTGGGAGAGGAAAGCAGGTGCGTTGCTGTGGAGGCGGTGATGGTCTGCGTCCAGGGTATCTTTGACATCGATGAGGACCGAACGAGGTATAACGTTGTCGAGGAGAGAAGAACGGCGGGCGCGAACGGCGGTCTCGTACACTATTGAGTCCTCACTCTCGGTGGGAGCCGAGGTCGGAGGGCGCGAAGGCGGAACAGCTACACCAGAATTGTTGACTTTTTTCTGCCAATCATGAATGGAGCGCCGTCTTTCTGTGAAGTAGGTGCTGCTGCTGCTGCTGCTGGTCATGGATGAATCGCCTTCCGGATATGCATCGATGGGCGTGTGAATGCTTGTCGCAGAGGATGCGAAAGACGCAGACATCATGGGAGAATCGAGGGATGACGAAGAGCTGGACGCACGGCGCATCTCTTTTGAAGCTTTGCAAGTCTTTGGTGCCGTCAATGCATTGTCTTGCTGCTCGTACAAAGTATACTCACATTAATATTTGATGACAATAGCCGTATACAATTGTTGAAAGACTTGCGCAATGCGAATTCCAAGGCCAGGAAGTGGTGGCACAACCTTAAGTAGGGAGGATACTAAGGAACCACCATGGGGATGCCATTGGAAGAGGAGACAAAGTCTCAGCACAATGAACTGTTAAGTATGATCGATTCCGTAAACGGTGCGCAACAAAGACAACTTGATAAGATCTTGATCGGCAATCAGCGACCATTGAACCTGAGGAATAGGCTTGACTTTAGGATATATGCCGCCAACTCTCTTTTCTAGCATTGATAGCCACCATAATTGTCTCCTCTAGTTTGGTTTATAACTCGGGAATGCTTGATACATCACTGCGCATTAAATGATATTACGCACTAATTTGCCGGATATGTATTACTACTCAGCTTGTTCACTTCACAGTCCCTCATCGTACATCTTCCTCGATAACGCCACATAAAACCTCTCCAGATCCTTCTTGGTCGCCAAATCATTCCGCATCTTTACCTCCTTCTTCTCCAAAACCTCGCTGCCACAATCCTTCTTCAGCAACGGCGAAGGAGTTGGTACCTGCTCTACAATCCAGTCAAACACCGCCGAAAGCTTGTCCGTGGATGCTTTGACAACGTCGTCATCCCTCTGCCGCTCCAAATCCCTCTCCTGCTGTCGTGTAATCTTAGTCTTGAGCGTTTTCTCCGACTCCACTCGCAAATCCGCCTTCTCCTTCCTAGATGCCTTCGCTAGCCATGCCCAGTCCCTGCTCTGGCCCTCTTCTTCCCCTTCATCGGAACTGAAAAAATCGCCGCCGATATCTAATCCTCTAGCCCCTCGGATCTCCCAATCTGAAAAAAGTCGCGTCAGTAACGAAAAGGGAGAAGATGAAAGAGTCATTCACGATCTACGCCCTCCATGACCCCCAGGAATTCCCCCCACTTTGCACTTTGCACTGTAACCAAGCCATCATGGCCCCATTCTTCGAGCTGAGAGCATATGTTCTCTCCGACGTCTCGCAGCCGTTCTCTCTCCTTCTTTTCTACGCCATCTAGAACCATCTTGGGTAACCAGAATGGATGCCAGAGGTTCACGTTCGGCATCCGCCCAGCGACACTAAAGTACTTTACTGCAGGACTGTTTGGTGTACTCGGGTTGAACACGGTATTGAGATACGTTGAAGTAAGGTTCGAATATGCGGGAGAATCCAGAATAGATATAAGGAGCGTGGTGAAGGATGACGGGAGGGAGGAGAAAGAAAGCGAGTAAAAAGGGTTGGAGTTCGGTTTGGCGCCCCTGGCTTCTGGCGGCGCGGGCAGTACGGCAGGCTCGATGGTCTTCGCAAGACGCTCCCCTTCGCGCTGTATCAATCTTCCAATGCCAATATTCTCTGCGCACCAATCCATGAATGGACTACCACGATGTGGAGTGCTCACTGTCGTCAACGATAGAGGCGTATATTCAGACGGCTTGACGTGCGTAATAAGATGTCTGCAGTCTAAACCACCCATTGAGTGTGCAAGCAAGTTGATGCCACGGCCCAGAACCTTGTCGCATAGCTGTCGGTCTAGACTTTCTGCGCGAGAAGCTATTGACCCGGTGCTTGGCACAGCAGTGACTATGACCTCTGCACCAACAGTTCGCCGAAGTATTCGAAGAACATTTGACCAATACTGCATGCGCATACTGGGAAAGGAGGATAGACCACGTTCGTCAAAACCGTAGAGACCTGAGTAAAAGTATGGAAATTCATCGGGGAACATATTCTGCAAGGACACGAACCATGGCACAGAACAATGGGATATCGGGGAGTTCTGAGGGGATTGTACAGCGTTGGATTCCGTATTAGCTGGTGAATGGTGTCCCGGGAAAGCGCGTCCGATTCCGGTGGGGGGTCCGGAGGAAATTTTCGTGACGGAGGCATCTGAGCTGGTTCATAGGATTGGTTGGTCCGTAGTTCCGGCAGCAAAGGCAAAGTGAAAGAATTCCATGACCACTGAAAGGCTCTAGCTGCACGAAAACCTTAGCAAACATAATGGTTTAAGCTAAGCATTTGACGCACAGTGAAGAATACCCGTCTCTGGCCTCCCTAAATTCCAGTACCACCGGTCACCACTCTTCCACCATTCCCAGTCCAACGACACCCATGACGCTGGTGGTTCTTGCGGCTCCTGGTCCTCTGCTGTGGCCCTTTGTTTCAGCAAATACTGATTTGAGATAGATATAGTGGAAATAACGTTGACAAGACTTTTAAGGAGAGAAACGACGCGAACTGGAACGAAAACGCTGCTCATCACCGTGATGGTTGGGGAAAGAGGAAAGACAGTTGAGCGATCTGGATGCCACGACGGATGCTGATGTAATTAATAGCCTCGACCGAACCACTTGCCTGTCGCTTCAACCGGTCCTGCTGGCGGCTGGCCGTTCACCAAGTTGACCTGGATGCGAAAAAAAATGACAAGGAAAAGATTCATAAGTTTACTTTCATCATCATCTTGTCTGGTAGTATTTATTATTTTTTTTTTTTACTGTCCGGCCCGACAAGGCGACACCCGGCCGCGACGCGATTAATATTGATTTTTGATGAATCTGGGTGTTATATATACTTAGTATCTCGGAGGTCGTAAAAGCGCACCTACTTTAGTCAAGTCGATTTGGCGCAATCTTATTTGGGATGTCTTATGACTGATTCTGCCAGTGATAGCCTATATTGTACCTGCAAGCGTGTCTCAGTACAGTCCTTTGCGGGGGGGATCAGTCTGTGTACTTCATGCTCCGAAAAAAATGGTCTTCCCTTTTCAAGTCATGATTCTCAAGACCCGTAAGCTACTGCCAGAGGCCAGTTGGACCTAGACTCCAACCTAAAAAACCAGTTTATCGGCGAAGAATCTGCCGTAGTACGGTGAGAACTCTCCCATCATCATCATCATCATATTTATTTGGTGACGAAGCACCAGTGGAGTCCACGCAATAGATCGCTATGATTGAGTGCGACCAGCCGAGTTAAAACCTTGTAACACCGCAGGTTTTAGCAAAACCAATCAACGAGGGATATTTAAGCGTTCAGGAACGAGTGGAAGGAACGGTCTTTATAGAGCAAACTCAAACTTTCCGCGTTCTTTTCTTGCCTCTCTCCCAGGCTCCGTAAATAAGTGTAGTTTGCTGAGACTGGATTCTTTTTCATACGGTATCTGCCCTGCAATGGTAATGCATAGATAGCAACAAAAGAATAAAAGATACCTACAAGCACCGTACTCGCCGTCTACAAATAGTCGCGCACCCAGAATACCCTTCCTTCCCCTGTTTTGGAAGCCATAGCCTACATTTATGCTGTTTGACAGACCCACTTGACGCAGACTCGGCGGTAATAATCCCTAGGCCAGGTTTCGTGCACACTCGGGACGAATCAAATCCCAAAGTCCCTATCGGCGGATCCAGACTCGCCATGAAAATGGTCAGACGACCTGAATTTGCTCCATTCCAGACGAGAAGTCATTGTTTTCTTGATCCATGATGTATCGCTGACAGAGCGTGAGTCCCAGACATAGAAGATAAGCCTGATGAACCATTTATGAGGAGCAAAAAAGTCAGGACAGCACCACAGGAACCCCGATGTCACCCATTATTATGATGCATGCGGGGGAAATTCAAAGGTTCGAGGGAATCTCGATAATTGTGGCGCGTCTAGGGCCGTCAGTGCTAGGCTGAAAGTGTCCCCGGAACCCAATTCAGTCCGGTGTATGAACCCATGCGAGGCTCTGAAAACCAATTCGGCCTCGCTTACCGATGTCGCGCACATAACTTGAATCCGCCTCTGCTGCGTAACGACATGCTTGCCTGAAGCTCTCCTCACCTACATATGGTCACTCCTTAATCCGGGTTCTAAAAGCGACAACGACGACGATCACCATCAGTCTCCGTTGCTGAGTTACAGTACCTAAATGAAGTCCTAGTTTAGTTAAACGGAACTTAAAGCGCATGGGCGTTGCAAGCATACTGACGTCGGTGGTTCCGGTGCGGACATCAGATAGTTCTGCTGTTGGTTTATTCAGGAACAGTGGTAGGTGGATCTTCGAAGGTTTCCATTATCGTGAGCTTTGAAATCGTTCGACGGCGTCGGAGCCCAGGGTGAACCACTGGTTCACCCCAGGCTCTGGTTCGTCGTAATAAAGCGGTGATGTTTCTTGTCGTCGATAATTTGAAGATGGGTGTGCAGGGCTGTGAAGAGATATCTGGAAAGAGAATACCAAGACAGTGGGAGGGGGAAAGCAAAAGGTATCGCTCGTTATCAAATTTGAGGTTCCGCCGGATGCAGGTCCCCGTCGACTCAGCGAGGACCTACAAACATAGATACGTTAATTCTCGTACACGCTATGAAGTAAAGGCGACAAATTTCAGTATAGTTATGGCCTGAAGGACGAGAAATGACAAACATTAAACTTGAAATGTTGGGAAAACTGAAGGCGCTTAACGACCGCAATCAGCTGAAGTGCATCAACCCGCCACCAAATTGAATCACAGGGTCACTGAGCTTGGGGTCTTTTCCTTCATCCGTGCGAATACAAGTTTCATTGAACAGCTCGAGATACACACGCCAGAACGTCAGTCATGATCGTAACAAAGTGGATACTCATACACTAAAATCGCACCGCTTCCTTATGACACCGTTTTTACCAAACCATCATTGCCGACCTCAAGACGACCAGCACCTAGGAGGCTGTCACCAAGAACAAGGGTCCGAGAGTAAGGAGAGACTTAACACGAACGAAGCCTTCCTGTTCTTCATTCGATAGCTCTTCAAGTGTTTTATTCTTTGTCTCGGGAATGAGCAGGGTCGAGAAGATCCCCGCCAGCATGAACAGCGCGAATGTTTCCAGGCTAAAGGATAGCCCGTTAACTCAGGTATGACCCCTGGGCGCTCAACAAAGATAACCTACATGTGCTTCACAAAGTTGTTAGGCCCACCGATATCCTTCAACCGAGAGAACCCTACTTGGGCAATGATCGCTCCGTTTCCCGCTCGCAGCAGATATTCCATGCGCAGTCGACCGATACCGAGTCGGGAGCGCTTCACCAGGGACGATGAATGTGGTTATGTTTGGCCCAAAGTTCTGGAAGAAGTCGGCGAGGCAGTAGAGGAACACGAAGGCGTCTCTGGAAGACTCGGTCTCGTTGAGGGTGTCAAAGGATCGCGAGCACGATGAAGCCCCATCAGCTGGATAGGCTTGCGGCCCCATGAATCGATAAAGAGGAAACAAACCCAATACCCAGGGATGAGGCCGGCAGCCGATGGGATCAGGTTACCATTCTTCAGGTTATCGTAGACCTTTTGCGAATCACTTGTCAGAGGCGTTCCGAAACCTACAACCTCAAGGATGATAGTAGAATTTAGTCCAAGGCCGTAGAAAGCAATCTAAAAATGCAGTCAGATTTTCCGTGTTTACTGTCTCTATTGGTATTCACGTCCAGAGCAAACCAGGAATAAGCAGTACCGATGAGGATTTGGCATTTTTCCATTGGATAAAGTATGTAGTGAAGTCTGACCAGGTGGCCTTGGGGGCGTCAGTGCGCTAGATGATGGCATCTGTGTTTTTGGAAGACTTTTCGGAGGCGAGGACGTTGGAAATGTCGGCGGAGGCTTGCTGGATGTTGCGTTCTACGTCCATGGTGAAGCGCGGTGTCTCTGGGATAGTCAGACGGAAGTATAGGGCGATGACACCAGGAACACAACCAATCCCGATGAGAAGATGCCACAGGTAGTCGACGTGGTTGTAGTTTGGAGGCGTGTCGTGAAGAATGGAGTGTTTATAGACGACGGTGACAATTAAAGAAACCAAAACCGCGGCTAGAGAAGATGCGCAAGTCTTTTGAGTATCCGAAAAGCTGTTGAGCATATACCAAAGTAACCCCTGCCTTGAAATGCAAAAACTGCGTTCATCATACGTCCCCCAATTTTGGTAGAGGCGAAACTCTGAGGAAATGATCGCGCTCAGAGGGTAACCACCTCCAATCCCAACACCTATCTGATTGTCGATGCTGGTAAATTGGTTGTGGCGAGAGAAAGGATTGGCATACCAAGAAACGCTATACAATAAGAACGCCAATGATATTTACTGCATGACCGCTTCCTGAGACCGTCTGTCCAAACGTAGCTATTATCATGAGGATCAACTCGACACCGTCTACGACAGTAAGTGGATGATGCTGATAAAAGTATGGGAATCGGGTACTTACACATGCGCTTGCGTCCAACGATGTCGGCGAGCCAACCGAAGAGGAGCTGACCAACGAAAGTACCAACCGGAGTAGCGACTTTGTGGCCAAGATCTTGATTTGCTAAGCGCTTGGTCTGTAACGAGGATAAGCAACAAGGAGAAAAAAAAACCGAGCCAACAGCCCACTCACTGTGACCGTAGACGTACCCAATCATAGTTGCGTCGATGCTTATAGCAAAAATACCTGAAGCAGCGAGGGGGGTAAATTGTACATTAAAAATCACTGCTGCTTCAGACGTACGCATCGGTGAAGAAACTAGCCCCGGCAAGAAGGCAGATCTTCACATGAAACCATCTGCGAACTTTTGAGCTTTGGAAACTAGTCCATACACTCACGAGGACTTGGCAGTGTCGACCTCCGCCAGAGCAGTACGTCGACGCTCATCGAGGATGTATGCAGACCGAGCGATAGCAGGGGCATGTCCCTCATCGCTGGAAGCCTTCTCTGAAGCCATGGTATGATGGGAAAAGCGAGCTGTGAGTCAACTACCCTATAATCTCGGCCAATCCGACTACAGAATATGCTTAGATCCTAGTACAGCAGTGTGTGCACGTTTGTATGCATCGTCCAATCAAATGTTATGGAATGCGATGGTGTTAATCAGATCGCCTGCAGTTTACTATAGCGTTTTGCTTGTCGGAAAGATATCCGCCCTTCTAACGTATAAACGGCAATTGGGCGGGTATAGCTTTAAAGAGCTTCTCCGTGAAACAGATCCGTAGGTTCCTTCATTGTAGTCTGCTTTGGATGAACACAAATCACAGGCAAAGACACAAGAGTCTTCAGGATCGGATGGTAAGTGGGTCAATCGCATAGCCTACTAACTTCAAAGGAAGCAAGGATTGAGTGCCAAGGTCCTCCCGTGGCTTCTCACTCTCTTTAACACCACATAACAGTGAAAACAAGCTTGAAGCGATACGCTGCAAGGCAGTCAGCAGCCCTAAAATGACAAGTCTATGCCCAGGAACTAGTGCTGTTGATGAATGCCGGGTATTCATTATAGCAAGCGCGTATGATTACACCCTGCGTACGTGAGAGAACGTTCACATACCAGCATCTGTTCACTGAACTAAGATGGCACCGTGTGAGTAAACCTTTAAGGACTGCCATCAACCCCGAACCCGAAAAGTCATTTCCTAGCCTCCATATGGTTTGAACCTTGCCTTGGTTGAAATGGGTATCATAATTTATGACCGAACGAGAGGGTTTCAACCGTACGGCAGTCGCACATGAACAGCCCAAGAACCACCTGTGGCAATAAGCAGAGGATAACCGAGGACAACCATCATTGCAGAAAAGACCATTCGGATCAAGGACTGGATACAGAATTCAGAACAGAACTGGGACCGGAACCAGAGATAGACGTAATGCATTACAGACTTGCAGAGGAGTAGCATGATTCGAGGCTAAGGAAGGCAAATATCCGTGTTCATGTCAAGGCGTGGGAAAATAATGCCGTGACGCAAATTTCTTCTCTACCACCTTGTACTTAGGTACACGACAGATATCGACGCTTGAAGGACTGACAGTTCCCTTTGAATTATGGACGAACATATGCACCCAATAAAGCTTACGATCTAAAAGCAGGATCTTGTATATTACGCATTTCGCGTCAAAATGTACGGTCACCGACCCTAAACGATGTCAGGCCTCATCAACATCCTGGAAAGAAAAAGATACATGTCAGAGAAGTAGCATTCTTTTTCTTCTGGTTCTCCCCTGAGCCGTATGTACCTTTTCGGGAGTCAAGGGACAACACTTGTCGAGCTGATTCAAGTTGCTGCCTCGCTTTCACGTACATGCATTACCATGGCTCCTGCACGACGTTACTGTTAAAAAGTCTGTCAGGCAGTGCGTACGCATACTTTCGGATATTCATGTCATCGGAGCCAAATAAATTGTTGTACGCGTAAGGTAGAGATTTACAGTTTCTGACCTTGACTATACCCTCTGACTCTCACAAGCGGCAGGACCAGGGTACGCTTCGTGTCCCAACCATAATGCTGGATGGCCTAGATTCTACTATATCTCCGGCGTGTTCATTCAGCTTGATATACATCGGGCATGTCACTACTACGAAGTTCAAGGTAACAGCATTCAGGCTACCCTCAATGCATCTCGAACTCTTACCAGTTCTCCTGGCACCTGCCACTTAATATGAGGCTTACACTGGCCCTCCCCCCCGATGCATCCACGTTGAACAGACGACGAGAACGCTGATCGAGAGGCCTATGTTCCTTCAAAGTCTATCCCATTTGAAGATATCACGTGGATTTCGTCATGGTGGCAATATTGTATCTGCGCGCCCCCAATGACGCCAAGGGTCTCCACAACATTCAGTCAGGTGCATATAAAACTAACTACTTTTCTGCGTACAACCATGACCTCTTTCTTGAAGAACACAGCCCATCGCGTGTCGGATGTCGCGACCACAGCTACTGGCGCCATCAATTCAAATAAACCTCAGCTAGAGGATAATCCTACTATGGCCCCGGATGACCCCGAGCCTCCTGTTCTCACTCCGCCTCCTGTAGCTCCTACTCCACCTGAAGGGAAGCCTCAAACATCTGTTGAAATCACTGAAGAAGGCGAAGGAGGAGCTGCTGCGGATTCTACTAGCCAAACTTCCCAAGCACCAGGAATTGGCGGTAGCATCACCTCTAGGCTCTTCACTGTAGGGAATTTCTTCACTTCGGGCGCCTCTACAATCGTCAACCCCGCTGTCGACGCTAGCAAGTACAGTGCAGAACTCATACAAAACGCCAGCTCCACTGGCTTCTCGATCGGTCGGCAAGTAGCTGAGACGGGTCTCAATGTCACAGCGAACGTTGTTACTGGTACCGCAGATCTTGCCGGGACGGCGGTGGATGGTGTCATTGTTCTCGCAGCTAACACGAGTGGGAGGGTCTTCGAACCCATCGCGAGCGGGTTGAAGGCTATCGATGGATTGCAATTCATTAATGAGGGTTTGGAGAAGGTCAATGGATTGCCTCTCGCCGCTGTCAAGCAAGTCGGGACTTGGACTGTCCAAGCAATGAACAAGAGTGGTGTTGTGAGTACGTGAGAAGTATTTTCGGCGTCACGCTAAACCTCTTCGTAGACACCAACATTCTTCGATACAAACGGTGACGGCGTCGTATCTCTCGATGACACCATTCGGGGGTTGATTGTGCTCGGCCTTGAAGATAAATATGCTCGATATGCGGGTTATGCTCTCCATACTGTATTTAGGTTCGCCTCTAAGTTCTATTCAATGTCTGGACTCTGCTGAACGCTCTGCAGTTACCCAACTTCGGACTCATGGATGCCGTCAGCGAATATTAATCTCCCAATCCATGTGAATAAGCTGAGTAACACGCCATGGGGAAGGAATTGGGGCTCCTACGAACGTATTGAATGGTGCCAAGATATCGACACTGAGCAGGTATGCTCGATCTCTTACATTTAAGACACGCTGACAACCCCTGCGTAGTTTTTTATGTATGCACTGACGTCTCTGTGTTTTACCCATTGACTTACACCGCATTCAGCACCAACGAAGCTTCAGGCCCCGAAACATGGAAGGAGACATTTACTAAAGGGTGCGTACGACTATTGTCGCTTCATAGCTTGCCCGTCTGAAGTACCTATCCGTCAGCCGTCAATATTTTGGCATCTTACTACTGATATTTGAATGGGGGACAACATGGCCCTTCTGCATGCCGCCGGTACCACCTTGCGAAATGCCTTACAAGGGCGACATCGGCCGTGTAGTGCGAGTACGTGCTCACCTTGAGATGTATGCGCTCAATTTATGACGTCTCTCGGCAGACTTTAGTTCTTCCAACAATTTTATCGAATTACCAACGTTCGCGGGAAGGTGGAGCGAAAACTCCAATCAGCTCTTCTAATGATGTACCGCCGACGGAAGTCAATAGTGCTTGAGGGAACTGTATTACTATGGTATCTGTATTCATTTAAATAATCCCTATTTCTCCCGTCGAATTCTGTATTCTTCACAATCAAGGACACGACTTATGCACACTGGACTCATTCAAATTTAAGCAGCTCCATCTTCACGTTGCGGGTAAGGAAGAGGAGATCTCGTATACAAAATCCACAGTCCAGATGTCAGGAGTAATAATTCAATTAGAAGGTCTTTGCAAGTATCATCAATACCATTTCCGAAAACTGGCTTCTCGCCGGCATGTAAAACTTAGCAATATCATAAGGTTAAGATTACATGCCAATTATACTAGATGACATAGCGACCCGTCTGCAGCACAAGTTGAGGACCAGAGGGTCTCTTCTGTATTGGGGTTCGTGGTGGGAGTCATTCCGGCTCTCCAAGCCCTGGCATATCTCCTCAGTCTCGTCACCAAAACTTGACCACCGCCAACGATGACAACAGCATACTCCGTCAAACGCATTGCCACCAAGTCCTGAATATCACCGCTATGGACCAAGGAGCTACGTAGTTGAGGCACAACCACATGCTTTATAAAATGTTCGACTACCAAACACTCCCGGAAATGACCTTCTATGAAAGTAAGGAGCGGGATTTTCTCGGTCGGCATTTGTTGAATAAATATCATCTGTTCCAGGAGATTATCAGGATGATGTTTCAGACCGTACGATGAAAGATCCAAGATCAAGTCCACATCTATATTCTTTAGCTCTAGAACGATGAGGTCTGTGCTCATCTCGACCGTAATATCCACCTTGAGGGCGTCACCCTCAGGATGCTGCATAAATTGAACATATAAGTGAAGGATTAACAGGGAATAAAGACCGATCCAACTAACATTGCCGTCCTCGATCTGTACACGATAAGCAATAGCCCACAATCTAAATCAAGCCACTGACCTTCCTAGCAGTATATCCACGCTTCGGACGACATAAAAAGTTGTCGAAGAGAACAGGAAAATAGTATACCAGCATGCTTCTTCAATTTCTCATAATGAAATTGACCGATTCCACGCTTGAGCACGGTGATACATGTCTAGAACTCGGATAATATTCATGGGATCGTCTAGTGCTCATAAGGCATGTGTGAGCTCAGTTGTCACATAGGCCTCCCCACTTCATAATACTCGCAACTACTTGTCTTGCCACAGTATGAGTGGGTATTCTGAGAAACTTTGTCGGCTCTTGAGGGTCAAAAGAGAGCACTCCATTATACGCAAGGAGTTTGAGAAGGACCTGATGTTAGCCACGCTAGAAGGAAGATTGAGAAATAACGATAAGACTCGAGGTAATTTTGGCCCTACCCCGAGGTCAAACAGCGATACGTAGCGAAAATAAATATTCTCATTTTCTATGGTTGTAAAACCGTCGCCTTGAGTACCAGTTGCATCAACCAGCTGGTTAACGATATTACTATCGGAAGCGATCAAGCTATAAGATAGCTTAAGAGTTCTCCGGAATTCTGACACCTTGAAAAGCGATCATGCGATTATGTCGAAGTTCTTGCTTGCAAATTCAGTGCAGATTTTTAGACCTAAGGCTACACGTACTTGTATGGCAGCCAAGCAAGTGCCGGTATTGAAGGCCGGCGTCACCTGAGTATACTGAGTGAACAGTGATATCCATCGGTGTACACTTCGCCAAACGTCTTTAGTAAACTATTGCTTTCAAAACCCATCTTATCCATAGCGACGGAAACAACTGGGTTGCTTGGCCCACAAAGCCAGCAAAACTCGGGATGGAAAGAGATGTTGCCCAGGATGATTCCATCGGTTGTTGCTACAGGCATGACTCCCATTACGAAAACACCGTCAGTAAAGCCTTCTTCTTGGTTTAGCTTGATCAAACTCCAAAAATGTTCCATCGCCAAACCAAGTGGTGTTCTTTGCCAAAGGATATCATCTTTTACGTGGTGCTGGAGGTAGTAATTTATGCCGTAGTCATCTTCCAGGTCAAGAAGAACGTAAACCTGCTCTGAAGCGTTAGCTAGGATACGGGAAGATCATGATAAATTACCCATTGACAAGGAGATGGCTTCAAGCTCCTGCTAATTTCCTGTATCGCCGTCCAGGGGAAGCTGTCAGCAGAAATTATTTGCATGCAGCCTTCCGGAGCACGTCCAACCTGGTATCGAAGTATATGCGGGAGAATTGCACGAAAGCTTGCAACCACCAGAACTGCTGAGTCCAACGAGAAGATCATTATAGAATGACTGGACTGCAGAATCGCCGTGGCCGGTCAACGGTGACAGATTGAATCTCAGAACGAACCATCTAGAAAGAGGAACCATCTTGTGAACATCCTTGTTCCCGTTGTGCAATCCCTGTCTTAATATCAGTATCGAAGTCAATCGATGCACATGAAACTTACAAACCTCAAATGTTTCCTCTAGGGAGTCCGCAAACGCTATCCCGTGATGACATTTGAGCGTGTCAACCAATAGGCTCTTGCCAAAGCCTCTTAGACGGCGGAACATCGTGAAACCCCAATGGGTTTGTTCAAGATGGACGGTAAAAGGTGTGTTATCAAAGACGTAGTGATTCGCCCGTCGCATCTCAAGAAGGCCGACCTCTGTGGGAATCGCTAGTAGAGACTCTTTGTGGACTGCGCCGTTTGTACAGGGGAACAAGCCGGACGAGCAGGAATTCCATCATTTTGAGTGGAAGTAGGGCTTCACTGTTTGACAAAATCTTCCTGCAACGTGGTGAGCAGGAGAAACTCACGACTTATAGAATCCGTACATTTCCATAACTGCGGCTTGACAGAGATAAACAGGTGCATAGTCGACACTGACGTTCTATAACAGCAGGCGGATCCTATCGAGTCCTATTTTATCATAATTCCTATACAGTCAGCGGTTTAGCAGCATTCCAAGGGAGCGCGAAGTACAGGATGCAGTTTTAAGGTATAAATTCCGATCGTAATGTCCTAGTATATACTACCACATCTCTTTTCTGGGCCAAGGTAATGTTGGAAGTGAGCACTTGACTTTCAAAACAAGACAATGGGAACAACGTGCTGATAGCCAACAAGTAGCGTAAGGTCAGTCGGACGTTAGGGTATCATGTATGATCAAAACCGTCTGTAAGTAGATAGATGTCCAAAGCAGATGCAGTCGAATAGTCCAGATATTATCCATCGTTAAGAAGTTCATGACACCGTGCTCGCTGTTTCGTTTCTCATGCCTCTGGTGAGCATCAGCAGTAAGCTCTCGATCCTCGCTTGGCGTTCCTAGGCAAAGGTAAACAGAATTCGGTTCCCAGAAGTGCGCACGTACCTGTAGTTCCCTCATCTCATCGCTCAATTTATGAACAGGCAGATTGCGCAGGTCATCCACTAAAGCCTCCACCTTCTTCACAGCTGCTTCCACTTGAGGACTATCAGAAGGCCGACCGAACAGTTGCTGCAATGGGTTCAATGAGCCCAGAGAAGACTGCACTTCAGCCGAGAGGAGATCTAGATTCCTGGCCCTGGGCGTCCGGGGCGAACTCTGAGGTGATAGTCTCTTCGGACCCGACATCGCGCTTGGGGGCCGCCTTACACTCGACTGACGCCTCTTCCTACTTTCAGCATCCGAAAGTAAATTCTCCTGTGAATGCACTGATCGCAGGTGAGGTAGCTCCTCCTCCTCTTCATCGAACAAATGCAAATCGCGCTCCGCGTCAACCTCAAAGATAGCTTCGTACAAGTCATTCGATGTGGACCCGACGATAGCTTCGACAATGGGCATGTTCTTGATGTGACGGGGAAGACTGCTGAATAATGTTTGCGCAGCACCTTTACCCGATTCACGAAAGCGCTGCCCTGAAGCGAAGTATCGTTCGTAGACACCTATGACGACAAGGATGGGAAAGCTGGTGACTCTGGTGAGGAAGACATTGGTGGTGTGAAGAGCGCGGGGGCTGAGGAACCAGCTGGCCGGTTTGAGGATGATGAAGGCGAGAATGTTGAAAGGAGGCTGATAAGAAAAGAGAGCATCGGATTGGACGCTATTACGACGCTATATCAGTGTGGATCACGACGAGAAAGTCAGACATCGCATACCCTTCAATAGTAGATATCGCATATTGGAATAGGTACTAGACATTCGATCGTTGAAGCGTGAACGTGTACACTGATATGAGACGAACCTCCTGTGTGGCATTCTGCAGAAGATGTCCGTCAGTAACTTGTGACGAGGCGGTCAGTAAAACCCACTTACTGCATCAATTCTTGCCACGGTATTGGACAAGATCGAAATGAGAACTGGCTGACGTCAGTCTAGTTGCTAAGATAACAAGAAGCCTTACTTGTCAATAGGAGAGTGTTCGACAGTGCCGCAAAGCTTGTCATAAGGATCGGTCCGAACAATGGATGGAAGCTCTCAGCCTGACCAAAGCTCAAGTACGTGTTACCGAACCATATCTGTACCATGAGCCAAGCGATTCTTTTGACTGACCAAGTTCCATTTCCTGTGAGAGCTTTATGAAGAAAACGAGCTTCTTCCAATGGAGAACAACACACCAAGTCTCCAAAGCGTGAACAACAGGCCGGAGAAACAGATTGCTGCAATTCCGATGAAGAAGACGAACTGTGATATCATTTCTCGCAGAGATCTGTTGGGTTTGGGTGGTATCTTTGGTGAGGCTGTGCCAGAAGACACTTACAGGACAACGACATTGTTAGAAACTGCAAAGAACGCCAACCGGGGAATCAGTATGCATGCTCCACATGCAAGCACGTCGAATGCCGTATCGGAGTAGTCAGGGTTTCCCTGAGCAATCCCTCGAATCCTTAGGCCGAGATAGATAAGGAAGATCAGAATGAAGGAAAAATCGAATGCGTTCCACGTCTGCAAGGAGAAAACCGTCAGCTTTGATGGTGAATCGACTCAACAACAATACTGACGTTGGCAATGTAGATACTCCATCCATGTTCTGTCGCGGCAGTATATTCTTCTAGAACAAAGGCAGCGGCACATACACAAAATGCAATCTCCCAGCCAGTGACCACGTTCAAGTCCTGATCTGTACATCTGTTAGCGGTGCGGTGGACGAGCGAGGAACATTTCACAAACAGGTAAGGCAGAGAATAAAGGTGCACAAGAGAACGGCAAAATTCAGAAACTCTAGTATACTCCCATAGCGTGGGACACGAAGCCTTCATGCATTGAGACGCGGGCTGTGAATGAAGGGCAAACGTCGTACCGATAATGATCCAGGAATGGTGCCTTACGGCAATCGTATACCTCGATTGCGCGCGATTTGTAGTTGTCAGCTAAGACAGATCTGTGGGCAGCAGTCGAGAATACGACGCGTCCAGAATAGATGTCGTTAACGACCTTCTGTGAGACAGGACAAGAAAGGAAATGCTTGGATTCGGACGATATCGCCATCTAGGAATGCGAATAAGTGACAGGATTGGCATGGAAGACGTTGATGGACGGCTAGACCTCGAGAGCACTTTGCGGGGAGTTAAGATCATCATCATCTCCACCTAGGACTTGCCGAACTTCGTCGACGATGTCTGAAGGAGCCCCGGCAAGAGGGTTCCAAGTGGTGGTGAGGACCGCAACCAATTGAATGTAATTGTTAGCAAAGTTGTTGAGAAGTTTTATGGCCAGGATTTCACAGAACATGGCACGGGATTGCATAAGGCCAGAATAAGCCAGATCTTCTTCGGCTTCGTTCAAGAAGTACGACCGGACAACCAGACACGCATATACGACAGCCATATTTTGTAGCTAAAGCACGGTATGAGGCGGATAATCCAGAAAATACAGAGAAGCGAACCTTGGAATATTTGAAAACGATAGGTCGAACGACAGCAAAGTTGATATCAGAGGCCGTTAATTGACTATAACCTCGTCAGTTTGGAGACGGATATAATAATGAAGTAACCCACTCCCAGCTCAGTGCAGCGTCTTGGAGCAAAATCAACTACCAAAGAGAACCATTTTCAAAGTAAGAACTAACCCAATTGTTTCTGCGAGATATGAGTATTCCGAGAAACCAAAACGAGGCTGCAGGCGCACCAAAATGTCGCTTTTCAGGGAAATTATCAACGGAAAAACCTTCACTGCTGCCAACTGCTCAGCAGTGGGTGCCAAGAGGGATGAGCAATCCTCTGGATCCATGTTACGTAGGTCCTGGATGGGTATGAGGAAGTGGTTACAACCAAATCATTCCACTGCTGGCGGCAGCAACGCGAAGGTTCAAAGGTTTCGGGCCGGCAAATAAATATAATCTTGCCGGAGCCCGGCCCTGAATTGCCGGTCACTCAAACTGCTGCTCATCCATATACCTTTTTACTATAACATAATACGACTCCCTTTCTTTGGTGCTATTCGTCGTAAAGGCGGATTCCAAGGGTAGGGAGCATTTCGTAGGCCTCTGCATGGATCTCGAGACACTCACAACCTCTGTTGATATGGAGCTCTGCTTCATCCATGAAGATAGGCTGCCAATGCCATCTCTATCAGCGCCAACCTTGGCTCTGAGACTGATTCATGGGAGACATCGGTTCCAGTGTCTTACCTTCATTTTCACCTCCATTCTACATCCCTAGGTGAGGATGAATCAGTCTCAGCCAAGGGTCAGCACTGATATATAGTGCTATAATATGGCAATTCTGCCACTTGCTTCTCTAACAGAGCTTCAAGTTCCCCTCAAAACTTCTGCATCTTCAGCCTCAGACAGGTAAGTATCATCTTACTCTAGAGCCCTAGTATGAGGCTGATTTTTAGTAGTACAATGCTGCTGGGCACCTCTGTTCACAAAAAACCTAGTACATGGCAGCCAAGATTCTGGCATGTTGACCACAATCTCCAGCCATTCCTCAGGTCAAATAGATATCCTCTTGGCTCTGAGGTTGCAGTCATCAAGAACAACATTGCCAATGCACAAACATGGCTGCAGTTTATCCAGCAGTCTCGTAGTAGCATCATTGGAGAAGACTCAGCCTCACAGGAGGAACTGCATAGAGAAGAGACGGTTATCGAAGCTTTCCTGGTCATTCACAGAGGATTCATCTCCGTCATTCGACGTCTCCCTCAAGATATCCTCTGCGAAATATTCTGTCACCTCATGGATATGTATAGTATGGTGGCACCTCCGAATGGCACTTTCAATATCTTCTCCTATATACAGTACCCATGGGTACTCGGTCACGTCTGCAGAGAATGGAGAACAGTTTCCATTGGACTGTCATCACTCTGGCATCGCATTAACCTCCAGAATCATATGATCCTCCTCAATAACCCGGAAAAAATGCTCAAGACATGCTTAGAGCGCTCGGGGGAATATTCTCTCGAAATTATGATTGCACTACAGGATTACGGAATGTCGCTTTCCATGTCGTTTCGGTGCAAAAATCTCCTCCAGCTTCTCTCATCGGAGTCACATCGCTGGGAATTCCTCACCCTCTTTGATGGCCCACAATCCTGCGTATGGTCCTTCATGAATCGCTTAAAAGATGGTCAATTGCCACTACTCCGAGCGCTTCATTTATTTGTCACCCCTAAGATGTCCACGATGGACGTCCAATTTCCTACTGCCTTTCGAAGTTGTCCCCAGCTCGAAACTGTTATATTCAGCGGCAAAGCTGATTCCGAGCAGGATATGTCCTTCCTACTAAATGGTTTGCCATGTGCCCAACTGACACGTCTCGATTGGAACGTCACGACCGCCTGGGATGTACAAACGGTACTCTTCAGTGTTCTTCGTCGCATGCCCAACCTGGTCGATTTTCGATGTAGCATCGCCGAATTACGCTATTCTCATGAACCCGAAAAGTGTCTCTCACTTCGACGTCTTCGCAAGGTCTCTCTTACTAACCCTGTCATCCTAAAACATACCGATGCTCCAGCACTTCGATATATTGAAGTTCTTTACTCATTTACCCAGCGGTCAGGAAGAACCTCGTTCCAGCTATCTGGGCCTTCATCCTGCCACATAGAAGAAACCAATATGCCGTCATTTTCGATTTGCATGCCCATTCTGTCCCTTCCGAGTCTTCAGGACATTGAAGAACTAACACATACCAGACACTCTAACGCTTTCGGTATCAAACGCCGCTTGTACTTTGACTGCGCCCTCATAACTCTCCCGCGTCTTCGAAAGATGAATCTTGGCGACCACGAAGGGCTCCGATGGATCAGCGCACCCGCACTGGAAGAGCTCCAGGTCAACAATCTGGACAACCGACCCACTGCTTCTATATCGTTTTTAGCATTACACGAACTATCATCATGTGTACTGACTCGACTTACCTTGCGAGGAATGGCAGCTTTATATCTATTGACTCCGACACTTCTTGCTCGAGACCTGGCGAACTTGCTCGAACTTAGAGTGTACAAGGCTCGGTATAATGAAGATCTCGTCCAATCTCTCACCATTCCTGAGGCTCTTCCTGTCTTGCAGCGACTGGTTATATCTCTGATGGTATCACCGCATCATAAGTATGACCTTCCTACTCTCGCCGCTATGATCGAATGTCGTTGGGATATTAGCCACCAGCCGGTTACGATATCATTCCCTCCGCAAGACTATTTGCATCAGTCGATTCTACATGATGACGATGGGGCGCTTGTGCGTTCTGCAATGGAAGCGGGGAAACTGTCAATAGTTAGGGGACGCGCCTCAAAGATGTCCTAATAGATACATTTTCCGTCTAATGTCCATGGACAATGCGTACAATGTAATCTAATACGTGGGGACATACCCAGTTCCTTTCTAGCCGAGGCGTCTCGTCCCAGAACCGGTGCATCTACCACCATTCGCAGTGGCCGACAAGTAGGCTGACATCGGTCCATAATTGATAGGATATCTCCACATTAAGTTCGCGTTTTATGTTGGACATGAGGGGGCGCGGTGCGCCTCGGCTGCAGAGGAAGATGCGGTGGTCAGCATCCGACATATCATGTGTTCGAACAAGTACAGAACTCATCTCAGCATCCGGAGATTCTGATTCTCCGCATAGCAACAAGGTGGTTTTTGGCTACGCTGACATGCTTCAACCTTCTTCAGCACTGGCTATTCCATTCCCGATATGCCATAAGGACGCGTGGGTTCAAAAGCGGACTGGACTATCCTCGGTGGATTAGATACGCACCACTCTCACCACAAACAATGATGGCTGATCACTGTATATTTATCTCATATAGCGATGGAACATCTTGTGAATTAAGCTACCGATATCAAAAGGTACGAACACCGTAGAAGTGCACTGACCGTGGATTTCGTGTGTAAGGATGAAGGGGGAGGGAAGAACATTGGCCACATGTCTGAAGTCGAGATCAGAAGTTTAAGGTAGGGTCTTAGCGAGGTCGGGGTGCTGGGGTTTCGGGGAAACTCGTTTAACTGTGCGAGAATCGCAGGAAGCGACGTCTTGTGCTGGTAAGCACGATGCGTGACATACATATGCTCGCTAAAATCAATCATCGGTGTCCATGTGAGTACTGTAACCGTGGGCTGGCTTGGGAATGTACATGAGGGTCCATGTATTATAGCAAAGGGCACCAATCAGTAGGTCCAGAGGGGATTGAGTAAAATGTCCTGTAGAAGGAAAGCAGAGATATTGATAAGTTAGGTGTTTGTTATGCGGCCCATACTTAAATAAGGCGTGGTACCTGGTTTGGCGAAGTACGTTGTCGATTGTTCGATCTCGCGAAGGGAAGCGAGGACCGGTACTATGGGTGATCAGAAAATGGATTGCAATGTGCAAATTTTGGTTTGCTGCACGTTCTAGCCACTTGTTGGGTTCCGTTATTTTCTGATAGGTGAACGAAGTGCATAACTAATAGTACGCAGTAATTTACCAATTGGTTTACTAGAGGAAGCTTGCGAAGAACCGACTCACCGAAATTGGTCCATGTAAGGATCAGCCACCTGTGGTTATGCACCAGAAGTGCTCGACAGGTTCAGGACAGTTTGGGAGGCATAAATAGCGAACATTTAAGGAGTTCAGATACAAATTTCTGAGCCTATGGCTTGAGGGACGTGCGAGTTGAATCGATTTCAGAGTGATAGTTTTAAAGTCCGCCTGGACGCCTCGGCTGTTTCACGCAATGTTTGATAGGGCCGTAGTCGGGCTTCTAATTTGATCGTGGAAGATTTATTGACACAAATATGCAAGTAAGAATCGTATATATGAAAGACTCAGTGGCATTAGTAGTCCTAAATAATCTTAGTTTAGTACTGCTCCCCCGCGTCTTTGCCCATATGCATAAGATCATCATCAGTGGTGTTATGATATCCAGTATCTGCTAGCTCGGTGCATGAGTCAACACATGCCTGCACTCGGCCTTCTCGGTCCTGCAGTAGCACGCTCACGCTCGTACTTTCTCTTACTTTCTCTATCCACCTTGCTGCTACCAGAATATTATTGAACACTGTAGAATAAGAATGAATCAATCCTTCTTTAGGATATAAATGCTGTCTATACCATTTTATTGAACCAATCTATCTTTTCACGGTACCCTCACACTGCATGAACCCTTAGTTACGCTTAGCGCTTGCTTTCACCTACGGCCTATAATAGTCGTGCTTACAGGCTTTCTATGTTGGTAATAGCTTGGCGCTTACTCATTCCCTATCTCGCAAACCGGGCCTCTCAGGTCTATACAGGTCACTTCACGAACTCTTGCCGGAATTCATTATATTTTCTAATCACATACATCCTTCCTAATACATCTGACCCTGCTTTGATCAACATGTTTCCCATACACGGATTTCGGCGTATTCTTAACAAGTTGGCCCAGGGCCTCCCAGGGATTGAACGGGCTAAAAAGTCTGGTTTCCATCCATATTTCGGTCTAGGTTGAGCGCCGGTTGTCCCCTTTGTCTCAACTTTGTCCGGACTTTTGCACAAGGCTGAAAGGTCAAAATGCGCGATCTTTGTCCGAACTGAGGTCAGGGCATTTATCCGGGTCTTGGTTTGACGAGCCCTGAATTGCTGCGCAACCCAGACGCGTCGGGCCTAGGTAAGATAAGAAACTAGAATTCCGATCACATAATTAATCATGACGGGTCGCGACCATGCGTCCGGTGAAAGACATTTGTAAGTAGGGAAATTCTGGCATAGAAGGTGAGGATAGAAGAAGAGAGAAGCATTATAGCCGAACTTACCGACCACGGGTATAAGTACTATCGAGGCCAAGCTACCGAGTCGTGAGAGGCCGAGAATGCAGGGATTCGTAGAATAACATCGTTTGGTACGCGTGAGCAGTGCAGTGAATGGGTGTGAGAGAAACAGAAACACCCCAGGCGTCAAAAGAACACTCGTGCAGCGCGAACTTTGTTCCCCGTGTTGTGGGGTGCTGTATCGAAGCTCGGGGCCAAGCGCCGGTGGTTCGTCATAGATTAGAGATCCTCTAGGTCTATATGTCATATTTGTAGAAGCAATTATAACGGCACCGGTATTCGCGCCGGGGGGTACTTCAGACTACGGCCCTAGCGCAAGCCTCAGTAAAAGGTGGACGCCAGTTGGACGCCGTGGACAACAAATTTGTCGGGCACGAGGTAAAAATAAGTACGGATTGACAGGTCGCCAGTGAAAGACGTTCTAAATGTATTCTAAGCGCTCTCAGCAGGTTTCCAATTGAAGGAGAAAGGAAACACACGTATGATGGAGTAACATGCGGCGCAGGAATGTGCCTGAGTGTCGGGGGTAACTCGGTAGAATCTGAGAGCAGGCTAGTACAGAAGATGCATGAGGCCTCGAGTCTTTGCAAGAGAGATGAAGAAAGGACATGAATGATTGAAATTAACCAGTTCCCATATAAACAGAAGGGTAGTCATGATATTTCATTGATTCGAATAGAAAAAGTCCTGGTTCTCTGTCAGTTGGTTGCCGGACTTGGTGTAAGCAGGACAAACCTCGGAAAATCTTTTTTCCCACGGTCGACGCGCGTCCTCAAAATTACCTTTTGGATCCTTCATCTATCTTTCCCGCCATCCCTCTTCACGACCTCTGGTTATTGCTCTTTCATTACCTCTCCACGACTCGTCGTATACTACCGTTGAACGCCATATACATTGAGGAATGCCCGACATGGTCCCAATGTCAGTAGCTCAACCCCAAGAACGTCAGTTCAACCCATACAGTGATAACGGTGGGACGATCCTTGCTGTTGCCGGCGCCAACTTCAGCGTTATTGCTGGTGACACCCGCCAGAGCGAGGGGTACAGCATCCAGACGCGGTATGCGCCCAAGGTGTTCAGATTGTGAGTATCGTCTTAGCCAACATCTCTGGAGCTTACGTGCGAGTCTCGGGCAGGACGGATAAGGCAGTGTTGGCCGTTAACGGATTTGCAGCTGATGGGAACATGTTCGTGAAGAAGGTCAAGCAACGTCTAGAGGTAAGTATACTGACGTTCGTCATCGTGCTCGACGGCAAGCTCACCCTTGGGACCGACAGTGGTACCGCCATGCCCACTCCAAAGACATGCCCTTACGTGCGGTCGCGCGACTCATTCAATCTATGCTTTATGCCCGACGATTTTTCCCTTACTACGTGTACAATATTCTCGGAGGTATCGAGGAAGACGGTACGTACTTCCGGGGCGCCACTGCAAATTCCGCGCTGATCCATCATCATTCGCTTCCTAGGTTCGGGTGCAGTCTATTCCTTCGACCCCGTGGGCTCGTACGAGCGCGAAGCCTGCCGTGCAGCTGGTGCAGCATCTTCACTTGTACAACCCTTCCTGGATAACCAGGTTAGTACCATTTATCCGTCCTCATCTAACTTCCGTCGGCTGCGGCTACGCACTATCAAGCCACAAGACCCCGTGCATCCATCCAATTTCACCTCCCTGTCTCGTTCAATGCTCCTCTCGGGACACACTCCGATTTCTTCCCGACTTATTCCCTTATTTTCGTTGATATGCCATACGATATGCACCCCGTTCTTGATATCGTCGTCATGTGTCTTTCATTGGTGTTTATTAACTCATGAGACTCTCTATTGACCCGGTTTCTTTCCACTTGCAGATTTACTTCAAGAACCAGACTCCGGCTCCTGGAACGTCGCATCCGGCACATCTAGCCTTGACCGACGTACTCGCACTCGTGATCGATTCATTCACCAGTGCGACGGAACGGCATATCGAGGTCAGTTGGTTTGCTGTGCTGTCTTCCTCGGCTTACTCTATCCACCTAGGTCGGAGATGGTCTTGAGATGTACGTTGTTTTGGCGAAAGGAAGCCCTCTTCAGGGTCTGGAACTGGTTCAAGGGGTCCAAGAGATGTCAACTACCACAGATGGCGAACGCGTCTTTATCGTCCGGAGAAACTTGAAGAGAGATTGAATGTTTATCTTGCAATCTGTAATAAAACTGTGTTTCCTATCTCTGTTTTCTCTTCCTTATCTTCTGCCCATCTCATGCTCGATCCCATCTCTCTTCTGGTGGATACGGTTTACGTTCAGTACTCGGACTTTACTCATGACCCTTGTGTTCCCATTTTAGCTGCGTTGTATAGACTTGTGCACGCCTTTTGTTCATATCTTGTTATTTACTGTATCGTCTGCTTGTAGAGGATTTTAAAACGACGAACATTGCATACCAACAACATGTATATGTAATTTCTTGATCATAGGTTCAAAATTGATCAATCTTTGAGCGTTGAATATACTGTTGATTTGATCACTCACATCACCATCATCATATTTATTTAGACACGAAAAATGCCAACTTCAGCGACGTATCGTGCTGTACCGTACTGATATGTGGCTAATATATCTACGTACCAATACATCCCATCACACACTCCAACGAAGCTTGACGTTTCGCGGAATGTAGATCGAGCGAATATGTGAGAGGGTCTCCTGGTAAGCAACTATTTCGGGCCAAAAATCAAAAACTGACGAAAAAGGGCGGATAAGAGGTAAATTCTGTCGAGTCATTCTGAGCACAGCAAAATCCATCGGGTTTACAATAAGTCCCGCTTTCATATAACGATACTCAGGCCAAGTTCCCGTCACCCCGTGATAATTCTGGTCCGCACAAAGAGCCAAAGATTTCGAAAAAATCGTGAACGTTCACAGGGCATTATCCGCGTTCCTGTCAAATCAGCTACCGCGCGTCATTTACGCATGGGCCGCATAAGGACCCCCAAGAATATGTGAGAACTCGAAGACCTGCCAATCGACATGTGCAAAACTGAACCGGAATATGCACATTCCCTTTAGGTCTGGACACCTCGGAAAAGTCCATGTAATCTGGAAATAATGTGTATCTCAGGATGTTGCACCAGCTGGAACGGGAAACTCGCAAGAACTCATTACATGGGACATGAAAAACTGTATTAGGTTGCAAGCACCCTAATAGTACCCGTAACTGCGAATAATAGAAGCTAAAGGCTGCGGAAGGCTACTATTAGCATCTCATCTCACCTCAGTATTACACGAGGCGGTACCTTAAGGCATGCCAGACACAAAGATACAGATAACTGCATAGGAAACCCAATCCTCACTACTCTGGTCAACCCCCAAGCCGCTGTAGAGCTTGAAGACATGTAGAGAGGAAACACGAAGTCAATAATCCCTCGCACTGACCACCACAGTAGATCGGACCGGCATAGAAGATTTTCAGAATGGCATGCGCGCGCTTTGCGACCGTGGCAATCACCTTTCCACTTTGTACCAGCCCTCGCCAGCATCTCTTCCCTAATATGTAACATCGCTTGTGACGATTTGAACCATAACATCCCATATTCTAGTGTAATAATAGCATGTAAGGACTCCTCCACCCCTACTACTAGATCTTCTAGAGATCAGAGATAACACGACGTGTTATAGAAAATAATTAGACCGATCCTTGCGTCTCTCGACTACCAACAGTCTTTCTCTCCTCTCCACATCCAGATAGGATGTAAAATGTTTCATAACGTCGTAAATTGCTAGTCATCGGTTCATGTCCTCCAAGTGGACCCGGTAACTCAAATCAACAGACGAAAAAAAAAACATAAACTACGATTAACAACAATAAGACTGCTTGCAGTGAGAATTCAAAAGAGCGGAATGCAAGGGGCCCATTGTAGGCAGATAAAAATGGCAGGGGTATCCGAGTTATTGTATATACGACAACAAGAAATGCGAACGAGGCAACTCGGAGCGTGATAATGGTCCAAAGTCCTAACAATGCGAAGTGATGCGGTGGAGGGGTAGTCGGTGCAGTCAATACCTCGATATCCACGTATCCCACATCATCTATAGTACCAACGCAAGTAGGCTCATCGCCGACGCTCCCACCGTCAATGCGAGACATACGGTACTCGAAACACCGGCATTTGTACTCCGGCGCAGCAACGACCGTTTCCTCGATGATGTGGTCGTAGACTCTGTCGTATCCCGTAGCTTCTCAGTAGGAAGCATCTGGGGCGTCGTTGATACTTGGAACATAGGCGGCAGAGGCGAGCCGTCAAACTCGAACAGATGTAATTTAAAGCCATCCGTGGTGTCCTCAAATATCCGCCAACTCTGATAGAGCTCGGTATCATTGTAATTCTCAACAAAGTTGGAGGTGGCGGCACATGGATCTTGGATCTGCTGGTATCCATCACCATTGGGTGTTAGGATAATGGAGCCGTTGGCTACGAGGTCATAAGTGCCGTGGAACCATCCAACGACACCAGTGATACATCCCGGATTGGTAGCTGCACAAAGTTGTCAGTGGCAACCTAAAGGATAGCAAATCGACGCACCATTAGAGTTAAAGCGATATCGTGCGACCTCAAACCACATATTGTCAGCACTGTGGGAAGCATCAGGTATTGCTACTACGGTGCACAGTATAGGTCAACGTACAATGAGAAGGACATCCCAGTCACGGATGGATAGATAAAAGACGCATTCGACGGAATGGCGAAACCCTAGCACCGTAAATGAGACGTCAGCCCGTCTTCTCATCCGCAGTAGCTCTACGGCTTCGCTCACCGAGCCTGTCTGGACAGCTTTGCTCCCCGTCGCCCATGTACCGGTAATGACAGTCTTGTTGTGTATGGAGTCATATACAATATCTTGAGCGAATATATGAGCCGGCAGGACCGCAAGCACCAGAGCGACGAGGGGATTGAAAATCATTATAAAGTTCAATCCTAGTGCACTTTTTATGAACGTGTCGAGAGGTAGAACTGGCAGTAGTATTGGCGGCAGATATCCGCTGGCAGAGCGAGAAGAAAGCGTATGAAAGCCACGAAACGGTAGCGACGACGGTGATGGAAAGAGGGGAGAGTAGTTGTTCTTGTTTGGTCACAGCTTGTCTGATGTGTGGCAACCCTTGCCATGTGCTCTTCGATCTCGAATAAGCGGAAAACGGCGGCCGACGCACTCAGCGTCCGCACAGACCTCGAAAACCACTCAAGGTCGAGCAAATTTTGAACTTACGGTGCCGTCCGCGAGACAATGTTGTAACGTGGAAAAATGTTTCAGCATTGAACTAGATTTCAGATACGTCCGTGGACGATAAGTGTCATAGCCAAGCCAACCACTTATGGCAGTCAGCATCACGTGGCATTCGTAACGAGTGACACCGAAAACATTCTTCTTTTTTTTCTTTTTACTTCCAACCACAACGTGTAACACATCGAACACAGTGAGTGGTCGTCCTTTGCTCTTTCCTTGATGAAACCAGATACGGATGTAGAGTCACAGACTCGTTGTCCGAGAGCGCTTAAAACCATGTGGATTATTCCGTTGCCTTCCTTCTGATTTTTCTTTCTCTTTCTCATTTTTTTCTCCGTGTCGTCGGTCAAAGCTAATGTTATCCTCGTCTATTCAGATATCGGCTGTTGCTAGTCAAGTTTATTGAAATGAGGTGAGCTGCGTATGCCATATCCTCTCTTTTGATGAAATTTATTACGGATGTAAAGAGTCAAAAGACTTGTTTTCCGAGAGCGCATAAAACCGTGTGGATTCTTCCGTTGCCTTCCTTCTGATTTATCTCTATCCTGTCGTTGTGTGAATGCTGTTATTTACTCAAGATTTCTTTTAGGAATCCTGCTCGATGTAATCTTTTTCTTTCTATCCACATGCTTTGCAAATATATTCTCCTTCATATCCTCCAACTGCGGCGCGGTCACGTCAATGTACACCCGTATTTTTGCCGGTTGTGATTGGCCTGCCAACTTTGAATGTTGAATCTCTCCGACCTTGTGCCGGTTATGGAGCCAAACGGAGTCTTTGCCTGCTCCATTATGAGGCCGTCCCTAACAACGATATTTATTCCCCAAGTCCAGTTCTCGACCATACTACGTTGAAACGACAGGGTTGTCATCGGGGAATATTCATGCCGCGATGTGACTTGCGGGGAGAGACAAAGTACTATGAGAACGCCGCGTTAGATAAATCAGTTTGTGCCGAGTATCTGGCTCTTTGTTCCGGGTCCCAAAAAATAAGGCTCCTACGCAACGTCAGTGAATCGACCGATCCATTCAGAGTAAACATCTGCAAACACGAACGTTCCTTGTCTTACTACGGTCATGTCGAAACTGACATACATCAAGAAAGATATTTTTTCGGCGCCTAAGAACTCCATCTTAGTTCATGCATGCAATGCTAGAGGCTCTTGGGGTGCTGGAATCGCATTAGCGTTTCGCGAGCGGTACCCAGATGCTTACACCGTGTACCAACAACACTGCAAAGTAAACGGCTCAGCAATAGTAGGAACTTGCCTTCTAATCCCAGGCGAGCACCACGACATTGCATGCTTGTTCACATCGAAGGCGTACGGCAGACAGAAGGACAACCCGGAGCAGATTCTGGCTGCTACAAGGACCGCGATGGGCGATTTGATGAGACAAAATACCAACGGGAAAAAGATACATGCTTGGTATCGTTTTGCGCTTCTGTCATGATATAAAGCAGGCAGATTGATTCGATATTTATAGCCAAATAAATTCTGGCAAGTTTGGGGTGCCATGGGTCGATACCGAAAGAATACTCGAAGAATTGAATGTGGAGATGACAATCTACGATCCTGTGGTCCCCACCACATAGAAGGGTTCGACAAGAGCCCCGTATTATCTGTACTGCTGCGCCTTTGGACGCACTCATTTTATCCTTGTACTTACATCGAGACAAATCGGACCGTGACAGTCTGTTCTATTATGATGTCAAGAATCTTCAACTTTGCCTACGTCGACGTCGTTGCTCGCCTCTTTGAGCTTGCCTTTGTGCGCCTCAATACCACCCTCATATCCAAACCACGTTCTGTGCTCACAATGAGGTCCGCGAAGTAACAAAACAAAAAGTTGCCAGCCCCCCCCCATCCATATCTAACAAACACTTTTGTCCCCGCTGACGTTCCCATAACCTGAACCAGGAACAACTGTATGAGCGTCAAACGCGTTGTACCTATCCGTCGACCACCAATACCACGCACTGAAAAGATAAAAACAACGTTCAACCTCGCCCGGGCTCCAGGCTCGATGCTACACAAAAAAAAGCGCGATAAGTCAATCATCTCCTGATCCAAGGTGGACGAACACACCTGAATATGGCTGTCGATAGAGATATCTGAATCATACGTGTCAAACACATCGAGCCCAAATGTCGCGAAGATGACTGCTGCGATATGTATCCCGCCTGCACCCACTTGGATTGCGAGAGAACACAGCAGAGTATCGCCAACAGGGTTGCATGCATACCAAGGAACCAACTTGTCCATCGCCTGTCCCACAAGAGGTCCCATCGCTACACCAAAAATCCCGACCAACCTAAAGAGACCTACGACTAAACTGGTGCATGACTGCGGCTTAAAATGCGACAATGGGAGCCGACGTCGAATAGTTGTATGGATCCCCTCCAAGTAGGCACGTCAGTGTCACCCAGAAGTTGCTGGAGCAAGCGCTGACAGCCATTTCTATCAGACACGCTTGGACGAGCAAAGGTTCTGTAATATACAGAACCTCCCCATGGTGTAAAGGATGTGCCAGTAAGTTAGGCTCTTATTCTTCGCAGGATAATCGGGCAACATGAAGTACCCTCCGAGGAGAACAAGACCTTGCATCCCAAGGGAGAGGTAATACACCATCCTCCAGGAGGTGAACTGAGTGATGACGCCTGAAAATAACGCGGGCGAGTAACACCCCAAGGATGAGTCCTGAGAGGACCTCGATAGAGATGGCTGTGGCGCGGCGCTCGGCTGGGGAGAGATCCGCTGCCAGAGAGATAAGGACTTGAGGAGTGACGATTGACACTCGGATGAACAATAAGAACACTACGAACACGACGGGGTTCTTCGTTATGGCAAGAGGTATCGTCAGACAGGTGGATACCGACGGAAGGATGAGGATGAGTCGTCGACGGCAAACAAGATCACCCAGAGGCGTTACGAACACGAGGCCGGTTGCATATCTATGCGAAATGTGATCACTTTTGCTTCTGTTTGATTTAAATAAGTTGAGTTTCTACCTCGCTGGTATTAGAGTTGGTGCTCTAGATAAAACTCTGCATTTAACCTGAACTTGGAAAGAGGAATGAGGCACCTCACCTCGAAACTTCGTTGAAAGATACGTCAAAAGACGTCGATAGTTCGACTAGGAGGAGACACAAGTCAGTCATGAAGCAAGTTGATTCCTAGGACGAGCACGTTTCAACTCACTCAGAAGTGGCCGGCAATAATAGAGGTTGGCGACAACTGTGGATCCCAGTTCAACACTCAGTCTGATCAAAAAAGAAAAAACACACCAAATGTGCATGCCACGCCGAATTACGATGTTCAACGTCAATCAAAAGTGAAACGGAATTCAGGATCATGTACCAGGTGAGAAGGTATCGATCGGTATGATTCCAAATTCGCGTTTGCGACGTTCATGACCTTCGACCGCCGATGTGGATCCGTCAAGAGAAGAGTCATAGCTCGGCACCGATTCGGGAGCTCGGAAGCCAGTTATCCAAGCATAATAATACTTAAGGCATGCCCCGAAGATTCCAAGTGAATTGACCAGAAGTTCTGTCCGTTGTAGGGCCCAACTGATAAAGTCATTATTAAAATTGATAGTCTAAAGGCGCCCAAATTATGTATCTAAAGCGTATAAAAACGAAAATCAATTCAAGATCAAAAGAAACTTGTCAACTTCACGTTGGGACGGAAAACCGCTGCTTTGTAACATATACCGCCAACAACAGTCCTGCCGATGCGAGCTCCAAGACCTAAAAAAATTATAAAATCAGTTGTCGCCTCGTTGAGCAACGGGAGAAATTCATACCCCAGTGAAGACGCTTCCCGCCCACCATCTATGATTTCCGCCCACTACTGCCGCTGCTATTGGTGTTCCTGCGAGAGAAGCGATGCCGACCGGGACGGAGGCGAGACCAAGTCGAAGGCTATTATTTCACTGTGAGTATCAAAGACGGGGATCGAGGGAGAGAACGACGGACCCGGAGCGGGTCAGGTCTGGATCGAGAGATAGTACGGCAGGGAAGAAGAGCGATACGCCTGACGATAATACCATCAGCTCTGTCAATTAGACGCTCAAGAAAGTCGTCGATACGCACAAGCGCCGGAAAAAAATCCATATCTAATTCACAAAATGAGAGGTATTCTTTCTATACGTTCGTCAAGAAGATAGTAACTTACAGAACGCAGAAGACGGTGATGGACGCTGCCGTTGTGCAGACCGTCATGACTAGTGCCATGATACCTGCAGACGAATGAAATACAAATGTAGAATGTACATCAACATTACTCACCGGCAGCAGCAACACATGGGATGTACACAGGAAATACGCCATACCGATCGGCTAGCCAGTTCGGAATAGTTCGTCCTAGTGTACTGCTGAGATTGATAATAGCCACCAGGTAGCTCGTCAGAGTACTCGGTATATTGTCATGCTCCTGAGCGAAAAGCTCCACTGAAAACATAGGATTATAAAGGGATAGAGAGATGGTCAATCCGTAAAGGATGATGAACATGTAGGCGGGCGTCCTGAGAAGCGTCGTCAACGGTGTCGCTGTCGCTGATAGCGCCCGAGGCGTTTGCTTTTGAGGATAGTTTGTTCGCATCAACAAATTTGCGGTGCATAGACACCCCAGACACACGAATGCTCCAATTCGAATCCCCCATGCGAACCCAATGGAGCCACCCAAGAAATGGCCAAATATTGAAGAGAAAAAGAAGCCTCCAAAGGCACTGCCGGTTGTGATAATTCCCTGTGGACATGATAGGACATATCTCAGAAGAAATGCTTAAATCACATACCATGGCTATATTCCTTCGTTTTCTGAAGTGGTGAGCGACCACAGAGGAAGTCGGTGTATACATGATGCCTGTCCCAATTCCCATACCAAGTCCTTGAGACAAGAATACTTGGTAGTACTGTCCTTCCTTGGCTAACGATAACATAAAAAAGCTATATGCATTTAATGGTGAGATTTTTGGCAAGAGACTAAACGGAGTGGTAAACCTGAAAAGGAACAGAATAGAGCCCGCGATGGATATGAAGTGAAAATGACCAGCATCAAATCTATATTGCAGATCAGCCTATGCATGGCAAAGAGTTGAATAGAGACAGACAGTCCTGCAACCGCTAAGCCGAGGAGATACATGAGACACAGTTGTAGTGAGCCTACAGCGGGCGGGTATTAGCATCGGTGAGACGAGTAGATTCACGCAAAGAAACAAGAACCTATCCAATTAATCTGAGACGGGGTATAATGCGCAAGATATTCACGAGCGTAAAAGCTTTCCGTGGCACCAAACGACAGAGGAACACCAATAATGCAAAACTGCACGAGCCACGATCCTATGACTGTTATTACAACATGAATAGGATTCAGCATTTGATAAGGACTGTATAGTACACACCAGTTCCCCACGCACGAATCCCATGATCGAAGTGGTCACCCTGCAAGTCCAAAGGTTCTACAATAGTCGCCTCGGAGTCTTTCTTCTCTGCTAATGCGTTAACGTCTTGCCCCCCCAGCGGATAGACAGAATCAGCCATGTCGACGTAAGAAGTCGGTTACACGCTGAGAAGCAGGATCCGGAACTGCAGAAATAGAGGCAAATGGCGTAAGAACAGACCAGACCAGTTCGAACCAGACGAGACGGTGTTCGAATCCCACGGAGATGCTTCATGTGCATCAGAAAAGAAGCTGTTCGCTGAGCATAATGATGATGTATCATTCATTCATATCGGAGAATCTCAAGTTAGGACAAGCCAGGAAACAGCCGCGTTATTGAAACTGTTATTACATAGAGGGCATAGCGTACACTGTGGCCGGGGAGCGCTGGCGTATGTGTCTTCAACAAGCCAGTCTCAGTCCATCATCCACTCAGTTCCGTCCCGGAGACACCCGAACCCGAGTCCACACATAGTAAAAATTTTATTCATTCAGAGCGATGTAAATCATGATACTGATGGTTTCACTAAAGTTTGGCACTTTGAGCCAGGCTCCGGGCCTTTTCACGCAGCTCTCGCCTAAGCAGTTTCCCGCTGGGTGTCTTCGGAATTGCATCCGTAATTTCTACCTGATGCAAATGCTTGAATGATGCTTTATTGTCTGCGACATGCTTTAAAGGCGATGAGCACAGTTCAATTCCTTCTGACATACAAAAGAAAATACCTTTCGGATTGACGATTTCACAGCTGAAAAACCTCCGTCCTTCTCAGCTGTATTCATCCCATCCGCGGTAAGGACAACAAATGCCAACGGAACTTCTCCACTGTATGCATGAGGAATTCCAACGACGCACACGTCCCCTACGAAGGGGTGGTCCAGAATGCAGCCCTCTAATTCGGCTGGCGCAACTTGGAATCCTCGAACCTGTTACATAGCGATTCAAGTCACGACGCGCGGAACAGCTCATGTCTGACCTTGATGATCTCCTACACACTCGTTTTAGATACTGCATCGCCAAAAAATCGAGAAAGTACCTTCAAACGATCAATAAAAATGACCTCGTGGTTCTTATCAACCTTTACTAAATCGCCCGAGCGGATCCATCTGCAAACAAAAAATGTACTCAATCAGTGTCCATAGTAAAAGTTTAGTAATGTCGTTTCATACCCATCAGCAAACGTATCTCGGGTTCTATCAGAGGCAAAAGGTAGGTCAGAAGATATTCCTGGCCGCATACAAAGGTACGTACGCTGCATCGTTGTTAAGGTAACCTGTCGCAGCTGCCGGGGTCCGAATATACAATTCACCTTCCTCATCGTAGTCTCCCAAAGTCCCATCTGCCTTGACCACCCGCCCGACAACGCCTGGCGCGAGTACTCCTCCGAACATGCCGCATTTTTGCTCAACAGGGCACATAGATACCACACCAGTCGCTTCAGTAGATCCTGGAGAGACATGGTTAGAGTGGCACGCGAGCCATGAGTAGACCCTATGATACCGTATGCCTGGCCAATGCATATGTTTGGCAGAAGTTGGCCGAGTTGATCATAGAGCTCCGCTAGATAAAGTTGAATATCTGAGCTTGTTTCCAAGATATTGCCTTGCCTGTAAGCGGAGCGGCCGCACATAAAACGGCTCTAACGCTGGAGAGGTCAAAGTTGTTGACAATGGGATTCTGCATTAACTCTAGGTTATTGATACTATGTCGGTAGTACGTTGCACATACCTTGCATAACAACACTACTTGTGGAGGAACGACCATCAAGGAAGAGATACGATATTTAACGATACTTTGAAGCATCTCTTTCAAGTTGAATTTCGGGACCACGATCACAGCCATCTAAGCGGTGCTGGTCAGAAACAATTTCTGGCCTTTGTGGCGGCCTGAACTATTTACCGCAGAGAATATGTTGAAATGAAGCTGTCAAGCATCAAAAGTCAACGGGCACTTCAATAACGCGATTATGGTCGCTTACAATTAGCACCAGTCCGTATATATCTGGAATTCAATGGGTTAGTAAGCATTCCTCTTCTTCCTCTGGTGGTATACTCACGATAGAAGGGGAGAACCGCTAGGCATGCATCACCCGATCTATATCTGCGTTTCTCCCAGTCATCATACTCTTCATTGACCTTGTTGAGGGAAGCGATCTGGAGCACATTAGCTATAAACGCGTAGTGGGATATTTGAACAATCTAAAGCATCCGTAAGAACCCAGCATCGTCCATCCCGTGCGACATACCTTGGGCTCTCCAGTAGTACCACTCGACGAGCTATAGAAGGCTATCCTCTCCTTGCCTTCTCCTGGCGCGAGTTTAACATCTTCCACAGTATTGTGGCTCTTCAAACCCTGCGCAACGAGGTCATCCACAGATACGAATTCCGTAAGATTCACGGTCTGGGAGTCTTGATCGGGAAGAACGATGATGCGTTTCGTAGAAAGGCCGACTTCACGAGCAGCCGCACAAACTGTGTCTAGAAAGTCTACGTGGGCGATGATGAGACTCGACTTCGATAATCGGAGATGCTTTACAAGCTCTGGGACCGTCAACGAAGGATTGCAAGGTCTATGAAAATTCTTAATGACGTCGAAAAGACAACCGACACGAGACGAACGTGACGATTCCCAAGATACGGTGTACAGCCCACATGCATACAGGATAATCTGGTATCTGCATCGGCAATAAAGGAAAACGAGAACGACTGTATACACACCGACATGGTTAGTAGAGAAGAAGAGGACTAGCAAAAAAAGTTGGCGCGGTTGAGCCAGGTTTGACAAAGGCACGAACCTGGGTCATTTGAACCTGAATGGACTCATGTAAGCCTGATACTAGTAGCGCATGATGAATGAAACTAGCCTATGGAAAACTTCTCCTTGAGCCCCACAGCGAGGCCGTTAGTTCGACGTTGGATCTACTCAAAAGTCCGTTAGTGCCATGACGTGCGTCAATGTTAAATGAATCAACGCACCTCGTCAAGATGTATCTTCCTTCCTGACCTATCAGTAACAAGCCAAGGTACGCCATTCGGCCGCTCTGGCCGTATGGGATGAGCATAGTCAAGGATGAATTGCGGGATGGTGAGGTCGTCCGGTACATGCGGCAAGCTTCCAACCTTGGAGTAGAAATCTGGCATGTCGTTCAGTGAATGTTCAATGTAGACTTGGGTCTGGATATCAACGGGGGCCGTCTCAGCAGCACGAACTGATGGGTCCTACTGTGAGAAATTGATACCGGTCCCTCTGAACCTGCGTAGACCAAGGAAAGATTCTGTCAAGTGACGTTCTGTTCCCGCATCATCGCCACCCTGTTTCTGGAATTCAGATGGAAATGAAGTAAGCCCAATTTGGGCGTGCCCGGCAAGTCTGGTTTCATTGAATGGGAGACTTGATGGACTGGCTTGGGTGAGGTGACTGGTGCACCGGCGATGTACTATGGTCACCGGCTTCTAATATATACATCAACGGCCGTTTTCCTCATCATTTTATTTAGGCTTTAAAAGCATGCTTTCTCACTGAAGGTGACATAAAATCTACATTCGAGACGAGGGAATAAATCCCTCTTGTAATGATCTAATAAGGACATCATTATCTAGAATGTCATAATGTCCTGCATGTAAATGTTTGATTTTTGCATTTGGGAAGCAGCTGTGAATCCCTAAATCATGCCAATCTTTGCGGTGCTCCACAGGAACAGATCCTATCATCCCGTATGACCCTAGATATATCGACACAGGTGCGTTGACACGTTTGAGCCAATCTTCCAGTGCTTTAATATTCTTGCGTCCGTCCGGCTCGCGTTGTGCTATCTCAGATGACGCCGGCATTTCCGAGATACCACAGATGGTTAACATAAAGTCAAACACCTGGCTAAGAAATCGGTCTAGGACGTCCTTGTGCGACTGAATAAAAGGTGCCGTCGGCAGGCCTTTGCGAGCGTCAGCTAGCCCATCAGCGAGGCGGTGTCGTCGAGGAACATTTCCACCCCCATCTCTCCGAGTCATTGCCACCAAATTGTCCAAGCTAGTGTCAATGAATTCTTTTCGAGCACGGGGATGCTGGAGTGGTGTTTTAGTGACATCAATACCAAGCACCGGAGCAAGAAAAGTGGTGGGCAAGTGGTCAATGAGGGCGAGCTGGATCACTTCATCTCCGTTGTGCTCGAATAGAAGCGTAAGCGCAAATCCGATAATGCTGGAGGCCGAGAACGCCGCGATCCGGTAAGGTCCCGTCCTTCGCTCACTCTGAGGAGATCAGCAAAGTGAAAAGATGAAGACTGAAAGGTAAAATACCTTGATTTTATGGTAATAGAAACTTGCTTGTTCCTGCACGGTTGTAAGGGGTGTATCTGGGGTAACTTGAAGGGCCCAAAGAGCGGAACGGAATTTGCGCTGCAAGGGACCGAAAGCGTGGATCGCTCCGCCTCCTCCTATGAATAGAGTCAGATGGGAACTCTTTGATAGAACAGCATTGTAAATCAATGCTAACCATGAATGATTATTAAAGGAATCTCTCCAGCTTCTCCCTCCCTGAGCTTTACAACTGTCTGCCCCGCTCGAGCTAGCTCAGGCCATGAATCTCTATCCTGCATCCTGGTCAATTATGCAATTAGCCCGAATAAGTAGAGGGTATAGATGAGATCGCGCACCGCATAAGCTTCGTAGGGAGAAGTAAAAAGAACGGAGCAGAGCAGAGCAGTGTCAAGCACACTGATATATCACCGTCTCAATCTGTATGAAAGATTGATTCGTAAATGCCCTTGCGGACTCCGTTTAATGCATCAGAAACAGTGCGTCAAAGAAGCAGAGCACATAAAGTTTACAATGAACCGTTTTACTTCAAAAGGTCCGGTGAAATTCGGGCCGGCTCGTTTAAATTGAACTTCCATCAGCTACGACGCCGGGTGATGAACCACGTCCAAACCGCTTGCTAATCTAAATCCGACGAGTCGCAAGCAAACATGATGTGCATGAATTGGATGACGAGTGATGGGCGGCACATAGTAAATCTTCGCAACCTCCCAGTTCGCACTTAACCTCCTTCCACAGCGTCTTCAAGCTGATTCTACTTCCACCGTACTGCGTTGCGGTGCCCTTCCATGGCTGCCATCTCACTGGACGAAGCTAATGTTAGAAGTGCCTTTTATTCTTTTTTTAAATAGCTACTAACTTGCCCCATCCCCTAGTTCCTGGCCCTAGTGTTCGAGGCCTTGTTATATGGTACTATCATTTCTCTCATTAGGCCGTTAGCTCAGTCTGAGCGTGTCCATCCCAGGATCTTTCACGGTTCTGTTCATCGCTGCCATCTATATCATTTTCCAGAAGCGATCAGGAATAAACATAAAACTTCTCTCGACTGTTGTCGCCATTTGGGTTCTATCAACTGTTGTCAGCTATTCGACAAATTTCCGTTTACTTCCTCTGTCTGATACCCCTTCTACAGCATCTGATTATAGACATCATTCGCGCCATCGAGGCATTCGTTGAGCTAGAGCGAGGGGGGGCCCTGCAATACTATTTAGATCTATCAAATCCTTTGCAGGCTGCCAAAACAGCAATATATGTCACTTTGACCCTCGTCGGAGACGGGTTCGTGGTAAGCACCTAGATTATCGTCACTATCATATTTGAATGAATGCCTACCCTAGATCTACCGCTGCTTTATCGTATGGAATCGTAAATGGTACATCGTACCTGGTCCTCTTTTGCTGCTGTGTGGCACAGCCGGTGAGATCTAGTGCACTAATTTGGGCTTCATTCCAATCTCATCTTTCACTCAAGTCGGCGGTTTTGGTGCTACTGTCGCCTTTTCCCGCGCTGCACCTGGAGCGGAAGTGTTCTTGCCGAATATCGTTCCTTGGATCACTAGTTTCATTTCAATGACTCTAAGCACTAATGTCGTCTGCACATGTGAGTCGTCACTGGATGACTTCCAGATAATAACCAATGAGGCTAACACACCATCATAGCTCTCATAACCTATCGGATTCTTAGCATTCAGAGAGCTGTTCGAGGTGTCATTCAAGTGAACCTCGGTCATTCGGCTCTTATGATGGTCGTCGAGTCAGCTGCAGTATATTCGGCCTCCGTGCTTTCATTGATGATCACCTACACACTCGGTTCAAATGCCCAGTATACGGTCCTAGACTTGGTAGGTCTTGAGGTTTCCGTATTCGTAATACCATATTCTAACCTTAGCCAGACCTCTCCCTTAATTGGAATCACGTTTACCGTGATCATCCTTCGTGTCAGTCTCGGTATCAGCTCTCGAGATTTAACGGCATTGTCGCAGTCAGGGCAAGATCGCAGCGCCCCGCAGAGTTTCTCTCTGAACCGCCGAACTCCCGTCGCAGTAAATGTTAGCCATCTCGTTGAGATGGACTCAGGCGATTACCCAATTCAAAGACAGGATGAAGCTTCTCTGACAAAACACCCCATGGTCTAACGAACCCTTCGCCGAACATTGTTACGTCCTTGTCACCACCATCACTCTACGATTTGCGATGTTTTCTTTGAGATAATTCACACGCCGCTAAACCCCTTGATTACATGATAGACTGTCATTTGATGGACACAGGTACATAATAACCCTGCGACACCTATTTCGAAGAGTCGAATCACTCTGTTTGTTGGCATGGCTAGGCTTAAGTTAACAAGTTCGGTTGATCCTTTCGTGCCCCAGCACCCGGGTTACAAGCTTCGAATTCTGAGGCCCATCTGATCCGAAGTGATCGCTGAAACACATTCACGCTGCTTCGAAGTCAATTTCTCAATGCCCGCGTGCTTAATTTCCTTGTGTGTGCACAATATCACCCGATACAAGATGGTAATCATCCTGACAGACGGTTTGGTGGGAAGACGGTTAACAATTGAATGAAGCGCTATCTAATGGTAAGGCATACAAAAAAACAAGTATCGAGAAAAAAGGCTCCAAAGTAAACAATCAGAAAACCTGATAAAGATAGAACGAACGATCCCTCACCTATGGGGCGGCGAATGCGGGGTTCCGCGCTATCAGATAAGTGGAGCTCAAACTTCATTTCAAAACACTGGGGGAGCTGGCTGAAGCAATAAGCGTCCCACCGGTGGCACCGATGTGATATTCAAGGGGTCGACCACTTCGTATTTGTTTCCCTCTAAAACTGGGAAAGCTCGACCTATCAGAAAGAATACCGCCAGCTTAATTTCTGCGATCAGGAAGTCACCACATCTGAAGTGAAGCAGGAGTGAAACCATACCAGCTACGGCTAGCGCACGTCCTGGGCACGCAAACCTTCCTAGGCCGAACGGCCAGTACGTAGGACTCACCATGACCGCCGGTTTGCTCTGGCCCACCCATCGGTCGCTCACGAACTCTTCGGCATCTTCGCCATGGTACGCGGGATTCCTATGAGACAAGGTCGCAAGGGGGCACACTAGCTGCCCTTCAACAAGATAAGGACATGGGTACTTATATCGATTCCTTGCACATACCTTTCGGAATGGTGTATCCTCCTAGTGTGACATCTCGGAGAGTTAGCCGAATCGTTGACAAAGTATCGCCCTTTGTGCGCATAACCTCCCGAATAAACGAGTCAAGCCGCTCGGCATTCTTTAAGGACGCGTTTGTTAGCACCAGCTTCCCGCTATGCTCGTCCACCTCAAGTACGTCTTGGAGCTCCGCGCGCAAGATTGGTATGCTTTCGGGACGCACGGCCAGCTCGAACACAACCCAAACGATGACTGCGGCACTGTAGTTGAACAGAGTAGATAGTGAGGGACCGCTATTTCACAAGAGGCTGAAATCTCTGCGTACGTTTGGTGAATGGAGGCAAAGAGTAAGCTATCTATGGCGTCAGTATCGTTCAGTTGAGATGATTGCTGATAAGCGTACCCAAGGGTGAGACCTAATATCCAGAGGCTGTCAAGCAATGTCAGCCGAACAGCATGTGCGTCTTTATAAGAGTAGCGCCGGACAAGGTAGTGGAGTAGAGTTTCCTAAGAGCAGTCTATTCAACCAGATGTACGGGCCATTGGTATATGTACCTTGCGGAGGTGACCTGTAGATCCGGTCTTTGTGCACGATCTTAGGTCCTTCCAGACACGGAATCCTATTACGCGAATAAAGTTCCAGGGAATGGAGAATGCCATGATGCGTATCCTGGCGGAGATTGTTCAGATCGACCGCATACGAAGAACTGACAAAAATCTCTACCATGTGATGACTCTCCATGAAGTTGGAAACGTCCGTGACCAGTATCCGATGTTCTGATAGATTCCTGAAAGAACAGCAATGTCAGAAGCAATCTTTTCTGCTGCTCGGATATCCGCAAGGGTGGTGTAAGCCTGGGCGGAAAGTAAGTTGGCATACAGTGCAATGTCTGAGAGGAACGCGCACCTCTCCAAAGATGATTGTAAGCATGGATTCCGCCATGGTCCTGTGGACTAATCCAGCCAAATCTACCGGAGCCGGATCCTTAGATGTAGCACTTTGCGCCTTGTCAGTCAAGACACGGATATTTCGCTCGAATATGGGAGTAACTGTCCTTAGTCTACAATTATCTTAAATGGACGCGATGGAATGACACACTTTGCTGAATTATTTGATTCATGAGGGGGACAAGGCCCTCATTGACTAGTTTGTCAATGTCGCGGATAAAGCTGCGAGGAAGTAGCAGCAAGGGATGGAGATTTAGGACCTAGAATCATCATTTACATGACATCCTTAAGCCTCGCTAATGTCACATACCGTAAGGGTACCACTCTCGAAGCTGAAGACAGAATCGTTGGTGAGAACTTCGGTAGTAAATTGTTCGTTGACTATGAACTCGAGCTACAGAACTGTCAGTGAAATGAATGAAAACTCAAGTCAAGAAGATGGTTACCCTGCCCTTCCTATATACAGCTATTATGGGCCCATGCTCATTCAAAGCCGACTCGTACGCTCTACGGGGGTTTCGGAACATTTCTTCAGCCTGAACAACACTCAGAACAGCTTGACACTCAAACAAACGAAAAGGACATACCGGAATATCAATGATAGGCGGATGATCTTTGGGCAGGGCGCGCTAATGTTTGAGTTTTAGCGATTAAACGTGGCCGAACTCAGTACCAATTCCTTACAGGCTTCCACCAGACAGAGAGGATAACAATCAGGGCCATAGCTGCGGCGTAGATCGTCAGGACCATGTTGGTGCTGGTGCGTTAAGATGTTAATCCGAAGAACAGCTGTTGATAACGAAAACAGTTTATATCCGCACCATCGGCTCCCTTGAAAGTATACGAGATATCCTCATGTGCGCACGGAGATCTCAAATACTGAGTGGATTTGATGACCTAGCAATGGGACATGGTTTGGATTGATGTCGCTAATGATAGCAACGCGGACTACTCACTCTCCGGGTACGCTTCCGTGGCTCCAACTTCCTTCCAATTCTGACTCGGAAAAACGCGTATGAAGTGATCAAGGATTTCAGCGTATCAAACAATATCAGATTCGAGGAACAAAGAACCGGAGCTGCCAATGGGATTCCGATACCCGCTGTGCTGAAAGATTCCAAGCATTTGAATGGCGTAAAGGTTCCATGGGGGTATCGAGCAGGAGGGAACTCATCATCTAGGGAAATTCTGATGAAGTCCCGCATACTAGGCCGCCTTACCATGACATTCTTCTGCGCAGATATTGTACTTTATCTGGCGTTGTTTTCGGACATTTGATGGTTTTCGGGATGCCGTACTGCAAGTGTGCTCCAAAAGTTTGTCCAGTTTGGCCTGCCCACAGTAAGGGCTTCGTACGGTGGTCATGCGAAAAAAGGGATAATTCTTCTTGTCCACAGATTCACAGCCACTCGGGTTTGCCGGTATACTTACTGACCAAGGAAGTTTGAAAGAAGTGGTGGGAAAAAGTAAATTCATTCGGTCGCATCTGAGAGATTCCTCATTGCTAGCTGGAAGGGTATTGGAAGATCTTAATTTGCACCCATAATAAATGCCTATGCACCTGTAAAGACCCTTAATAAATGATGGTAAACGACGGGGGTGTGGGTTAAAGGCCAAAGGACTCATCGTATGTAGCTGTATTCTATAACGAAAGAGTTGCAGATTTCTTTGCACAGAGAAACAGCGAGGAGGGAGGCAGTAACCAGATGCTGTTGGAGTGAACCAAGCAACTTTTGGTTGAGTGAGGCGACTCCCGTTTTTTTTTTTTTGGTAGAAATGGTTACCCTGGTACAAAATGGTCCGCGCCCTTTGCGGCAAACTCCGCCTCGGCCCGGCCTTCCTGCTCATTACGCAGTTTCCTGCAAATTTTCACGATTCTGGCAGCTCTCTCTTTCATGTGTGTCCTTGCTTGACAACACTGTTATTCTATTGATACTTTACTTGTGAAGGCCTTGGGTCTACATTTCTCCTGAAGAACTTGGCATTTCAGAATCTGCTAATACAGATGATCAGAGTTTGGAAATACAGTTGACTACAGTTGACTATCCTGCAATGCATACGGTCGGGAGACACCAAAACCATATGCATTGCAAGATAGTCAACTGTATACTCAAGGCAATGCTGGTCTGCAGTTGAAAATAACTGATCATTCTGCATAGGAACTGGAAAGAAATGGGAATCAATACTTTGTGCCTCTATCATTGACTATGCATCCAGTTCCTGCTATCAAGCATGGGCCCTCATCCAAATGTACAAAGATTCAGCATTCGGGATTCTCTCTGCTTATCACATCACAGGGAATTTGCACCTAAAATGATGGAATTCTAGCTTGTCAGTATGGACCATGACGAGAAATTGCAGGAGCATGCTGATGTGCTGTTTTTCGCCCTCTTCGACAACATAGTATCACGTCCGACACATGAATATATTGTTAGGAAGAAGGTCAGTGACTCTAATATTGGTAAATCTACGGAGCAGGGTGACGTCCTGAGGGCTATTATGGTCGAGACTGGTGCAGACCTCATTGCGCTAGAGCTCAGGAACATGCCTGTGGACTTGATCGATCTTTCATCTTACTGTCCAGTGCGTCGTGGTGATAATCTCCTGGAATGAGCAGCATTTATTCAGCAAATGCCGACCGAGAAAATCCCGCTTCTTGCTTCCCACCACAAAGAAGGTCATTGCTGGAAGCGTTTGGACATGGGACACTTCGTAAACCACATGGTTGCATCTCAGTTATGCAGCTATTTGAATAGCGCTGAAATTCAAGACTTTGCGGCCAAGAAAAAACTGCGTTTGACAGGGTATGCTGTTGTCATCGTTGGTGGTCGTCAAATCTTGGTGACGAGAACGGAGGGCAATGTAAAGCAGTAACAGCTTCCATAACTAAGTCCCGTACGGAAGCGACGCTATAGTCCTCAACTCATGCTGTAGACCGGTGGTTATCAGCTAATATAGTCGACCGTTACGCGCGTGTCGTAAATGTCAGTGAGATGCTATCCGAGACTCGTATCGTGGATTTCCTTAAATCCTTGCACTGATAACTTGACATAGCTATTGCGAAAGCCGCTTCGTATGATATCTTGACTGCAAATGGGACACCTAGCACGACGTCGACCGCATTCGCTGAGCAGGTACGCAGAGCCTGGCTCTTCACAAGCACGGGGCAGAAAGAAGACCAAAAGTCCGACAACGTGAAGACGATTCATCCAACCGCAGTATCGACGCGCGCGCGCGACCAGACGAGGGAATTCGAACTAAACTTCTAAGGTTTCTCATGCCCAGAACATGGTGCATCTCCCACTTTTGTTTTCAACGAATACGACGAGTCCATGACTTGAAAAATCATGCTGGGCCTCTATTGACATCGTCTCAAGCTTGAGGATCATCTGGGAAGCCGACTTGCTCGTAATACTATCATGATGTAGAGTGAGAAGATTCCCGTGAGAATTACTCACCTCTTTATATGGCACAGAAATGTCATGCGAGATTCGCACTTGACGCGTTTACTTCACTAATTAATATTATGTAAAGCGGACTCTCACACCGGTTGTCTTTGCGAGACATGCCTCGAGTCTTTACTTTCGCTCTTTTGCTCGGTCTCCTCACCCAGGTGGTGCTCTGTCAGGACACTAACCTAAGGGAGGTAAAGCAAGCATTCGACGACGCTAACGTGAGTGTCCGCTTTCAATTTTCATTGAAATACCTCTCGCTCATCTGTCTTTTGCTTTGCAGATTCCGGAAGATATCGATCTCCCGTTTTGACCCTATGTTCCTCCTTGAAGTCTCGCTCCCCCAAACATCATGCCCTGCTGTCGTACTCAAGGCGGGCGTCCAGCTTCCTCGCAATGGTACGTTCCCGTCATTACTCCGGTATAATGCTGAACATACTTGATAGCAACCGTCGGACCGCCTTTATTTGCCCTCTCTGGATATGGCATCAGGGATGGGCCCTTTGTCGTCGCAGCTGTTGACCCCGACGCTCCCACTCCGCAGAATCCCAAATTCGGCACTTCCTCGGAGGAAACTTCGAACCAACCCGCCGCTTTCCAGGTCGCGCCATCCTAAACCCCTCGGCACCTGTTCCGCGCTGGATTCTGCCTATCCCTCCTGCCGGATCTGACGCTCATCAGTATGTGTAGACATGTCTCTTCTACCGATTATTCATATCTTAGGATATATCTTCCTAGTGTTCAGCCGCAAGGCTTCGATCGTCAGACTCTTATCAATGCCATAACACCTATGACACCGTTCGACATCACCGCGTTTGGTGAAGCGGTTGGTCTCGGAAACCCCATTGCAGGAACGTTCATGTTAGTAGCTCCAGATCCAGTGGAGGGAGTACTCCGTAAAAAGAAATTTGTATACTACAGGGTGATTAGTTGGTTGGAAAGGACCAGGTCAAAGGTTTATCCAAGAACGAAGCTGTATCTAATGTGTAGCTATGATGATCAGGTTGTACGGACTCAGACTCTTCACAGGCACGGAAGAAAAAGATGTTAAAAGTTCCTCCCGTGAAGACACATAATTTATCAAACCATATCGAAACGCGTGCGTGAGCAGACAAGGGAATCTAAGCTAAACTTCTCAAATAGTATGACTGGCTATTTCTATATACAAACTACACCGCACCTTTCACTTGTGTGCAGCGAGTACGTCTACTCCAAAAAATACCAATACCTTGGTGGAGCTTCCCTTCTGAGTTTTCAAATGTCGACTGTCATAGGGAAAACTCGGTGGTTTCAAGGGGGAGGTCTGAGACATGGAGAGGTATCATGGTGTGGAGCGAAAATATTCGGCGCTGGTGAGTGACTCACCATCTCCTACGGTGGAACTACTAGACAACTAGGGAACGGTGTTCAGACTTGACTCACAGAAGCGGGCTGACCATGTATATAAAGTAGACACTTCCATTCCGTCTGTGTTATCATACTCTTTAAACATGCTCCGAATCTTTACCTTCGCCATTTTGGCCGGCCTCCTCTCCCAGGTAGTACTCTCTCAAGATACTAGCCTACGGAAGGTAAAAGAAGCATTTCACAAAGCTAACGTGAGTGTCCGCGGTCAATTCGTTAACATACTCCTCACCCAATGCTTTGCAGATCCCGGAAGACATCGGCCAACCATTCAACCCTAAATACATCCTTGAAGTCACTTTCGCCCAACCATCAGGCCCTGCTCACACCCTTAAGGCGGGCATCCAGCTTCCTCGCAATGGTACGTTCCCGTCATTACTCCGGTATAATGCTCAGCATGCTTGATAGTGACCGGCGTACAACCTTTATTCGCCCTCATTGGACAAGCCGTCACGCCTGGGCCCTATGTCATCGTAGCTGTTGACCCCGACTCTCCCACTCCGCAGAATCCAAAGAATGCCCAAATTCGGCACTTCCTCGGAGGAAACTTCCGACCAACCCTCCATCTTTCAGATCGCGCCGTCCTACGCCCCTTGATACCTGTTCCGCGCTGGATTCTGCCTACCCCTCCTGCCGGATCTGACCCTCATCGGTATGTGTAGACATGTCTCTTCTACCAATTATTCATATCTTGCAGATATATCTTCCTACTGTACAATCAGCCGCAAGACTTCAGTCGCCACTCTCTCTCTCTTGTTAACGCTTCGTCACCTATCATAAAGTTCAACATCAGCGAGTTTGGTAAAGCGGTTGGTCTCGGAAACCCCATCGCAGGAACGTTCATGTTAGTAGCTCCAGGTCCAGCGTAGGGAGTACTTCGTAAAAAGAAATTTGTGTATTATATAGTGATTAGTTAGTTGGAAAGGACCATGTCAAAGGTTTATCGAAGTCCGAAGCTGTATCCAATGTGTAGTTATGATGATTTCTTCAAGGACAAGGCCGGTCGCATCCAACAGCCATGAACGAGGCATTTAATAAGTAAAGCACGGTCCATCCCAATAGAAGGCTAGAAGCTAGTTTCGTCGTATCGCAGAAAACCAAGACCAGAAGTAGACACCTTAGAAGACCATGAGTATTGGAGAGAAAGCAATGTGATTGAAGACCGAAAAATGGAAGCGATAGCCATGGCTGCAACTGGTGTTGATTTGAACGAAGATGAATATACCATCTGCTTCTTATCTAAGGAAAAATACCATCTTCTCCTCCCAGGCAAAGGGACGCCCAAGGGAATTAGGCTTCTCCTCCCTTCTTGCTAGCAATGAGAAAATGAATACAATAAGCCACAGTTTCGACATGACTCCGGGCCCAAATGGCTATGAGTAAGTATCAGTATAGGAAGGCCGCCTCTTCTCGCCCTTAAGCTTCTTGATCATATTCCAATAATACTCTCACCGACTTGTCCTGAGAATCTAATTCATGCTTCAACATTTTACCGATTCACATCTTGTCAGGCAGGAAGGAATTTGACGATCAGGAGACCTGTCTGTCCGAGGTAATAAATTTAAATTCCACAGGTGGACACCCGAACGGCACTAAAGTTGCTGATTCGGCCATTAAACAAAAGGCGAATTCTTGCAATCATCACGCCACAGAAACAAGGGTATTTGAGGAGTTTCATGTGGATGCTTCCTCTTGTGATATACGACGCCGCATCTGTCCTCCGTCCAAGAACTTAGCTTCCAAGTGCGGATCTATCATTATCTGTCCGCCAGTAAATGAACAATAATACACCTACTGTGTTAAGGTTTGATTAATCCGGTTAAATCCTCCTTCGATAAGGTAGATACATTAGTTTAGTAGGTTATCGGGCAGGTATGTGCGCACGCGCCCAATTTGAGGTCTCCACACGAGCGTTAAGGAGGGGATCAAGAGGCCCGAATGCCCACGTCGGATCAGCTTCTGGGGGATACATTGACAAGGCGGCGAGTGAGAGGTAAGTATGGTATGGGTCTAGAATCACAAGAGGTCAAATACAATGGCACCAAAATTATCCAATGAGAATATCAAACCTGGATGTTCTCCGGGTACCTTCGCGATGCCGCCGTACTTGAATTGGCAGCTCGAGAGAAATTGACCAAGGCCTCGCACGTTCACGAGCTCGCGAGCACCAAGAATCTGCAGGAGAGCTCATTAGAAAAAACATTTGGCTGTAAAGGAGATGACGCCAACCTGGAGTGCAGCACCACACCAAAAACAGTAGCAGGCGTCCGCTTCTTTGTTTGTGCGACCAGTAAAACCTCCAGACGAGAGCTGGTTCCGGACTAACCATTGTATGGTCTTCTGTCGTTCTGGGGGAGTCAATCGAGTAGATGGCGATCCAGGAGCAAGGTACAGGGACGCAACGGAAATGTACGTCGTCCCTCCTTGGGCCTCACAATTCGGGGACTGGCCATAACCACCTTCATATGTCTGTGAAAAAGAAATGAGGGTGTTGGCCCGTAAACGGGGAAAAGACCCACTCTGCATTTCGCGACAAACTGCAGCGCAAGATCGACGTTAATACCAGACCAATCATCCAGCATGCTACTGATCGCAAAGGCGCAATATAGAGTGCGAAGATCAGTGTCGCCACTCCCGATTACGGTAGAAAAACTGGCGAAGAGGTGTTAGCGGGGCATGGATATGGATAAGCCGCAGAAAATCAGAAACATGGGCGACATTTACGGCAAGAAAGAGGCCAAACAACCATCCAGCGGCATTCAAAAATATCTATGGAAGCGGATCGTGAATTTACCTGCCGTCTTCCCGCTGACAGGACTTGAGGAACTTAATCAGTCCAGGCCTATCTAGCTGGGAGAAATCGTCGCGCAGGATGGCGAGCGATAGAAGCGCCGTATACGACATTATAACGTGGGGGCCATCATAGCTGGTACAATCTTCCTGCAAATCGACATAGTAGTTGGTCCTAAGCCGCGCGATAAACACTACGGTCCCCCACCTGTACATTCGGTGACCTCTGTGGAGTCATATAAGTGCTGGGTCGAAATCCAGAGCCATTGGGGCCATCTACACGCCTGAGTGAGCTTCGTACGGTGTTCTACGAATATCACGCACGAGTTTGCTGCTCCCATACCCAATCGCGCCAGGACTGCCGGTCCGACTCGGAGGTCTTTCCCTCCAGCATCTCAAGGAGATCTAGTGTACCAATGCAGTAGAATACGACCGCCATCCTGCAGAATTTACATGATAAACAATATCTGCTATCAGACAAGAAACATGGCTCACGTTGAAGCATCCAACTCGACCTGTGCGCTCGGGAGCCCTGAAAGACATCGTTTGGCGTGCCCTACATGTCCTAAACGACTGCAAGGAGGCAACGGAGCATCGAGCATAGTGAAAGTAGGAAATCAAGGGCGTAAGAAGCAGGATTAACGGGCATTCATCGCGGTCACGGTAAGAAGTTCAAAGGGCGCTCGATCATCAGCGCTACTTATTTAGTGCTAAGGTAAAAAATCTGAAAAGATGGATCCCCCCGGGCTTAGGCATAGCGGATCCTCGCAAAATTCAGCACTGTGTCTACGTAATCCTTGCCGTAAGGCCCATTTTAACTGCGTCTTGCGTCACCAACTTCACAAGTTAACGGCAAATGGATAAAATGTGGAACAGACGTTAAGTAAAGGTACAGTTCGATGGACCAGCAAAATAGAACGTGAAGGACGAAGATAATAAGTTCGATGTATGTGAATGATATGTCGATATGATGAGGATGTAGTAGTCACCAGAGGGAATGTGTGAAATGACCAATTAAATCATCAATTACCGATTACAATGCCATGCTAGCCTGTAATGATGCTCCTCGTGTTGTCTGCACTGGTTGCTGCCCCACTTGGGGTGTCGGCGGCGGGTTCGCCAGGTGTATACCAGGACCGGAAAGAAACGCTGGTACGTTCTTCTCCTCCAACTCGTTATACATCACAGTCATGTCCTTGCGATCCTTTACCCAGTTTTCAGCATCCCAAACATGATACTGCCCCGACTCGCCACCTGGCACCTTTTGGGAAGGCACCATGCCTGTCTCCTTGGTTATCCACAATCGCAGGTCCTTATGAAATCTCCAGTTTCTGTTCCATCTGTAACAAGACAGGTCATCATCCCACCATCACAGAAGCACTGAAATCAAATACAGTTCTTGGGCCGCAATCTCCTGCAGTGCGTCCTTTGGACTTGAATAGAACATGAAGAAAAGTGTTTCGTCACTGAATGCGGTTACTTTGGCAGGCCCAGGTGGTGGCGGTTGCACGTTGTAGCATGCAGGTAGATGGAAGTCCGGTTCAACGGACCGTGCTGCTGATTGGTCTGCCCAAGGTGTTATGAACGTTGAATACAGATTCCTGGTAGTCCGTAAGCTGTCGGAACACGTACATCCAGATAAGGACTTACCCTGTGTACCCCATATCTAATCCCATCGTCCCTAGATCTGTACCAACCACGCTGAGCCCTTGATCTGGATCTTGGCCCGCATTCTTGATGGACAATAGCAGTCCTAGCAGACCCCATCGGTCGGCGGCGCTGACTAGTACCTGTTGTGCTGGCGTTTGAGGATGTTGTAACCCATGTGACGATGAAATTGGATTGGAGTTGGTGTTTGTATTGGGATGTGATTCTACCGCCATGCCGTTCGATGTGTAGGGTGGGGGCGCCGTGCTCGGTTGCTGCTGTTGTTGAGCAAACGAATTTGTCGTCGGTGGAGGGACTCCAGGGGGCCCGTTAAGGGCGTTGGTAGACGAATTTTGGTGTGCGCCATTTTGTTGCGATGATCCTGTCGGTGGAGGGTTCGCAAATGATCCTGTGCCCAGCTGAGTTTGTGCAGAGGGCCCTGGGTTGATATTGGGGGAATTCCATGCCGGGAGTGAGGCTTGGTTTAGCTTCAATGCGAAGTTATTCTAAAAGACACACATATTGAGCACAAAGCTAAAGAAAAGCAAGATACACATGATTCCTGGCTCATTGATTATGCGCCAGTCAAAGGATGGGGGAACGACTTGAAACGAAACAACAGTTGGGCTCGCTTTGACCATAGCAGATCTGTCCAGTAACGCCGACAGATCCTGCTATGGTCAAGTCACTAAAACAACAGGTTATTCCGTCCTGCACATTCCACCGCGTTTTGCTCGGCCCGAATGAGATGCGATGCAGATTGTGAAGACCATCACTCAACATGAGCATTGGGAAATTGTAGAAGGGACAAAAAGCGGCATGGGGAGAAATGAATTAAATGACGGAAGAGTACTCACCCGCTGCTGCTTCTCCGTGTCCGTCTGAAAACCAGGATGCACATTCCTCGTTTGTGTAGGCGCCAGATTAATCATGCCGGGTGTCTGTGCACTCAATGCGCCCAGTAGATTTTGCCGGTGTTGTTGATGAGCATGGTCTGAGTGCTGGAATCCGTTCAACCCTGGCGGATGTGAATGGTTTTCCTGCGACTGGTTCTGACTTTGCGATGTCGGATTCTGCCCTTGGTTCTGAGTCTGTCCGCCCAGCGCTGGGAAGTCGTCTGGCGTAAAATCCCTCGGTTGGCTTGCACTGTTCACCCCTGTTGCTGTCCCCAACGAACCCGTTCCAACACCAGCGGCTGACAGGCCTACACCAGTCCCTGCTTGACTTGCATAGCTCGTTGCCACTCCACTGCCAACAGCCCCGTTGTTGTTGCTACTCAAGCCATTGTTCCCTGATGTCGATCCAAGTGCCGGGAAATCGTTCGGGTCTAATCCCACCTCACTTGTCGACGACACCGAGGGTGCCCCAATACTGGATGGTGGTAGAGGCGCGCCATTTGAGGATGACTGTTGTTGCTGCTGTGATTGCTGGGGCGGTTGTATTGACGTTGGATGGTGTTGGAGCCCTCCACCAAACGCGTAACTACTCTGGCCTCGCTGTGATACATATGGAGATGGCGCTACTATGCTGGGTGACTGTACCGCCGTCCGATGGCTCGTCTGTTGTAGTCCTGGGACGTAACCACCCGTCTGTATTACACTTCGTGGTGGCATTCCAAAGGGATATGGAGGTCGAAATTGGCCGGCGAGGCTCGCATTTGGGGTAAGGTTCGGTGGTCGTTGGTTAGGTTGGCCTGTAAAAGATTCAGAAGTCGAAAGACAGGGGCCAAGACTATTGACGACTGAGATATATCCTGGCCGCTCACCTTGTCGATTCATGCCTTTTGTATGCCGAAAGAAATCGTAAAAATTCTAGGAAAAAGAAAAAAATAAGAAGGGGATACGAGAATAAAAACTGCGAGGCATACGGTCAGTGTACTGTCGCTGGAGATACGGTCGTAATTTCGAGGATCGTCTCGCTCGCTGTACGTTTCCGAGTTGTGACCTCTCTTTCTCCCCCAAGGGAACGCTTATGTAAACATCGGCGGAGCATTGTCTTTTAATTATTTTTGGCTCAATAAAATAAAAATAAGAAAAACATGGGGCCCCTGTCTTTGCTTTTCAGAAAGACAAGATATATAATATTATTAATTTTAGACGTCCGTGAAATCTTTATTCGAACTGATCTTTACAACAACAAAAGTTCTTTAAAAAAACAGCAATAAATTTGTGCATGGAGGATTCCCATTGTCACACTGGCAGAGATATTTGAGATTGCAGGTGATCCTCTAGCAGATATGTCTATCCTTTTCCCCAATCTGCTGGAAGAAGCTACTTCTGATTCGGATTCATGTTCGCACATACGTCAGTCCTATCTCCACTAACGTACAAATACTGGTCAAGAACTCGTCTGGGATCCAGTGGTGGATCTTGATATCCAAGCTCATTCGTTTCCCAGTACACATTTCGTTGCGAACTCTTGTCGGACCCCGAAAATGTGCTCTAAAAAACATTCATTGAACTTGATCTAACATCAGTGGAGTAACTTGAGAGCCAAGTATTCACCTTGCGAGGGGTCCTCGGTCTAGGCGACCGGATATTCGAATTCATAGGTATATTTTGCTGCAACAGGGTGTCCCTCGAGTTTGTCCTCCAATTCAAGCTTGGGAAAGACACGTTTAATATTAGCCTCCCATCCACTCAGCAGCAGCACATCAGGTAGACAAACCTAGCGAGGAGCGTGTTGGTATAGGCTACAGGACCAATCTGTGAGCATCATCCTTGCAGCATGCGTAACCATCGGTCACCTTTTCCAAGGAGGAAATTCAAGGCAATCGACACCATCGTCTGAGGTGCTGTCAGCAGGCATATCAAAGCGGCAAACGCGAAGAAGCTATATCAGAATATCGTTAATATCCGCAGCGCCACCCTCGAAAAGACTGCACGAACCTCGACAAAGCTCCGTTGTTGATTGTCAGGATGATGAGCCGGTTCACGATGCCGTTTGTTCTGCCAATACATTAGCTTAAGGTCAGCCGCGCGATAGGGATGATATAAAAACGCACCTGGCGATACCCGATTTATGAGAATGAAGGAAATAACTCAGGCTAAGCGCAATGAGGATATCATTGGCTGCTGTAATCGCAAATGCTGGTGGAGCAAGGATCTATGAAGTCATAATCAGCAGCGGAGCAGAAATAGCAAATGAGCGTCATACCTTGAACCTGTCGTAGATAGCGTATGCACTATGCAGTCTGATAGAAGCGCAGTATAGGGACCGTGATCCGTGTCATACAACAAAGACGACTAACCCTTTCGTCATGACAACTAGGCGGAATCTTATCTCAGCATCATCTCGAGGGAAGTTAAAAGTCCGAGCTTACCCAGAGCCAAAACTTTTGGACGGTAAATGAACGAGAATTCAACAGAAGAACGGGATATGAATAGGCGTACCGAACTGAGCAATAGACATCAAGCACTATGCACATCATGTCAGCAGACCGGACTAAAACAAAAATAGAATAAAGAGACACACGATAAATCCCGTTATGTACATATTCTTCGAGCTCACTAGTATTATCATTAGCAAACTTATTATAGCTAGCATCGTTGAAAGGAATTTACTGATGTAAACCTGTCTCGCGAAGATGCTACACACACGTTGATGATGATGATGATGAGGTTGAGAAAATACTAATACTACCCACACTTGTATAATTAATGCTGCAAGTCCCTGTCGTGACGGAGGATTCGCTACAGCGTCAAAGACAGCGAGACAAGCTAACCGCGCACATTAGTTCCAAACGGCACCTTATGGGGCGCCAGATGGGTGAGATAATCTAGTTTAGCGCTAGGCATGGAGAACTTACCACGAGACTCCAATTCACATCTACCAAAGCGAGAATATTCATCCGGTTATGAATGAGGTAATGGTATAGCGCATAAACCATCATAACCTGACTAGCTGTTTCCGACAACCTTGATAGGCGGGTTTACAACGAAGACTCCTCCTCCTGATAACCAGATGGCACTCACCAGACAATGGCCACCTAAACGGAAAATGGAAAGTCAAAACTGCAGGAAACTTCGCAACAGTCTTACAGCAAGCTTCAGACGAGTCGAATCCGACCTGTACCGCTGGTAGTATCGGATTATCTGACCGCATGTTATGCCATATATTCTACGAGGATGAACCATCAGCGAACCTCAAACATGAGTATGTCACGTTCCATCTCACACACTCGAAGCAATTAGACCAATCAAGAGCGCTCCCAGAGTCTTATGGGGAATCGAAATCGCGCCAGTCGACTCAAACATGACCCTTGAGAAAAAAATAGCAGTATCGGGAGGCGCAAAGGAATGTAGACAACACAGGCAGTGAGAACACCAAAAGTCAAAATCGAAGCCATTTAGCATTTATATATCCTTGCTTCGATGTCGAATGGGCCCCAGCAAATTGCCTAAAGCTGCCTAATTGAGAAAGAGCGGGGGAGTGTACGGACCCGCGACGCGGACCACTATTTAGATGGCTTCACACCATTCTGCCGAGCTGGTAAACACGATTGATGCAAATGAATCGATGAAGTATCCTCAGGCTCGAGGTAGCGAGATGTTTCCAGGACGATTACACCGTCATTCAGGAATTGAAAGCAAAGGACCGATGCCAAAACGTAGCGCCAGCAGTCCTATACATATCGTCCAAAAATCATTAAACCAAGCTTCAATCAAGCTCCTCCCAGGCCCTTGAAACGCGAAGTGGATGACGAGAAAACAGGAGACGTGAAAATTTGATTTTACAGGGACAACTTTCCCTTTTGGAATTGCGGGAAACTCCTTTCTGATCGAGGCAGTGATTGCCGTTCTCAGTGACCCTGAAACTTTCCTTTCCCAGCTGAAGATATTAATCGACGATGACCGGGAGATACACGAGTGAGTGATGAGAAAGAGATCTCAACTGCGCCCCAGCCGACTTGCGGCCTTGACAGTTAGATTAGTACCGGTCAACAACATACGCTTTTCGGTACGGCAAATTACCAAGCGCTCTAAGACCAGAGCGTGGCCAGAACTGACAAAAAAACGACAACTCAGCACGGCTCCGTGCAGTGTCCTCGGAGCTGGACGACTTTAATTTCACTGTAGTTGGAAGTTCATTGTTTCAAGTCTTCGCAACAATTACCCCGTTCAAGTTCAGAACAGATAGCAGTCATTAGTAGAATGTGGGAAACATAGCAGCAAGCCACACAGCAAGCTGAATAAATTACGGGAACCGGATACAAATAGAAGTACTTCGACGTGATACTGATAAGTACATAAACTAGATGCTCGCAGCCATAACTTACTCACTCTAAAAACAGCTACACAACTACAGACAACAGCAACCAAAAAGAATGACTGATAGTAAAAGAATGTGAGGGTTCAAGTTATTGCATGAAATAGTGTATTTTCTCTCTGGGGGTGGGGGAGAGGAGGGGAAGCGCCAGCGAGGGCGCGATGATAGATGTTCGATAGTATGTCCAGTGTCCACGGGTATGCCAAATGCAGGAGTAGTAGTACAATGCGCAGATGAAAAATGAGAAAACGAAAAAAAACGAGTGCGAGCGCAAGAGAACGTGCTATCTGGCAAAGACAACAACGAGAACGATAAACGGAACATACGTCACAAGCGAGACGGCGGCCATGACTCGACATCGTTGGCGCCAGGATTTTGCATCTGTGTTAAACGGTCATTCGAAGATCTCGACAAGCGCCCATACAACTCACCATGCTCAACTTGAGGGTCGTCTAACACGACCCCTTTCTCCAAGGCATCCGCATCCCCAATCCGCCGCGTCTTTGGTATGCGGACCAACAAACCAGCCACCCACCAGATCGGAAACAACACAAAACCAAGAAAGAAAAGCCAAGCATGCAAGGGACTACCTCCGCCGTCGGCCCATCCGACTGAGTGTGCCCTGTTCTCTTTTTGCCACCATTTCCATCTCTGAAAGTATCCAACCTCGCCCTCTCCCGGAACTGGAAAAGCTAATGTCCAAGGGGTTGATTGGACCCGTGGGGGCTTCCGAGGGTCGCGCATGCGATATATCATCGACCGCTGTGATATGGATGGTGCATGAGGGGAGATAAGAGCTGAAATCGGTATGGAGGCCTGCGAGATACTTCTCCTTGATGGCGACTTTTGGGAACCAGCAATCGACGAGGACTTTGGACGACAAGAAGATGGGCGAGATTGCGTTCGAGGATAGCCCTGCTTTGCGCTGCTACTACCTCTGGATGCAAATGAACCACTGGGATTGGGATTGTACGTCTGATACGTATATCTATCTTCGCCAACAGCCGACATAACACCGGAAAGTCTAACACGTTTGTTCCGATGATAGGATTGGTAAGAAGATGGAGCATGCGAAGCTGTCGAATTTCCGGAAGCACGGTGTGCTGTTGAAAAAAACAAAAAAGTTAGAGCAACTAGAGATAAGGGAAGAGGTCGACGCACGTCTTGGGTTCTCCGCAGCAAAGGTGGTCTTATTAATCTTTTTGGCCTCTGGGGGGGTCCCGCCGCCTTCAACTTCATCAGCCTTGCGCTTTCCCTTTCCTTTCTCTGGACTGGCAGGCGGAGTCTTAAGCTCGGCAATAGGTGACGGTGCTGGTGTTGGTCCGGTGACCGACAACAAGGGTGGTACCATGAGGTTGGATGGCTGATCAGACGCCGATATAGGTGAAGGGATAGAGGGAGTGCTAGGGACCGTAGAAGCTCGTGCGGTAGAGGAAACCTGGGGTTTGGTACTTCCACCTTTACGACTCCGACTCCGACTCCGGGTTTTACTGCTTCCCGTGCTGGAGATACCGGGGACTGCATCGATAGACATGAGGTTTTCTGCCGGATTTTCGTTGCTTGGTATCGAAGAAGTTCTCGTATCCGATAAATTATGAGGATAGGAGCGTGCTAGGATCGTGAACACCACTAATTAGAGTCGCCTGCGACGTGACAGTAGTGGGAAGAAAGGGGGGACACACCAGAAGAAATACCTTGTAGTAAGAACGGGGACCCCAAATTAAACACCTGACTGGACTGAAAGCGAACAAAAAAAAAGAACAAGGACGAGACGATACCCCCAAGAGAGAAAAGAGTAATAAGACGAACAATACAAGGACGAAAACGAGGCGGGACTCACACTGTTCTCACGTGCTTGATTACCATTTTCGGAAGGTGGCAAAGCGTCACGCGTTGATCCTTGTCCGACGATGTCAGGTCTGTCGCCGCCACTTTCGCCGCGTTTCCTGCTCGTACTTGCGCTCTTTGACCTATGTCGGCGCTGCCTGTTCGACCCCCTGCTGACAGTGCTCCGTCTGGATGTCCTACGCGATGTTGTCGGCGACGAAACAGGGCTGGAAAAAATATCCTGCAGTCTCGGTCTTGAGCTGGACTCTGCCAACCAGATTGAACTTGGTTGTGAATTGGATCGCATGGCAGGCATGGAAGATGATGGCCTGGGCCCGTGATCAGAAAAAAGAGCGGTTTTCTCGTCCTTCGAACCGTCATTACGAAAAGCAGCATTGCTATTGTCTTTCTCAGCGAGGGTGCCAAATGCCGGATGATCCAAAGGCGGTAGCGGCGGCGGGGATGGCGAGGTCAATGCTCTCGGACCTGGGCCATGCGATCCGAATGTGAAACCAGATGAAGGGGATGAGGCAGAGCCAAAAGCACTCCCGGACGTATTATCCGGAGCTCCGATATGGGAGCGAGTCGTTGACGATGGTGTATGGCTGTGAGATGTTCCGCTACTGGAAGGGCGCGAACTTGAACCGACGTCCGTGGTCTGTGAATTTGATCGTCCGCTACGAATGTCACGACGACCGAAAGTAGACCATGATGAAGGGGGATTGGGAGACTGGGTCAAAGAGATGGCAGGTGAGCCATGAACAAGGTTTGTTAATCGCGTAAAGACGCCAAAGGTCCCTGACCCAGTTGGTGAGGAAGAGTTTTCGTAAGGTGGGTCTGTCGTTTCCTGAAACGAAGATGCTGAAAGAGAATTAGGTGAACGCGTGGGGTCGTGGCCGTCGTTGGAATAAATAATATCATGAGCGATGTCGGATGCATCGGGTATGTAAACTGGATGTAAACGTGTCCGTGAGAGATGAAGGTCGTTCAAGGGCCTTACGGCCGTCGTTGAGGGCACGGTGGATGTGTCAGAATGATGCCTGATTACTGCAGGCACGGCCGTCGTTATTGTGTCGTCAGTATCGCGTGCAGAGTCATTGCGTGTTCGGTCTCCTTGGTTAGGAGATTGTTGGGTGTGATGGGAAACGTCAGCTGCTTCAAGTAAAGCTGGATGCGCAGAGGTTGGGGATTCAGGAAGTTTCTCTAATTGACCTGCCGCTTTCGCTAGTGCTATTGAAGTCTGCTTCGCAGGTGTATCGGATGAACGCCGCCTAGTCCTTCCTGCAGGCTTCAATGGAATTATTCCATCATCGCGTGCCGTGGATGTACTGGCCCTGCTGGGTTCAGGAGCTGACGGGACGAAAAATATGGGAGGAAAATCTTCAACGAGCTCGGCCAAGTTCGGGTGTATCTTCTGATCCAAAACGGCTTCGTGCTGCGAAGAAAGCGCAGGAGTCGTAGGCTGTTGATCGGCAATCTCTGTGACGGGCAGACTAGCTTTTCTTCTCCTGAAACGCGACAAAAGGTTGGGCATGGTTCCAGGTATCTTTTAGTATATCTCCTGCATTGGTTATCAACATCTGGCTGCAGCGCATGCATCTGGCCACGTACCGAGAGCCTCAATATGGGTGAATTCCAAGACTCCAGAATCCTTCGTCACCGTATGGTCTGTGCTGCCGACGGTTGAAAACGACGAACAACAGGGCCCTCGATTGGCCTGATAGAGAGGCTCGTGGGCGTTCGCAGTAGAAGATCCTCTCCGTCCAATTTTGGGACCGCGTCACAACACGTGATGTATCGATCGACATTACGTCCGAAATTTCATAATTTTTCATAAATTTTTGATCAGAATTCCAATTTTAGATGCTTCCATCGTGCTACCTCTAGCATGGATGGCCTCTGGGAGAAAAAAGGGCATATTAGGCATATTAGAGGCGCAAAGATTCCGCCTCACTGAATATCACTGTGGTAAACACCTACCCCTTCCAACAAATCTTGTACTTATTACAGGAGGCGCTCCTTCGCCTGATAAATGGCCCAGGGAATGATCCTGTTTCTAGTTGGCAAGTTAGGAGGGTTATCGGGTTAACCAGGGGGACATATGCAGCCAGCATAGTGGGCGCTGTCCGTCTGGCCGACGGGTATTCTTCGAACCGTATCAAAAAATGATCGTCGTCTGGGTGTACCACACGACTCGGTCGGCGAACTACCAAGGGGGGGGGTCCTAAAGTTGGCTTGCTTTATGCGCCGGACTGCCGCACATCTCCTGCCGGATCGAATAAGTATTATGAACGCGTGACACCCTAAATGATTTTTAATCAAGGTCTTGTGGCGCAAGAATTGGTGGTCGGCTCCGACAGCAAAGCTAGCAACGAGAATGGATTTTGCTTTTCTTTCTCACATCTTGAAACGTGATTCTAAACTTAGTCAACCCGCAGCCCACCCCCCAGGGCCTCCTTTCTGAGAAGACATGTTAGGGGAATTGGAAGATGTGCTTTGTTTGTTTTCCCTACTTAGTACGATCGTGACGCCGACATATCTCCACACACTGTCTTCTTGGCACATCTTCTGAACAAAGCGAAGTTTCAATTCATAAGCAGTATTATCAGTCCCTTGTCATTTACATATCCTAATCATAATTCAAACCGCTGCTAGTAGCAAGCTGCTCAGTCTCGTTGATCCATCTCTTCTTGTTTGATGGGGCATATGAAGTGCCGGTGAAGCTCATGTCGTCCGTGACCTTGCTCGAGGCATCCAAGAAGGTCCCCAGAGACGTCTTCACCTCCAGAATGTCCCTGTTCTCTCCATCGGGTCGCCAACATCCTCCCCTTGAATGCATGGTAAGTCTATGTATAGCTTGAATGTGTTCGACAGTTTTGAGTCCCTTCAACAAGACCCTCAGGCATGCAAATGTGTGATGTCCTTCGATAATCCCGTGGACATGGAGCTCTCCAATAAAATCGAGAAGCGACATCGTGGTCTTGACAAAAAAAAGAGGAACGGGTTTGGGAAACAAGGCAACTGCTGCCTTGGGTATTTTCTGCAATCGGGCAATCAGCGAAACACGCATATCTCACGGAACCAACAAACATACGACATCCCATTTATCGACAAAGGTACTAACAGCATAAGTAGCCATTTTCTGACGGAACAAGAAAGCTTGGTGAGCTCCGTAGAAAACATTTACAGTGCGATGAACTTCGGCGGCAAACATTGCGAGAGACTCAGATCCTCGTCCCGTTTCTTGGATATGGGCCCGCCGGCAGAACTTGCGTGTGAGAAGGCCAAGATCTTTCTCGGAGAACGACGGCGAACAAACGACTTGAGAGGCACGCCTTGCCACATTCCATTTCGCCGACGGATCTTCTAAACATCCAGAAACAAAAGCTCCATTCCAACTTGGTTCTTGGGGATCACACGAGTTCGGTTTAGCTTGTGCGGTAGTTTGAGGATTTGGAGGTAAAGGAGGCTCTATTGAATTTCTGGGTACGAAAGGCCTGGCAATCGGGTTAAGCGGCGTGTCAGTAGGATGTATCGCCATTTTGATGGCTTTGGCGGAAGTGGCTGCTTCAGGAAGCGTTTGCGTATCCGAAGGCCCGATGTTGGCTGCCCCGCCGTCACTCGATGAAGTACTAGCGCCAATCGTCATCGTCAAGGAGCGAGCGGTATGTGATGGGAGATCGTGGTGCTCCAGCTTGGAACCTCCCGTTTGAGGATACGTTGCCTTAGAGGTGGGATCTGTGGACATGGGAGTAGGACGACTCGGGTAAAGGACAGCAGAGAAGATGGCGAGAACCCCTGGCAGCCTTTATAACTTCGTTGGGATAGCACTGGTCAAAGAGAGAAACGAATAGGTTGTCTGCGTGCAATGGAGGAGAGTTGGATTTCGATCATGCTAAGGTAACTTTGATGACTGAGGACTGAAAGCGCCCCTGGTAAACACAGTAGCACAATTCCGTCTCGTAAGCAACCATAGGAAACAGTAATAGTTGTTGCTAGAAGAATGATTTCTTTTCAACGTCAATCTTTGACTGTACCCCGTAAATGGCAGAAGCAACAAGCAGGAAGTGGTGGACGTTTCCGGAATACAAAGATTCCGAAATTGGCCATGCTTCCAGAAGGATTTCACGCGTACAGAACCTGTGGTTCTCTATCTCTAAGCAGGTAAGATGGATCTATGTACACAAACAAAGATGAGAAAGTTACGCTAACAATACAAGCAGATTATCTGAAGACAACAGAACACGAGGTTTTCTAGGTACAGATAGTTACCCACCATTGCTTTTGACATCACTACTCGCCTGCTGCGGGAGCTGTCGTATAGCCGGGAGCTTCATGTTACTGATCCCCGCCGTCCCGCCGTATAAGACCGGCACGAACTGAGGACGCTGTCCATCAGGCATGCTGAACAAACTCTTGAGATTGTTCATCTGCTGAACGCTCAGACCAGTACTTGATAAATCGTGCGGCTGAGAGACGCAATTCTGTGTCGGAACTTTTGTTGAAAGAGGGGGGTGCATGGTGGATTCCACCTTGGAAGTGCCAAGATAGATGGCTGCGCGACCGTTCGTGCCATTCGCTGCGGGAGCATGATGAAGGACACCCTTGGCATACGGTGCTGAGGATACGGAAGACGGCGTGATTGGCGCAACGGCAAGGTCGGGACGAGCTGAACCATTAGAAGAGATGCTAACAGTACCGTTCATCGTTGGTGGAGTAGAAATAGTACGTTGCGAATTAGGTGAGGCCATGGGGAGAGGTCGAACAATGCTGGAAAATCCCAACTTGAACGGTATGATGGTCTCTTTCCGACCATTCTCCGGGTCGTATTTGACGATTGACGGGTCTGTGAGAAGCGCCGGGTCCACTTCCGACAGAACGCGGAAAGCGTGTCGCAGATAGCTGAAAGGGATAGCACTGAGTAACTATACGGTAACGAATGATAGAACTTTATTCACCTCAGACCATAATCATCTACGAGCTCACGATCCCGCTCTTCATAGCTTTGTCCAAACGGCGGAGCATCGTCTGAATCAAATCGCCACCTCTCCTTCAAGCGCCTAGTCTCCTCGTCGACATCCTCCGCATCTCGCACAAGGGAATGTCCGCTCCGGCGATCCAGCATCATCCGCCCGCCACGACCACGACGCAGTCTCACATATTTCCGTTGTGGTACTTCAGACTCTGGCCAAGCAGGCGCACTCGAAGGAGCGATGAACTTGAAAAGTCGAGAAGAAAAGGGTACAAGAGGCGGAACATAAGAGTTCTGCACAGGTATTTAGAATCATTCGATGCATGAAGGGACGGAGAACCTACATCGACTGTGTCTTCCCACTGCTGATCCTTCTCTTTTCGCTTGTGCATACCAAGATCTATCTTGGCTTGCAGCTTGGCGATTCTCTCCTTAGGACGTACGGCTGGCTCAGTGCGAGCTGGTGGGGTGACGAAAGGAGTCTCTGATTTGATCGATATACGGGCGACACGACTAGAAAAAAATCAGCCAAGATAATAAGATGATCTGGAAGGACTAACACATCTGGTTTCTTGGCAGCGGGCGCTCTATCAACAAGCAATTCTTCATCAACCTTATCGAGCCATGGATTCTTGCGTTTCAAGTTGACGATCGACACCCGAGCAAGCCAAACATTATGCCAATGAGGCATGGAACGAAGCTTTACATCTTCTCGTTGGCGTACTTTCTTTACTAGGTCACAAGCATCCGTAAAGTCGCTTGTCAAGACCTCGAGCTTCTCGGAAATATTGTACTGCGAAGCACGGGTCTTCCGAGTGAGCTTTGATTCTCGCTTGCGGAAGCACACGAATGATTCATTCAGACTGTCCGTCTCATCACCCTACTCCGGTGTCAGAACAGGGTCTCGGGAGGGCGAAGAACGTACATTGAGTTGCGGAATGACCCGTAAACCACCTCGTTCCATTCGACGAGCCCTCCAATGAGGATAGATCAACTGAGCCATAGAAAGCAGACTTTCTGGAGGAGGTATATTTTTAGGAACGACGTATGTCGCAAAGTAAGATTTCTCGAGAGGATTTGAAAACGTGTCTTGGTAGTTCGAAAACTCGGGGAACATCATCCCATCCTTGAGACTCTATCTGAAAATTAGTAAACGGTCTTTCTTGGCTGAACAAACCTTGCATACATGGTGAAGATATTCTGTCTCTTCGTGGGTAATCAACTCAAATAGGCCCATTACCAATTCGAAATCATCCTCTTTGACTATAGTGGGAGTTGAAGTATCTGCTTCCTTACCCTTACCCTTCGCACTTCGCATCGATGTTCTAGCGCTGACGCTGAGTGCGGCCTGCGCACTTGTCCCTTCCCCTCGGGCTTCTTCGTTACGTTTCTCCAGCCATTCCGCGTCCCGCTCATCCATACAATACGTGCATCCGTGAGCTAGTCCGGCCACAAGCTGTTCTTCGACAGTTTGCGAAGAAGAGATATAACAGGCTGGCGCTGTGAATTTTTTTGCGGGATACAGCTTATCATAATCCTTGACATGGCCGGTGGAATCTGGAGTAGGGATATACGAGGTCTTTTCTGACGCTCCTCTACCGCTGCGTGGAGATGCCTGTGTACGCAAAGCAGCTTCAGACAATACTTGTTGCAAATGGTGTTCCTAGATGGATGGAGTGATGAGTAAGCAAAACCACGGAAAGCACTGCCACAGACAGCCAGCAATATGGAAAGAGCCGATTGGCCAGTAGGGGACTCACGTTTGCGTCGTCCTGATCGACGCCAGCGACCCTCTGGACCAAACGATTCTTCTCTTCGTCCTCATCGAAGCTGAAAGGATCGACTTCGATGTTCCCAACATAGATTTTGAGTCGAGTTTTGTTGGTGATCCGGTTGCGAGTTCTTGGAGTCGATGCCGGTTGAAGAGAACGCATGACATGTAGGGACTAGATGCCTGTATAATCACGAATCTGTCGAGATTGCTCGAGGTCATCGGCGACGCTGGTGCCCACGCCTTTGTCGTTGTCTGATGTCCGAACCGGCGCGGCAAAAAAAGCTGGATCTGGGTTATCCTGATGTTGTAAACATGTGACGTCACAAGTGCGACACCCGTACAAAGAGGAATTTCTCTTCTAGGTATCAAAGAATGCTGGGGAACAAAATCCCAATCCATATGCTCTAAAATGAAGTTAGCTGCATTTCTACACAAAGTTGCCGTGAGCTTACACATACTACAGAAAAAGATATCCGAAGCGATTATCTTGAAGAGTCGAGAAGAAAAGGGCTTAAGAGGCTGGACAGAGTTCTACGAATATTCAGAACCAATCGATACGTGAAGGGGGCAGAAAACTCACAAAGCAAGTCGTCACCGTCCCTTTCAGTGACCTACGAAATGGAGTCGACCGACCGTCCATGCACGAATGGCGGATGAAAATGCAGGCACGACCGAGAAGGATCACGGCTTCCCTACTTCCGACAGATGAAAAAACGTCGTACGGATGAGCTATGCGTCGAAACACGCCAAAGGGTTCCGCATCAGAGAGTATGAGCGTTCGACGCGAGATAAATTTTTGGCTTGATGATATTAATTCTTCTGAAGTTACAAAAATATGTGCGTCCAGTTCGAACTGCGGATGAGAGAAGTCAACAGAGAGCACAAAATTGCTGTGTGAGAAGACTGAATGCGCACATTAGAATCGAAACTCGGTTCCAGGGCCAGAAAAGTGCAGCTTACCATGATTCCCTCCAACACATGCAGCAGAGGGACGCACACAAGGGACTATCGACGTTATATCGTGAAAATATCGCAGAAAACTGAGCAAGATTGTTATGGTTCATGGTAGAGAGCAATTATACGGGCCGGGACGGAAGGCGCCGTGAAGGGCACGAGCCACCTACCTTGGTCCAGCTAGTTGGATGTCTTCCCATTGTAGGAATTTTTACCTTCCCCCTACTTGTAGAAAGCCAGCGTCTACCTAATCATCTTCGCTGTTGGGTACGGTCAGCCTTGTACTTAAGAAACCTTGCGTCTATAGATGTTGCGACCAACTTCACAGTTGCAAATCACCTTATAATTCAAACATTGTTTACGCAGCACTTCCTACGCGGGATCTGGAGCCACTAACATGAACGTTCCTGCAATGGGACTTCCGAGGCCAACCGCTTCACCAAAGGCGCTGATGTTGAACAGTGCGACAGGTGTAGTAGCGTTGACGAGAGTCTGGTCATTGAAGCCCTGTGGCTGATTGAACACCAGGAAAATATATCTTCAAGATATGAGTAATGGGTAAAATAGAAAAGCCTACTAGTATTTACACACACCTGTGAGCATCGGAACCAGCAGGAGGGGTAGGCTGACGCCAGTCCGAAATAGCTGCCGTCGTGTTCGTTAGGACGGCGCGACCTGGAGAGCGGCGGGATGGTTCGAAGTTTCCTCCGAGGAAGTGCCGAATTTGGGCATTCGTTGGATTCTGCGGAGTGGGAGCGTCGGGGTCAACAGTTGCGATGACAAAGGGCCCATCCCTGATGCCGTATCCAGAGATGGCAAATAAAGGCGGTCCGACGGTTGCTATCAAGTATGTTCAGCATTATACCAGAGTAATGACGGGAACGTACCATTGCGAGGAAGCTGGACGCCCGCCTTGAGTACGATCGCAGGGCCTAATGTTTGGGGGAACGAAACTTCAAGGAGGAACATAGGGTCAAACGGGAGATCGATATCTTCCGGAATCTGCAAAGCAAAAGACAGATGAGCGAGAGGTATTTCAATGAAAATTGAAAGCGGACACTCACGTTAGCGTCGTCGAATGCTTGTTTTACCTCCCTTAGGTTAGTGTCCTGACAGAGCACCACCTGGGTGAGGAGACCGAGCAAAAGAGCGGAAGTAAAGACTCGAAGCATGTCCCGCAAAGACAACCGGTGTGAGTAGGAGCGAGAGTCTGCTTTACATAAAAGTCAAGCGAAGCCGTTGCTGCGTTTGTGAGTCGCATGACATTTCTGTACCATATAAAGAGGTGAGTAATTCTCATGGGAATCTTCTCACTCTACATCATCGTGAGCAAGCCGGCTTCAGAGATGATTAATGATTCTCAGGCATAAGACGATGTCAGTAGATGCTCCAGCATGGTCTTGATCTTTTGAAGTCGTGGTTTTGGGCCCGCCGTACGCTATGAGCATGAGAAAGGACCAATTCGAGAAGTTCACCTTAGATTCCTTCATATGGTCGCGCGTGCACATCGGTAACAGTCTGTGGTCGAATGAATTGTCACACTGTAGGAATTTTCTTCTTTTGAAGAGCCGAGCTGTCTGCCTGCTCAGCACATGCTGTCGACGTCGTGGCATGCGGGTGTCCATACACAGTCAAGATGTCATATAAGATGGCCTTTGCGTAGCCATGTCAAATTATAAGTGCAATAATTCAAAGGAGCGACCGATACACATCCTGAAAATTAGCATGTCACTGGCGTGTACGATAATGGATATTCTGATTGACATAGCGTTCGGTATATTCCATGAATTGAGGATTAGAAGGTTGTTTCTGTATGGGATTCCGCGTTGGCAATCGTCCCCGCTCTCCAATCCCGGTGGTATCTGTTCAATTTCGTCACCAAGACTTGAGGACCACCAACAACGATAACAGAGCACCCTGTCAAACGCAGGCTTTTCTTCGCTGCCCTGTCCCAAATATCAGCGCTACCCAAGGCGCCGCGTAACTGAAGTCCAACCGTGTTCTTTATGAAGTGTCTCACGTCCGAACGTTTTCAGCGACGTCCTCTTTAGGGACTGAAAACACGGAATGGGATTTCCTCGGTTGGTGTTTGCTGAATAAATGTCGCTCATTCCAGGAGATTATCACCACCATGCTTCAGACCGAAGGATGAAAGATCGATCAAGTCCACAGGCATGTTCCTGAGCTCTAGCACAATGAGGTCTGCACCAGTCTCGACCATAATAGCCCTCAGGACGTCACCCTACTCCGTAGATTCACCAATATTAGAGTCACTGACCTTCCTCCTAACAATATATTCATGCGTCGGACGTGATACTACATTGTCGAAAAGGGCGAAAAATAGCACATTAGCATGCTCCTGCAATTTCTCGTCATGGTCCATACTGACGAGCTGGAATTCCATCGTTTTAGGTGCAAATTCCCTGTGATGTGATAAGCAGAGAGAATCCCGAACGTTGAATCTTCGTACATTTAGATGACTGCCCATGCTTGATATGGGTAACTGGACGCATAGTCAATGATAGAGGCGCAACGTATCGATTCCCATTTCTTTCCAGTTCCTACGCAGAATAATCAGTTATTGTCGAGCCCAGACCGACGTTGCCTTGGGTATATTTCCAAACCCTGATCATCTGTATTAGCAGATTCTAAAATACCAAGTTCTTCAGGAGAAACGTAGACCCGAGACCCTCACAAGTAAATTATCAATGGAACAACGGTGTTGTCAAGCGAGGACGCGCATGAAAGAGAGAGTTGCCGCAAGTGATCCAGAGAAATGATATATTTATTCAATTTCTCTAAGAAAAGTTAGTTCCTTTTCATCGCGGCATATTACTGTGGACTCACAAGTAGTACAGATAACCCAATTCGCTCTCTACATACGCGACATCCACGTAGCCGTAACCAAACTCGATACTACATTGACCTGCACCCCATCAGTATGAACTCGAAATAAAGCGCGCATACACCGACCTGGTTGTTCGACAACAAATCCCAGCCATTGATTCTCTTCCCTTTCCCAACGATTCCAGTTTGCTCCTCCCATCTCGTCTCTTGGATCGTCGCCCCCAACACCGAATCCACCAAACTACCCAGTCCACCCGCCAGCGCGCCCCACCACACCATTTCCAACCCACCCCATACCGTCATGACGGCTCCAACGCCGGCTCCACCGACCACGCTTGCCACCGTCCCGCCCACGCTCACGCCGCCATTCGTTCCAGGAGGGACCCTCTTTCCCGTCGTTACCAGCCAGGGCCCCTTCCCACCACTCAGAATACCCAGCTCGCTCGCTAGCGTGTCTCCTAGACAGCACCCAAAATGACCTAGGGCGCCAAACACCAACTGGCGGCTTAGTGTACCAGGCTCGACCAGGTTCGTCGGTGGGGACAATGATGAGAGGGGCAACAGAGCATGGTGGACACTCCCTGGTGCGTACGTCGCGTTCCATACCATGCAACACACCAACGCCCCACATGAGTTGCTCAGGACCTGCCACCCTGTTCGTTCTCCGCCCTCTGTGTAGCCGTCTTCAAGCTTTGCTTTCCGTTGCTTCCCATCTGGTCCTGTACATGAGCACGATTCATATTCATTACTTGCACTTACACCTCGTCGCCCGACTGCCCACTAGGTAAAAAAATATGAGCGCCACACCAAAGACCTTGGTGTCTCCCGCCATCATAAGAGTTCCCACGATGAACGCGGTGACAGCTCCGCTGAATGAGAGGCTTTTCTTTCGCAGGCCATGCACGGCGAGGAGGGTCGCGATGAGGAGAGCGACGTACGGGATTTCCATGAAATGGAGACGAGCCACTGCCAGGAAGGAATCGCAAGACACGTGGTCCGGTCCGGTGCCCGCGGACTCAAATCGTAAAATACTAACTTTGAGAGAATGAATTATCTCTCGCGCTCGCAGTCAGCACAATTCATTCTCTCGCGCTCACAGTCAGCACCGTACGCACAGAAAGCGCTGCTGCAAAGTCTGCGATTTATATTCCGCTACCCTTAATTCTATCTCTGTGTTTTGATTCTTATCAACGATGCCCCGCTCCGTTGGCACCGCAAGTGAAACATTGAATCCTGACAATGCAGGCATGCCTTTGGCCAAAAGTCTGGAGGAGATTGAGATGGACAAGATGCGAGCGAAGATGAGCAAAGACGTGGAAATGAGAAATGCGAGGAGAGCGCAAAGAGGGAAAGATATGGAGGCCAAAGGCCAAGATCCCCAAGATGTCTCAGACGACGAAGAGGATGAGTCCGAGCTTGTTGTTGAGACCGTACAGAGAGCTGTCGAAGCCAAAGGGAAGAGTTCAGAACCACTCAGGACCACAAATCCAATAGTGCCTGCAATCATGCCAACAACGGCTGCTGCCTCTGCGACCTCGATGGATTCCGCGCTCACCACGATGTTCTCAGACGATAAACGGAGAGGAATGCGGAAGCTTACAGTCCTAATGAAACCACCATCCACGAAGATTACAAGGCTCTGCCCATACATCGAATCTGCATTTCCCTTACCATGTTCCACCCGAATTACCTGCGTAACCTCCAATATAGTAGCGACGCTTTACCACGGGTCAAAATTACATGAACCTCCACCGATGGAACAAGCCGGATTTTCAACGTTTTAGATGTGTCCAAAGCTCTTTCTCGCGCAGATTTCCTGGAATGTTACAACAACCTCTTGGGTTTCCTCTCTGCCATTCTCGGCGAACGCACGTTCCAAGGACTCAACGAACATCTGCATACCATGCCGTCGGATCAGCATTTCACTTTATGGTTTGAAGCGTATAAACGATTTGACAAAGATATTCGGTCAAAACTATTCAAGGAGCCGTTTATTCAAGAAGGAGAAAGTGGATTTACTGCACTCAGTGTGACGGATTCGACCGAGGACCTCACCCATTTCCTCTACGCTCTGTATACACGCGTCAGCACTCGATCTTTTTTCCTTGCCACGAGAACTTACATTTGACTCTGTTCAGTTGCTTTTACCCTGGAAAGCAGATTCATTATGACGCTATAGAATCCATGCTACGTCTGGCAAACAAATATCTGGCACAACAACTTCGTACGGATGTTTGATTTCCCTGATTGGGCTGAATTGCGGCAGAAATCACAGTGATTGGATGGCTGGTACGTGTCAAACTGTTCTTTCTCAATGATCTTCTGCTGATATGATTTCTTTGTGAGACATAATGTCGACGAACAGGCGGAGTAGTTGACATCGATGCGCATATACCTCAAGAAAGATTGTGTGGCCAGCTTTCGGAACTTTATACACTCATTGTACATCTGACGTGAACGCTACTTATGATTCCAGCATTTACCTATATGTTTAGGTATTCATTATTACCACGTGGAATTTATTGAACAAGTTTCTTTACGAGACTACAGCGTCGGTCATCACGACTTGAAGATTAACGAGATTGATATCGTTGTCCGTCTTTAAATTGTGGCTGCGGTGCTAAAGCTACCGCCTCTAGTTCATCTATGGTCCACAAACACCTCTTCAAGTGTCAGAATCTCTATTCCTTCTTTAACTCATAGGTGACGAAGCACAAGTACAGGACGATGAAGTCGTCCGCTGAAAGATAGCGAACTTCTACATGTGAGGAAAATCCGTAAAAGGTACCATCTGTGCTATTGAAGATAATACTCAATTAGGCCAGTAATTGCACTTAACAAGCAGATAGCTAGCGTGGAAATTCTCAAGAAAGCGCTGCCTGTGAGAAATTTGATGTCACGGCATTCCCGTCACAACACGTCTTGGTTCTTTTTTTCATCCATCATCATCGAGCTTAATGTCGGATTCGGACGATTCATCCCCGCGTCCGGCCAAACGACCGAAAATCTCCAAAAAGGATTTCCCTGAAAAAGATGGGGCGTTATGGTTGGACGATGGTAATATCGTCCTCATCAGTGCTCAGGGAGTGGGATTTCGTGTGCATCTAAGCGTGTTGTCAATGAACGTAGTGGGCTTTCGGGATATGTTTGGTGCAGTGGATCACTCGGATGAAAAAGAAAAATACACGACTCGGACCTTAAAGGATTCAACCCAGGACTTGAGACATTTTCTCCATGCTTTATACACGCGCACGTCAGTATTTTTAGTTCTATCTTATTTGGACGTGATAATCATGTTTCCAGTTACTTTTATCCTGGAAAACCGACCCACTATGACACCCTCGAATCCATGCTACGCATGTCCACCAAGTACCATGCAAAACAGCTCCGTCACGAGTTGATAGAGCATCTCATCATGATATACCCCTCAGAGATGATGGTCCTAGAAAAGTACAAGGATCTTAGAATCCCAAGTGATGATACCCACAGCCTGCGCGCTATCACAATGGCACGCGAGTGCGACGTACCCATGATCCTCCCAACGGCTTTCTACTGGGCCTCTACCATCTCGCCGGCCCAGCTCATTAGGCTTCAACCTAAACTCAAATCAAAAGACCTCGCCGAGATCCTAGTGGGCCGGGAGAAAATAGCCCAGGCTGTCTACAAAGCTATGTGGTGTTGGCTATCTGAAACTCGTCATGGGTGCAAGGGCGATCGTAAATGTCGTGCAAGGCGTTTGAGTGTGTTACGGGACACCAACCAATTCCAAGGAGCCCCGCCGTCTTTTTTTCTGAACAAAATACTGCCTGAAACGCCGGACGAGGAGAGCAGTGACTCCGAGTCGGATGAGGAGGATGAGGAGGGGAAGTTTTGCGAGCACTGTTTGCAACAGTGGTACACGCCAAAGAAAATGCGTAAGGACTATCAAGATATCTGGGACTCCTTGCCTTCGTATTTTACGCTTCCCTCTTGGGACGATTTAGATGATATGAAGTACTAAAAGGGATTGGTTTTGGAAAGGTGTGTAACTCTCGGAAAGAGATGGATCAACTCATCACTCGAGTGTTATGCTAGATTTTGTCCGACTCCTGTAACGACAGAGCGCTCTGAGGTCCTATTCATGATGTGTCGTGCTACTCGTGGCTGTAAGAGTTGGATGGACCTGGGCCCTGAGTTACCAAGACACAGATGTGCTAGATATCATACTAGCAGAGATAAATTTTGAGAAGCGAAGCACCAGCGCGAAGTCTGAATCTTTCAGTGAGGTCCTGATGGAAGCGGCACAAGTGCAATTGGAGGTCCGGTCCGATTTTCGAACTCCTTCCATCACCGCGTACAAAGTGTCCTGGCCCTCAGCAGAAGCCGGCTTAGACAAAGGTAAAACACTCCGAGTCATTAAATAAGGTAGTGCTGAATATTCATGGTATCTACTATTAATCTAGCCCCAGATATTCTCTGCTATGTGTTAATATATTATCCCCAGCAACTTTGAGCACTGCGTTTTTGATATGTTTCGAAGATCGTCGCATTCACGATTGGTGTCAAAGAACGTCCTCTTGTTGTAGGTAGGCATCCTTCTACTATTTCTGCATTACATTTATTTCGAACACCTTGTGTAGGACTACAGGGCGCGTTATTCGGGTCAAGCGAGTATCGGTTTGTTTATCCCCGACGGAGAGTCAAGACGCCATGTTCACGACCGCCTTTTTTTACGTCTAGTAAGTCAACTATGGACCGCGATGAAGCCCAAAAAACGCCAGTGGCTATACCCCTGCAAGATGTCGAGAACGATCCCGAACGCTTCTTGTGGTACGCGGGATCTCAAGGAGGCGGCTTCAAGGTGCAAGAAGTACCAAGGGGGGCTTGTCAATGACACGCTTACACATTATCTAAATTGGCTCGCCCAAATGCTGTCATATAGAATGCCTAGTTTATCACATTTGCAGAAATATATGAAATTTTTGATGCCCTTGACGTATATTTTTTCGAATATGGGAACCAGGCCACCACTACCAGCGACGGATCAAATGACTTTGGGACCGGCAGCTATGATGAGTTACATTTTTCTCCCGTTAAAAACGTGCGATTAGAATCCAATCTGATCAGGACGACACAAATTTCGATGATTGTCGTGAAGTTCATCAGCGCGATAACAATTCGGGTCATAGTGAGGTTTGCTTATTCAGACGGGCGCTCCCTCCCGGTAGACATGACTCTCCTGGGCTCTTTATCGACTGAACCATCAATTCCGGGACGGTAGCAGTTCAAGTACGATTTTCAAAACTCATATTGCCGTCTCCTGCTGATACCTGTTTATAGGTATCGAGCCACCTCACTGCCAATCTTCATTGTCAAGAATTGCGACGGAGCAATCGTCAGGTGCTATTGAGATACACTCTGACAACGAAAAATCCAGTATCATCGAAATAAGTTGACAATTCACTGAAGGACATCCTATGAAGCGGAGCAGAGTGTCAGCGCACTCTGACCTTGATGCCCAGCGTATGCATACTGTCTTTGTCAGTACCCTCAAACTCTAAGCATAGTTGTATAGGCTAAGCCCTTCGCTCTAAGAGAAGACGATCCTCTGCGGCTTACCGACGTGTTTCGAGTTCAGATAGTAATTGTACTAAATCATTACTTGTCAAGCCACAGAGCCGCTCACTAGACCGGCAGATTCCCCTTCGCCAGAAGAGGCCTCCGACAAAGTGTGAGTGTCTATCGGTTGTTCTGTGCGTTTGTATTGTAATCATGAGCTCCTAGTGCGGCGGCTACGTAGGTGGATAGCAAGTTGGCCAGTTGAGTAGAGAATCATTGTATCAGATATTATTCTTCGTTTGAGCGACTGGTCTGCCCGTCCCCCAGCAAGCTTGGATTTGAGTTGGTCTCTACGCCAACATGATGTTATTTTGATCACAAGTTACCCCGGACAACTCATGAAGCTTAGCGCTACGACATTCAACTTCCAGAAGTGATAAATGGTAGGTATATATACAGTGAAGAATATTCTATGTTTCTACGCAAGATATATTTGTCTATATGTCGCGACGGCTGGCATGCTAAGACCGTCGTGTAGGTATTTCAATGCAGTCCAATATTATAGCCGCATTGCTGTGCGAAAAAGGTTTCAAATTGAGAACCTTCACCGTTGCTCAGGTCTGGTCCAGGATTCCGACATCATAGGCATGGCGCCGGTAACCCGTTCCTCATCAGCCACAATAGGAATGTCCGTCTCTTCACGCTCATTGTGACCGGGAAGAACATCTTTGAGAACGTCCTCCTCCTTCGATTTGAAGATAAGACCCCGATAAAATGCAACGATAGTGAGCGAGAATAAAGTAAACCAGGTCAACACCATGGCAAGGGTCAGACACAAGTGGACGATGTAGAGAAACTCGATGCCGAAGATATCCCCCATGAGGCGCGTGATCGAGATCCATCCAACATTAGGGAATGTCAGAGCCCAACCTAGCATGCGTTAATCAGGGTCGCCAAAGGAAAGAGTACGACTCACAGCCTAGAATTTCATTGAGATTCTTGTGAAGCTTGAACCAGTACGGGAGGACGCCGAAGATGAAGAAAAAGACGGCGAGACCGTAGAGCAAAAGACCGGCAAGGACACTGCCAGCATACCAGATTTCACCAGCATTCTCGGTGACATAACCACGCGAAGGAAGTCTTCATAGACCATGTGAAAAGTAAGCTGAAGAGACATAGGTGCAACTCACATCTTCCTTGCGTGGTCTGCCAAGTTTATCAAGGCGAGAGCCGTAAATCCAGGTGGACCGCAAGCGACAAAGGCTCCATTTGCTTGATGTCCTTCCAGGAAACCTGTCTATGACACAGTTTCCGATGAACTGATATTAAGACAACAACATGAACGAGGACACGTACAGCCATAACGCTGAACAGAGTCTGAATTAGGATTGCAAGGAAGTATACAATAATAACACACCGAATAACGTAGATGCAGAGGTAGAAGAAGGTCATGAAAGATCCCAGCCCTATGGATACTGATTTATAACGATATAGGAAAGACACGGGACAAACAAACCTTGGAAGAAATAACCGACAAGAAGCACACCTAGCCCTCTTGGGTCGGATGCATCCATTACTCTCAAAACATTGAACGAGACAACGCCGACCAGCATCTGATCTGATATCAGATAGTGGAAGATATTTATGCATAAAACAGCATACCATGGGAAAGATCTAGACCCCGTATCAGAAGCAGCGAAGTGCTTATATTTTAACAGGAGTCAGGACTTACTAGGAAAGCGTACGCAGGAGTGAAATGCATCAGGTCGTGTGGTTTATTGAACCATATCATGATCATCGGAAAACAAGTCAGAAGAGCAAAGAGAACATAAACCCTGCGGAAATTTGAGTAAGAAGTATAGCAAGTGCGCTATGGAAGGCCACCCACCAGAATAGGGCATATATAAACCCAGCACTCACATGCCCCGATGGATAGGCGTAGTTGACCGTTCCGATGATAATAGTGGCGAAGGAGAGTACCTGATACGAACATCAGAAATATCGGACGAGACTGGGAAGAAATTCGCCAAACAATTAATGGAACAAAAACGCCTTTGACAGGGTCCCGGACTAGTCGCCAAGCTTGACAAGGGTACACTGATTTGAATGTTATAAGCAACCAGACTATAAGACAAACAACACCATGACGCACGGATAGTTTGCAGTAGAAGAGTGACCACATTGGTTACAAAAAGAGCCATGTTTATGAAGTAGAATCCCGTCTCGATCGCTGTCAAGTCATTGAAACGATCTTCCAGACCGGCAAGAGTGACGTAGACCGCGCCTGTGCCCATGCCAATGGGGAACTAGAAACACTGATTAGCTGGTACCGCGAAAGACGCGTCAAAGAAAGACACTCGCCGCTTGCCAGGACCAACCATGAATATAACGAGCGAACACGCTCACACTAGGTCTTGGAGCATTCTCCGTCCCTGTATCGCTGTTGCTCATCTCAGAAGGATTCGGCATCGCAAAGAAAGAGGACGGTGTGCGTAGGGAAAGGGAAAGAAAAGTGAGCAAAAAGAGAAGTCTATAGAGTTGGAGGCAGGAAAATGAGTGGAGGATGAATTAATGAGGAATCAAAGACAGCCTTAACCGAGAAGAAAGACGTGGGACAGATGATAGAAAAGAAGATGGTGTACAGCTCTTTTATATTGTCGTTGTGATTGCCGAATTAGACAATACCCCACTTTCACCGAGTCTAAGTTTCGCGTGAGTTGATTGTGCGTAGCGGGGAAGTGTGCCCGGTCACCAAATAGCCATTAGCTAGGGATGATCTCGAGAGCATGCGGGCACATAGATATATGTGGTAATTGTTGTCTGACTCGTGACGTTGCAATTCCTACAGCAGTTGTACCGGCTAGGGAAATCTTAGTCGGTGTCTTTTAGGTTTTGAAGCCTGTTCCAATTCAATTCCGACTGGCAGACGACCAACGTTTAAGGAAAATTCTATGTAAAAAAAATGAGAACGTGTGATATTCAGAAGCCCCGACCACGGAGATATGATAGGATCATAGGTCCCGTCGCTTTTTTTGGCCCCCGATTTCAACTGAGATCGCGTGGGATACAACTATCGAGAGTGCTCATCAAGACTTGTATTATCTTTCGCGAGAAAGGTGCACATATCTCCAAGCAGGTGTTGATTTTGAATTACGCTTTTACGGAGTCAGCCGCAGTTAAGTTATCACTTTATCTTTCGTCAGATGCTTCGCAAATCCGCAGTCAGAAATAGGCCAGACAACGCCACAGGAAGAATACTGCGCCTCCAGTTTGACAGTTGTAGTCCGTTCCAAAAAAAGAGAGAGGAAGCAACGAATGCCACTTCGATTGCTTGCGTGATGGACTGTGGGTTCGAACACAGAGCGTGTGTTGCTAAGGGTGGAAGAGATCCGGCGACCGGTCAACGACGGTAAACTAAACTCACTTCCCCCGACAACGAGAGTGAAGTCCAGGTGAGGACGCTTACTCAATGAAGAGGGACCGCATTTCAGATCTGAACAGACTGAATCAGCATCAAGCTTGGCCGCTGTTTTGACGCTGTATAATCGAGGGGTATGACGTAGAGGATTTTAATAAGTCGGACCTACAAAGATGTTCATAAGTATCAATAATTCCCGCTGAAAATGATAGAGAATTAGTATAACTAAGATTATGATAGAGGAATACGCAGGCAATGGCCCAGTTCTCCATTTTTTTTGGTTGATACGTATCATCCTAGTAGCAGAATAGAAGGGATATATACCGATGGAAGAGACACGTCGATTCATGGTTCTGCTTACGATTCACGATCACCTAGCGGGAATGTAGAGGAAGAGTAGATATCGAACACAGAAAGCATACCATATAACCCTAGCTCGGTGAGCTCTAAATTGCTGGGTGATTCGTACTCCTGCTCCTGCATACGTTGTGCACGATTCTGCCTAAGAGTGCACATTGTAAATCTTGAGCAAAATATTATGCCGAAGTAGCCCCTGCTAATGTATTTTAGTTAGCTAGACTCCTAATCCTGGCTTTTGTGTGATTCTATTCGAGTAGATAACCCACAGCGAAGGACACCAAGGCAAACAAGGATCAGTCCTTCCAATATTGTTACCAAAGAAAATAAATACAGACCAAACATACCAAAGCTATATACCGATGCCCGCTAGTCCTTCTACGATAATTGCTCATCACTATCACTGAACCCGAATTATCCCGCGAATGACAGTGCATTGAAGTGACGCAGGGGTCGCTGGAGGACGTCGCGGAGGAAAGAATTTTTGAACTCCGACGTTCTGTCTTCCACGTAGTCGGTTACCTTCGTACTTTGATCTTCCCAAGTGGGAGGCGCTGCTCAAACATTCAGAGTAAATGTGCTCACAAAGCTTTACTCGCTTCTTTAGCTGTAACGATGCCTTTCTTACTCATGCACTAGCTCCTTCAAACAACGACGCTGGTATTCAAAGACCGTGACAGTGTCAACTATTTGGGCGCTATCGATGGATAACGTGATGATGGATGGGGTACCACAGGACCAATGTCCAGAATGTACACAGTTCTGCGAGCTGGTGAAGTGTGAAGTTTTGGTTGGTAGCGGGCTATGATTGCAAGGAAGGCTATGCCGTCAAATAGAATGAATGAATGATGAAGATATAGTGTTGGAAGTACATCCATACAGGGATATCTCAACGCGGAGACTGTTAACGAGGAGAAAATTTCATCCGATGTAAAACCTACGCTTCTGGTTAGTAACTTACGACTTGTCGACCTAAAGGAGAAGATGCACGTGAAGCATAATCACACCAGAAAGATGAACATTTTTGACAAACCTGAATTTTGAGCACAACTATAATGTTTTAGCGTCAACAAACTTCACTTTTTGGAGGATCTCAATCCCATGCCGGCGCCGCCCACCAGAGATACATTTCAGGAGCACGCAAATTTTATGTAAAATCTCTGCCAAGATCGACCTCCCAAAACATCACCTTATTGTGCACATTCTGGTTTCACTCAAATTCTCACCTTTCCGCTGTGACTCCTCGACAGCATTCGTCGTATCAGGTCGTGAAAGCATTCTTTGTTCCTGAATAGACTAAATTACACGAGTAAATTGAAGGAATTGTTACTAATATGTTCTCTCGGAAGACCTGCTGTTGATGAGCGATGAACAAGCGCTGCCCGGCCGGTACAAACCCCCGGGAAGATAGTGGCATTCTCCTCCGTATGCGCGACGCGTTCTGCCACCTGACCCATTGGAGCCGGTCAAAACTCCCTTTCTCCTTTTCTGTGACGTCTGATTCTGGCTCGCGCCCCGCAAAACGTCAAAAAACCTCCTGAAATGCTTCTTCTACTTCTGCACACTCAAAAGACCCGATTTTCTGGTTCGAAGATGGCAATATCGTTCTCATCAGCAATCAGGGAATGGAATTTCGCGTACATTTGGGTGTACTGTCATTCAACACGGAATTCTTTTGCGACATGTCTAGGTTGCTGTCTCAGATGAGGAAGAAAGAGGATTTACCTCCATTGAGGTGGTGGATTCTACCTAAGACTTGATAAACTTCCTCCATGCTTTATACACTCGCTCGTCGGCTTTTTTTTCTTTCTCTGCCAATTCGGAAAATGGACATGACGATCTTTTGGCGGCTACTTTCTCGCAGGAAAATCGACGTCTTACGACGTCCTTGAATCTCTGTTACGCATGTCAACCAAATACCTGGCTCAGCAGCTACGCTCCGACGTGATAAAACATCTCACCATGATATACCCGTCTAACTTTAGTGAACTGCAAAAGCACAAGCACCTCAGAATTCCAAATTCTGATTCCCATAGCCTTCGAACCATCGTGATGGCATGAGAAAACGATGTGCCCACTATCCTTCCCACTGCTTTTTGCTTTGCCTGCACCATCCCACCCTCCCACCCTGTCGAGCTTTACCCCAAGCCCAAACCGGGTGACCTTGCCTTGATTCTCACCAGATAGCAGCAAGATGGGAAGAGAGCTCGTCCATTGAATCCTAGACTCCCATCGAGAAGGTCTCAAAAAGTAAATGCTAAACATTCTCCCCTATTTCTCATCAGCAACGAGGCGGCAGGCGGAAAAGTAAACAATGGTAGTTGCCAGATATCCAGCAGTCGCAAAATGGAAATTGGTATTCCAAAAAAGGGTCTTGGGCTGTCATAGGCACTATCAGGGTTCAAACCTGGCCTCCTTGAGAATATTGCTCCTGCGTCATAGTGCCTCGACAATGGTAACATCTTTCTCAGAACAGGAGTGCGTAGTATCCAGTGTGGGGGTAAGGATGAAAGAGAACATCGTTCATATAGGTGTCAGTGCCGCAGAAAACTTGGATTCATTAGAGATGCAACGGGTTTCAGAAAGTCGGTCGCCTTTGTCTGGAATGACATTGCCTTGTAAATGGTATTTTGCCTATAGCTCTAAATCAGGGTCAGTAGATCCTGCAAACAACATATGCCTGAATCAAAACAAACAGCTGAAATCTAGCAAGAAAGAGAAGGACATACGATACATCTTTTATACTCCTAGGGCATAATGAGCCCACTTCTAGGTTGATAGAGAAACACATCTTGTGATCAGATCTCAGCATCTCCACCTGTAAAAGAACAGAACCATGCCCATCCAAGTTCCTTGTATCCACCATGCTATGCTCCTGGTATGAACAGAATAGAATATCTGTGCAAGAATAGTTTAGTTTGCCTCTGCCCCTAGTGTCATCATTGAAAGAATAACCTGGGCCACATACAATATTGCATGGTCTTGGCTGTTTCAAAGGCTCACAGTAGATATGTGCTACAATACTTGTCTATGTGAGGAAAGACATCTGAGCATGGTACATACTATTGCACAGTCTCCAGGAGATACACCTTGTCTATTTCTGAATATGGAGAGAGGGTTTGTGGGCTATGTTTGGATGATTGGAGGTTCTCTGAGAAAAGGAATTATAAGAAGATCTGGAACAATTTGCCATTCTATTTCAAGCTTCCTAAATGGAAGGTACTGCTAAAGGACTTGGAGTGATATTTGATCATAGACATTTTGTACCATATGTACATCCCTTTTGAGACACAAAGTTCTCTTTTCAATTACTTGTACCATTTTCTAAGTGACAGGGTGTTTCTCTCACTCAACATTCACTTCATAGAATAAAACCACGGTTCTGTCACACTAAGTTCAGACCAACATATGCACAGTGAGTTCTAGACCTTCTGTACGCCAGATTACTGGCCCTAAAGATTCCTCGTGATCGTCCTTTTGACAAATAGGGACAGCCAAGCCGCAGCTAATGTCTTGTTCATGAATTGCTAATATAATTCATTGGGGGTTTCACTGTCCTTTCACTTGACTTTCATCTTCTCAATATCCATTCATCCGATACTAACCTATTCCCCGCCCACGTTTCCACAAATGCCAACTGTAAATCGTATATCAAACCCGCCCTCGTCCTCCCGCGATCGCGCAGGCAAGAATTTGTTCGGGTGCATCGAACAGGGGCTCAAAGATATGGACCAATTGACGGAGAACCACTGGATAGGACCAATGCCACCCGAAGAATTAATCTCGACCTTACCTTCCGATACAGGATCGCTGAGCCCAGAAATCTCGGGGATGTTTGATTCTTTGCCTCAAGAGTTTGCAAATACTCAGGAACTGCAGAGTATATTTGTGAGCCATATGCCTGAACGTCGACAATCGCTTACACCTTGACAGCTTGGTCTGCTCTCTCCCCTTCTTGTCGTACCCACCGACCTAATTGATCAGTCCAAATCCCGGTACTTGAACTGGGACTTTTATGTCTCAGACAAGGAGCCGTTCAACGATCCACCCATCTGCAGCAACCCTAGCATCCGCCGACAATACCCATGGATCGTCGACAACCGTGCCGCTACCTCCATTCGCGGCCGGATGATTGAATATGCTAAAGACCTATACGCCAGTCAACACCGATCACATCTCTATTCTGTACTCATAGGCAAAACTTACGCTCGGTTCCTCCGCTGGGATCGCAGCTCGGTTCTCATTTCACGATCTTTTCCCTATCGTCGACAACCGCACCTCTTGATCGCGTTCCTGTCGCGTTTCGCCAACCTCTCCCCTGCGGGAATGGGATACGACGACACGGTAACCCCGGCTTCTGCGAAAGAGGAGAGTTTGGCTCGTGATGCTCTGAGAGACTATGTCAACCCGCTCGTTCCTCGCCGTCTCTTCAAAGTGCATGTCTCCGATACGCTAGGTCCCGGTTGCGATGTTATTATCGGCCCACCGATCGCTAAGGCCACTACAATCGTTGGCCGGTGCACGTCTGGCTATCCTGCATTCAATTTGGCGACACACCAAGTAGAATTCCTCAAGGACAGCTGGCGCGATGAAACTCTGCACGGCAAAGAGTCTGAATTTCTAAGAACCCTGAACGACCAACGAGTCCGCTACGTTCCAACACTGACATGCGGCGGAGATGTCCCAGGCCATGTTACCACGAACCACGTTTACGTGGAAGCTCCTTGGAACTGTGGCAGGACCTCAGTGTGCATCCGACGACGGCAAAGGAACCTCACGAAAGAGATTGGAAAGAACTTGTCGACGTTTCAGTCTGGGAAACACCTCTTGCAGGTGACGCTTAACGCATTCCTTGGTGAGTATTTCTTCTGTGCGCTGATTAAACCTACGTCCTGACGTTGTAAATGAGCTCACCGCGATGCCTTTGAAAAATGCCGACTACTACATCGCGACATTAGTGGTGGTAACATCCTGATACTCCCCAATGGCGACGGGATGCTGAACGACTGGGACCTCGCCGTCCACATGGACGAATGTCAAACGGATCAACGTCAACTAGTGCGGACAGTGAGCATTTGAATATCCCCCCATCTGTACCTTCATCAATGACACAGCCTTCAGGGTACCTGGCGCTTCATATCCACAAGACTCTTGAATTGCCCCGGCAAGAGAAATGAATTGCAAGACGACTTGGAGTCTTTCATACATGTTGTCATGTATCATAGTCTCCGCTACGTGTGCCACAACAAAGTCGACAGGCTGCCTGGTATATTGTACGAGATATACGATTCGGTTCAGACGCACGATGGCGAGGCTCAAGGAGGCTTTGGGAAGCGACGCCTTTTCGCTTCCAGTGGTGTCGAGGTCCTGGGGCGAGACTTTGCGTTCTCCAAGTGCCATCCCCTCAATGGGTGGTTTGAACGCGCCATGGACCTTGCATGGAAGTGGATTTCCTACGCCGAGTATAAGCGGACGCCGTTTCCTGAGGAGATGCAGACCCATCAAGCTCTCCTTGATGTGTGGGAGGAAATTTTGCGGGATGTGCAGTGGCCTGACGTGGATCATGCACCGTGCGACCAGTCAGTGATGAAGACCGCACTGTTACCGTCGAGCAGGAATGCGAAATTCATGGGCAAGCGAAGAAATATGAAGCCGGAAAACCGATTGGTCTCAATGCCTTAGATGAAAGCTTTGTCTTGTGGTCGTGCCGATGTGTATCAATCCGTTGGACCTGTGGCGGTGAATATGTTTGAAATAAAGGAGTGATATAGTGTGTACAAAAAACATCTAAACGTAGGTAATGAGCTCCATTTCGAACAGACACTTAACACACGCAACTCGTTGTGTCCTTCAATTTATTATCTCTAGCCCATGTCCAGGTACCTTCAGAAGATAATGCATAATCTTACCATCTTGTTCTTCGTACGTGCATGTCGCTGTCTAGCATCTACCAAGTATCTATTGGCACTAGTCCAAGCGAATCGTGTGGGTGAAGTCACGTATAACATATCGATATCAATACGGGCCCAGAGTATACGTCGATCCACCAGTGATTCACGAATGGGAAAATGGCTGCGGAGACTTCACCGTAGAAACGTATTCACCGCTGTGCAGAAGATGACCGGAAGTAGGGTACAAACAAAAGTTTTTGTACAGTATCACACCATACCAGTACGACGAACCAGGATCTTCACGCGGCAGAAGTACAGAGCGGTTAATGATAGCTTGACGAAGTCCGGATATTGTACAGTGGCTGGATACGTGCGAATAAAACAATAGTCCCTTCGAAGAGCCAAAACTTCTATCACAAAAATGAGCAAAATTTTGTATGAGGTCGCTTGGGGTACGCACCTAATTGTAAGAGAAGGAGAGCCTATCTGCCCTAGTCTCGATATCAACATACTCCCATTTCTTTTGGGTGGATATATCCAGTCTCTCCCGCGTCGCCCGACCAGCGACAGCAAACAATGCGACCATTTCGCAAAAACAGGCCACCGCCTCCGCCACGCCTTTCCAAAACTCCATAGATGAGTCCACCGTCCCTGTCAGTTCTTCCGCGATGGTATGCATGGCCGTCAATCCCAGAGGGACAACCCAGAGTGTGGCAAGCACAAAGCCAATGATAATAGCTGCCATGCGCGAGTAGGTGGGGAAGGTAGATTTGCGTGAATTCCTGACTTCGATGATGACAATGGTAGCATGGTAGGCGTATGTCGCGGCAACGGCAACAAAGGTCGTGTAGTCGGACTGGGCACCGTATTCATTGAGCATGGAGAACGCCAAGCAGATGGTGGTGATAGATAGAGAGATGGAGGTGAGAAATCGTAGAAAGGGAGAGAACGTTGAAGGTAGGCTGCAGGAGACCATGGTGGTACCGGAATGAGTTTTAGTCGTCGTCGGTGAATTCTAGATTGCAAACGTCAGAGATGCCCTCAGAAAAGGCGAGAGCGCTTGGGGACAGAATAGAAGCCTTACCCTTTATTGCGGTTGGGCGCTTGCTATCCTCGCACTACGAAGACGTCGTGGCTCAACGGGAAGAGCAGCATAAAAAGAAAGTGTTGGGCGGTAGCAATTCTGCCCGCCCGCAGCAAGGAGTCCGACGTCAATGGAAAAGTGCCTAGCCGATAATCGGCCCCGGAGCGGAAGTGCTCGAAAAGGGTCACTAGGCCGTATAGATATCATTTATGTCCACAACACCAGCAGCAAGAAAGAGAAGTAGACCAACATAGAGGGGGAGCACCCGAGATAAACGAGAAACAAGATTCCATTTTTACCTAATTTCCCGACGGAATACAATCATCTTGAAATCTAGGGGCTAACGCTCGCGGAGATACATATCCTGGATCTTCCATCTTCCATCTTCCATCTTCCATCTGCCATCTTTTAAATGTTCCCGTTCACTCGTTGAACAGTGAGTAAACATCGGACTTTTTTTTACTGAAATTTGGAAACGACTCCAACATCGGAGGGGGGCTACGTACGTTGTCAGACGAAAGAGTAAATATATTAATATTAATATTAATACTGCTGATGTCAAATGAACTGTACCCTACCATGAAAGGGCGGTGTATCATGTAGAGGTTGTTTGAGGCTAAGTATCGTGTAACTAACTGGTCTTGCAACAAGTTCCGCGGGTGTATTTTTGGAAGGTTTTGTGAGCTTCTCTGGTGATGGACGTAAGGGTGCCTTGAAGTAATAGCACAAATCGGTGACCAAAAGTTCAACACTTGGGTTTTTATTTTTTTCTATTTCATTCGACACGTCTAGATCACGGAAGAGATCTGGATTCAACAGTATTTATGATTACGGGGGGCCGCGGCACCGCATGACCTGTGGCTCGTGACGTCCCTTAAGAGTCGCCAAGAGGGGGTCCCCGGTCCAGGTGATTCTTTCGCTTTTACTACCATCATCTCCTCTTCTGCATTCTTGTATTTTCCCTCTTTGAATGTCAACTGCAGCCTTTCCAACCTCATATTCACTACTTGACACATTCTTTTCAAGTGTACAAACGCAGGAATCGGATCTTGAAGATCGTCGGCAACGGCCCGGGATTGTAACAGACGACTCAGATGCAACGCTGTCTGCAGAACAAAGGATATCGGCTGAGCTGTTGTCGGAAGGCGCTGAGAGTGAAGAGGTGATCTACTCAACACGAACCCAGCACACTCAGGCGGCATCATGTCTCAGCGAGGTCATTCCGTCTCCCGCGTCCATGTTTCTCTCCGCCTTCGGTCCTACGCCCTCTGTCGGTGGTGACGAAGTCGTATCTGGCTACACGTTGGGCAAGATTATCGGATGTGGCGGATTCTCCACGATACGCAGAGCCTATTCCCCGTCAGGTGGCGATGTCGCTGTCAAGATAGTTCGTCATTCAGATCTGCTGATCCAAGGCAAAGCGCCACTAGGGTGGAAGCGTCTTAAGCATGAAGCAGAAGTGTGGACGTCGCTTAGCCATGAGCACATCTTGCCTCTTTTCTCCACGGTGCATCAACCCACTGCTGATTACTTCTTCATGCTTTACTGCCCCGCCGGTTCTCTTTTCGATATACTGAGGCGAGAGGGGACTCTACCGCAGGATGTAGCAGGTATGATGTTTCGACAAGTGGTCAGAGGACTCAGATATTTGCATGAGGTTGCCAAGTACGTTCATCGGGACATGAAGCTCGAAAATGTTTTGGTTGACGACATGGGTACGTGCCGCATTGGAGATTTTGGCCTGGCAGAGAGGATAGGAGAGGGCGAAAATGCTGTCGAGACGGATGATGAACACGAGGTTCCCACCACGGGCATCCACCGGGCAGTATCCTTGTCAACTGCACCCAAGCGACATCTGAAAGCGGCACTGCTCGCACATCAGCTGCCAAGACACCGTAATTCAACTAACTCTTCGGCCCACTTCGCTGAGAAGGCCCATTTGTTCCACCCAGGCTCGCTACCGTACGCAGCTCCCGAACTACTATCAACTCTACCTTGCCTCGCCCATCCCTCTCAGGACATATGGGCCCTTGGCATCATACTCTTCGCGCTGTTGACAGGGAGACTTCCCTTTGTGGACTCTTTTGAACCACGATTACAAATTAAGATCCGGCATAGTGAGTCTTAAGCATTCCACATGTTCGCTTAGCTGATTGTTCTTTACAGGTGACATCGACTTTCCATCTGATGTTGGTCGTAGTACGGAACGAGTACTTCGGGGATGTCTGGACCGAAACGTCTCGTCACGATGGACAATTGCCATGGTCGATGAGGTCGCGTGGGGCGTAGGAGGAGGAAGCGAAGGTGACGATATTGCACCTCCTGAGATTGATGATGACGTTTCAGCTCACCGTTCTTCTCCGACTACTCCTCAGTCACGTTCAGGACTCCCAAGCGCGAATGTTCCAGATTGGGAGCAGGAGGACGGACCGATGCGGCCATCGATGGGCACTGCTTCTAGGCGGTCTACGTCTCGTGCTCGGCGCTCGTTATCTCGTGCACCAGTGCTCACGGATATAGGAAGCATAGAACGAAGTATCTCGCGGCATGCAGTCCCTGCCGTCAATGTCTCCACCATAAGTCTGCAATCCCCGTTCTGGAGAGCCTCCCGCCCACGGTCTTCGGCACCCCATTCTCTTGAACGCGGGCGTGGCCTACAAAAGAGGTCCCCGTATGTGACATCCGTTTCCCGATCCAATAGCCCTAGCGTCCCACCGACAACTCCTTCTGACTATAATGTGCCATCCATGTTGCCTATCAGCGAACTGGACAGACATCGGTCTCGCGGTCGCAAGCTCTATACTGACAATGCACGCGCTCCCTTATTATCACCCACCAGTGAGCTTGATGCTGCTGACGAGTGGGATACCGTGGAGCTACGCTCATCCCCCGCGATAAACGGTTTCCCCATCTCCAATACTAGTAAAAGAGCAGAAAGCTTGCCACCCTCGTCCAAATGGTCTGACGCCATTCATATCGCATTCAAGTCTTCACCGGGCTTGTATGCAACACCTCCATTAGTTATTGCAAGTTCGACACCGAACGGTGTTCGGAGCAAAAGTATGGGACCAAGACACTGAGACGAGGTGTTTCTCATATTCAACTGTGGATCGTCACCGATGATCGCACAGGGGATAACTATCTGTCGGGCCTCAGGGCCCAGTTGAACAAATGACTATATCTTTCAAGTATGTATCTTTTTCATGCTTGCAACTTTCCTTGTTCCTTGTGCAATTTGGATACCTCACGCATATTTTAATACGTTCCTCACACTTCTTCTCCCTCACGACCCCACTATTCACCATTATTGTATTTTGTAGGGGATGTACTAGTCCGCAGTGCTCATGCCTTGTGCTTGTATCGCGCTTGATGACCTGAATGAATTATTTATTTGTGTCGATTGTCAATTCGAAGAGTACGTGGGTACTTTCAGATATAAGTGGCAGTCAAATTCGTGAATTATTGACTTGTACATCATATGGGCCTCTGGGGCATGTCTCTTCGCACAAATGCGTTCTCCTACTGATAAGTCGATCCCGACCGCGTCTTCGATCGACGTGTCCTTGTGGGCACCTGAGCAGCTGCAAAATTTGGCTAGTTAGCAGGACGAGGAGACACGGACTGGTCCATATGTTCGGAAATTGTCCTGCGACATGAGAGTTAGCGAGTGATTCGCAGTGGCGAGAACCAACCCCCACACATACTTTCTCGGACTCTGTATACTCATCACTTTCATTCAAGTTAGTGATGTGCGGGCCGGGCTTGGGCTCAACGGGCTCAGCTTTTGTGGGCACGCGCTCAGGACTCAAGAAATACCAAGCCCGGCCTAAGCTTGAAAACAGGGATCGATTTAGATCGGCTTGGGCTTGAGCCTGGGCTTTTGGTCCATGAAGGGAAGCCATATCCGATAGCACTAGTGTACATAATTAAAAACAGGTATAACTCACCTCAATAACATATTTTATCATTGTGAAGGTGTGTGCAACTTGCAGAGAATGAATGAAGTTCAATAAGCCCAAAATCAAGATGCCGTTGTACTCGGCATAGTGATGATGTCATCATTAGACAGCGGTGAAGGCAAACTATGAGTCGGCATTGGTACGTCCTGCGGAGAGGTAGAGGTTTCTTCAGCCTCAGAGTCGGAATCACCCTTCGTTGGGATTTTCGACCAGGATCTACAGTGGAGCGCTTGTGAGCCCGAGCAGCCGACGTTATCACAGACACTACACTAGGCCTGAATCGTTATGTGCGGCCAAATTGTGCTGAACTTGTAATGATTCCGGCGTCTAGCGTTATTCCGTCCGTCGTTAATATTCCAGCCCAAATATGACCATCCTCACCACCTGACGATGCTAAGAAATGTATCTCACATTCGACCTCCGCTCTTTTCTGAATTGACCTCGGGCCGCTGCAACGTCCTGCGGAGTGTTTGGAGGGCAAGATTCTTCAGTTTCCGATTCCGGCTCGGACATGACTGTCTGTCTACGAGCATTACGACCTCCGTTACTAGAGGAGGGACGTCTACAATAATATGAACGTAAATAAGATATATCAATGGCATAGCAGCTACCGTACCGGGCGTATACTGAACTGCAACCTGTGTATCCGAGTCGCTAGGGTTGACGTCACCTCTTCAAGACCGCCCATGATTGATGTAGTCATTCTCCGGAACGTAATCCTCTTCTGCACATAGAGGCTCTGGATCAGATGCACAGAAGTCATTATTCGTATTGTATTCTTCTTACCTGAGGTTAAGATCAGCAACGTATTCAGTTTCTTCAAAAGCTCGCCTATAGCCTGAATGTTAACGTATTTCCTGGGGTCGCTGAGAAAGTATTCCAAGTAGACTGTCCACTGAAAATGAAATATTTAGCGAAGTGCGAAACTGACATAGATGATACGTGTATACCGTTTCAGTCAGAATAAGCTGATGAGTGGTCCAGATCGTCCAATCTTTGTCGCAATACTAATGAAATCCTTTGCCTCTGCGTTTGAAACCGAAGGAACCGATGGAATTCGTCTTTAGCATAATCTTTCGGCCTCCCATATACACACTGATGGCCGCAAAGGAACCTGCGTAGCACGGAAATAGTGGAAGACTCATCGAAATTCAGAGTCTAGAGTAATAACGCACCCATTTGCAATCAGATCGCGCAGAAATTTTGGCCAAAAGTGCAAGTATCCAATCGTGATGTTGTTGATGCTACGAGCTTGGGCATAAATTGTTCAAACCGGCGCAGGCCTTTCTTCTGGAAGGTATTTGCAAGCAGGCTTCATTGCCAGTTGAAAATTCAAGCGTCATGTAAGTAACACTTTGGTGGAGCCTGGCCGAGCCCGCTTCTTTGGTGCTAGCGCTGATCATTTGTCATTGTGCCAATCAACATGACCGTTAGATGAAAACAATTTGGAGAAATTCGAGGCTGCAAATTATTTAATATCGTACAACATGACTATGCCAGATGCTCTTGTCTTGTTCCGTATACTGTCAGACAGTCATAAGAGACATCCTCTCAGTACTCAAGTACAGCTCCAGATCATCAGCACTCAGATATTCCACTTGTTTGCTACCCCCATGGAAGAATCGCTTCAACATCGATTCAATTACCCCTTCTGCACCGCTGGCATGTAAAACCTTGGCAAGGAGAAATGGAACTGGATGAACCTGCGGCTTCGTCGAAGTTCAGATGGACATCCTTCAAAGGAGATGACCTCGATATCACGTCCACGCACTACCGTTGGAGCCAGTATAAAAAGTTCGAAGTGGTGCTGGTTGAGATGGTGGTATTATACATAACTCAGTCGTATAAAGGTCGTGAGAGAGCAGATGCAGTAATGCGATGAAAACGCAATAGTTCTGGTGGAGCTTTACAGGCGATTTAAACAAGTCCACTTCAGGGTCCTTGTCGTCATCAGAGTTCGAGGCAGGCCACAGGCCGAACCACGGTTAGGAAGGACAATAAATAGATCAATCTCGGATTATCATGAAGTTGTATACGAGATAGTTATAACGTCACTAGGAGCAAGCACTCGCTAACAAATCGGTGAGATCGACGTCAGTCTACTACCCGTTGTCGGACTTGGTCTCGAACGTGTTGCGTTTCTTCGGACGTTGATTCATTTGTTTATGGAAAGACAGCAACTCTCAGGAAGACCTTGGCCAGTCGGCGGAAAGACCCTCGCCACGTAGTATATCGGGAGAATTCGTGGAAAAGGTCGAAGAGCCAGCGGCAAGGGGAAAGTGGAACCACCGAACTGAGTACGGGAAGAGTAGGATTATAAACACACCTAGAACTCGCCTCGGTCGTCATGAGATACGAACTGAGCAGGTTAGTAAGAAAGAAAAAAGCTTCGGAGTTCGCCGCCATTGTCTGAGATCACATTCACGACCCCGTGATCATCACGGTGCTAAGTCCAAAGCGGGTTAAGAAAGCCCCCTATGTGCCAAAAATGCTAGATATCATCTATGCGAGCCTATATGTGTGGACATTGTGTAAGTATTGTCACAGGAGGCTCATTAATCAAATACTTCCTATCTCTGGTTTGCCATCATCCACTGAAGGTTGGTTCTTGGAAAGGATGCTATAAACAGATGTAAGCTAGCACATATGTGAATTGAAACAACACTAACTGTATTACTGTTGCAGCATTGCTTTCAAATTCTGGAAGAGAGAGATGGCCTTTAGACACCTCAATGATTCATATGAAAGACACCCAAGCACTAATTTCTACAGTTCATCAGATGGAAATATATCACATGCAGGATGAGGCATCTTCCAGTTTACTACCAGTTCAAATATGGTGTTAGACTGATTTTTGAGGTAGGAATATGGGGTTTTCCCATGTAGATCTCAGATAAATATTAGATGTGTGAGATAATAAATAGATCTTAGATGCTTATCTTGACTATTGTACAGCCAAAAGCATATATATTTCAAGCAGGAAGGTAGGCATTAGTGGTTGAGAAAGTGGATAGGTACTCAGGGGCCAGCCAATACATTGTTTCTTGCTGAAGCAAGGAGGAACTTTAAGGATTGTAGCTCTCAACAATGAAGAAAAGTCCAAAATCAGCAAGATAGCAGTGTCTGAAGTTGCTGATCAAAACATTAGCCTGGAAGGATGAGTTCTTACAGAGACCATGAGAAAGAAAATTCATACCCCTTTAATATCTGCATAAACCACTGATGGCTGAAGATCATGAAGCTATTGTATCACATCTGCAATCTTGATGATCTGAAAACAGTTGATCATTATAGCTTGCAGACCTAAGGAAGAAACCATATGAAGTCCAGTCATGTAGTGTTGAATTAGCAAGCAGGAGCTCTGTCATATCCCACCAGCCAAGCTCAATACCTCTTTATATTGGGATAGACTATATATATTAGATACAGTCCGTCAAACACTCTCACTGCATTTCTGCTTATTGCTACACCATGTGAGGGTGAGTATCTACTTATATTACTTTGTTTATATTACTGATTGGTATCCTGTAGTCTACATTATAGCTAATAGTATACTCTATTAGATACAGTGAATACAACACCATATTTCTGCTTATTACTACACTGTATGAGGTCTACATTATAGCTAACAGTGTACTCTATTAGATGCTACAAATGCATGTCACTTTTTTAAAGGTTATACAGTCTCAAGAATTACTCTATTCTATCCTTCATACTCAAATGACTTCTGCTATTGCTGCCTTGACTACAGGCCTACCATTGAATATCCCTATACTGAACACATCTGGTGATAACTGGTCCATCTTCTACCTCTGCTTTTCCACTGGTGTTCAAGCCAAAGGGAAATGAGATCACTTTGATGGATCAAAGCCCAAACCCTCTCTCACTGCACCCATAACAGCTCTCATGGCTGAGCTAGATGAATAAGAGAAAGATGAGGCTGTAGCCAAGAATCTCCTGCTTTTGAAGATCTCTGACTCAGTCACTATAAAGATTCAGCATCTTCTCATAGTTGCTGTAGCCTGATCAAAGATTGAAAAAGAGTTTACCAATAAGAGTGGCTATGCACAAACTAACCTTTGGCAGCAGTTTATAAAGTCACATTGTCCAGCCAAAGGTAATATTCACAAGTTTCTTAACAGTCTGTCAATAAAATAGGAGTCATTAGCTTCCATTAGTGTCATTATTAAGAAGAAGGATTATTGCTTAATGATTCTCATCTCTATCCCTCCCTATCTTGTCAAGCATGCATCAACTCTCCTTACAGCAGCAAATCTTTTTAGTTCCAATAAGGAAGTCAATCCTGAGAATCTGATCCATACTATTTCTAAGGAATATGATCAACTGGAATGCAAGCAAGCCAAGCATAGTCAGCAGTCTAGAAAGGGAAAAGACTTGGAGCAAGATAAAGCCATGTCTGTTTCATCAAGCTCAGGTAGCAATAAGAAGGGCAAGAAACTCAGCAAGAAATTGTGCTGGGGATATGGGAAGGAAGGACACTTCAAAAACAAATGCCCTGAGAAGAAGTCATCAGACACTGACAGTAAGGCTTTTAGATCAAAGGGTGAAATAGCCAATGTGGCTGAGAAATCATTAGATTCAGACTGAGAAGCTGGCAGTGCATTTAGAGTTGATAATGCTGATGATATGCTGTTGCTGGCTGCAGTTTCTGAGTCAGATGAGTCTGAAGTTAAGAGCTTATCAGAAGACTCAGAGGATGAAGACAATGGTATTAACCTTTTTTTGGAGATTGATGATGAGTCATGAGATGAGCTGAGCAGCATATTGTCCTCAGATGTTGACTGAAGTGATATAAACTCTTTTGTTGACAGGCAATCAGATGTCACATCTGGCATGCTAACTTTGGAGGATGTATCTGCTTCTGAAGAGTCAGTCACAGCTATTACCAACACTGTAAACTCATCCAATGTTCAAATTCATACTGAACTCTATGACTCTGGCTGTACATGCCATATTTCCTCTTACCACAATGATTTCAACTTGTTCCAGTCTGTCCTGCCTAAGGCATTCCATGCTGCAAACACTCAAAATTTTTCTGCAGCTGAAAAGGGCATGATGAGCATTGATGTGCCAAATAGTGAAAATGTGAGCAATCTGCAACTCACCAAGGTCATGTACTCTCCTGAAGTTGGTTATACACTCATTTCAGTTGGCCAACTTGATGATCTTGGTTTTGAGTTGACTTTTGGTGGCAGAAAATACACTATCCATGCACCAAATAGAAAGGTAGTTGGGGTTGTCCCAAAAGATGATGGTGGTCTATATCAGATTCATCATAAGAGAGATTTAGCTGAAACAGCCAAGGAGGTGCTTACTCTAGACTAATTGCACTGCTGCATGGACCACATTTCACCTGAAGTTGCTTGTTGTCTGGTCAAAAAAGGCTTCATGACTAGAGTAAAGCTCAATAAGTCATCTGGAGAACCACAGTTCTGTAAATCATGTATCTATGCTAAAGCTACATAAAAGCCAGTGTCTAAGGCTCAAGGAGGAGAATATGCAACTGATATTGGAGGTGAAATTCACTCTGATTTATAGGGACCTGCATCTGTAGAATCTCTGCATAAACACTGTTACTTCATCTCCTTCATTGATGACAACACTCATTGGGCTTACCTTGAATTCTTATGCCAGAAGAGTGAAGCTTTCATGGTGTACAAGGCCTAT